CAGGGGGCACCAAACCCCCCCCCCCCAGCCTGTTTAGGGTTACATCCCCGATTCACAACATTACTATTTAATCCTTTAACTGCTCAAGGATGACAGACTTCTCCTGACTTATCTACAGAAACGCTTGTAATTGTTGAACGCTATGTTTGCGAGCAGTTTTATCTTCAAGGAATATTAATTTATAGTTTCTAGAAGTAACAGAATATAAATATTCCCAGCCTAATTGCTAAACACCACTTTTTACTTATAATATTTAAATTTGTTCAGGACTTAATAATGTGACGTCATCTGTGTTACTTTTGAGCTCAAACAGTACGCTAGCGTACATCTTTGAGAATCGGGGATGTTCCTTTTTAAATAGAAGGCCACTTGAAATTACGGGAATAGTTCCTTTAATACTTGATTTTGTTCATTTGAATAATCTATTATTTATTATTGATTAATCAATTATCCCATTATTTGAATACATGATTGAGTAATAAATTAAATTACAGGTCGTTTAATTGATTAGATTTAATTGATTGGAATTGATTGGATTTATCAATTTATTTGATCGATAACATAATAGAACAAATGTTTATTTAATTCATTCAGTAATTTTTATCAATTGATTTATTTCTTGATTAATTAAATAATTTATTATTGTATTATTTGATTGATTGATTGATTACCTGAATATATCTCTTTTTGAAGCATGTTGCTCTATGAATGATGTTTTATCACTACTATCATCAGAAATCCTGAACAATTTAGATTTTATCACTCTTCATTCTCAATATTTAATTTTATGTAAAAGTACTAGAACGACATTGCAACCATATAACTGGCCTCATTGCTCTATAAAATAGACACAGGGAATAGGAGTTATATTTGAAAAATGCAAGATTTTTTTCATTTAACTAGCTCAAGTGCCCGACGTTGCCCGTTACATTTTTTTTAAATTTTCATAATAAATAGATTAGAAAAAAATACGATTTAAAAAATAAATTTCAAAGGATTCCCTTCATATATTAATTTATTAATTACATAGATTAATCAATTAACTTTCATTAACTTTTTATATTATTACAACAATGCATGTTTATACAATTAATTTTACAATTAATTTTCAGTTAATTTTTTGCTCAAAAAATGGTGTTTTAAAACAACTAACTTGATATAAATGCAGAAATGCTTAAAAAAACTGAAGCTTGTTATCTTAATGTATATTTTTTTTTCTCGAAAAACAGGTGTAGGATTTTTTGAAGAAAAGGTTATGATCTTTCTATGTTTCTATTGAAATTCTTTATCTTCCCTTTTTCTATGAAACAAACTTGATAAGTTGATACTAAGGAAACAGGCCCATTTTCTTGCAGAAAAACAAATAACTTGAGAAGGTCAAGTTTTAATTAAAAAGAAACCCAGTTTATGGTTGTTTACTTTCAAAGATTAATAGTAGTTGGAACAGTTCCAGCTGAGAATATAAATTACAAGAGTTTTACACATTCACACTCTTAGAAGAAACAGTTTTTATATTTACAGTTATTCAAACGGGTTTTTAACATTACAAAAATTTTTGAAAACAGAAAGATAGAAATATCTGACAAATTTTCAGCTAGACATATTTCAGTGTTCAGAAATCTGAAGTTTAAAGTGTATATAACAATTTAAGAAAATGGTAAAACTAAAAATTTCCCAATTACGAATAGGATCCTGTAAGTCTAGTTAATATTAAAGATAATGACAAAAACACCTTCACCCTTGTTGAAAAGAAACAGAAAGGCTTGTGACCAAAAAAATAATTAAGTCGTGAATGGAGATATTTTATAAAGTGTCTATTTTCTTGTAACATTCTTAGTCGAAAATCCTTTACTTAAACAACTTCTTTATTTGTCATAATTAATACAAAAGGAGTTAAAATCGAATTGAATATATTCTGTTTTGACTTCTTGAAATGTATTTCAAAACCAATAACTTTAAAAAGAAAGATGAATTGCACAATGTACCCTTATTCTATTTCTTCAGAACCTTCTGGTTTGATCTTTCATTAGAGTAAAAAGATATAGAGTCTTCTTTCCCCCTCCCATCACTCAACCTCTTCCCCCAATTTCCTGACCATGGGCTAGCTGGAACCAGAGATAAGATAGTTACAGAGATCGATTATCAGCTAAAATATGCGATATTTTCCACAGCATGTTCTAATGTGTACAAGTACTGTACATGACCACTCAGCAAACATCTGTATTCAGGGATATTTAAGGATCCTTTGGATACGAAACAAAAAATCTTCAAAAAAGACTGAATTCATAAATGTTATGTTTCATGTTTAAAATTGGAGTATTTCTTTAAAAGTTGTTGAATGAGTATTATATTCAACGAGTGGCCGTGAGATGGCATTCTAAAAACCTATAGTAAAAACGTAGCATGTCGTTCCGGGTCAACTTAGGCCTACGTGCCCACCCTGTGAAAGGAGATAATGAGTCTGTGCTAGAACCCCCTCTCTCTGGTATCTCGGCATACTGCTCCGTATGCTGTTTATTTAATATTCCGCCGTAGAGGTCACTGAGTCTTATAGAAAGCTGTGAGAGAAAACAGCATTAGCTGAGTCCTTTTTTACATACTGTATACATATATGTATACACTTCATGCAAGTACCATTTAGTGTGAGAATGTTTTTATAATTTTCATCTACCTGATTCCGTACTCAAGTACACATATACTTTATATCTATTTACTCTAATGATTTCTTCTTGAAGTACCTGGCTGAATCTGTTGAACAGCCTAGATCAGTGGAACATCTTTCCACAATTGTTTCTGTTAGAAAATCTTCAGTAACTTCAAATATTCTCTCCTAGCGCAGATTTATAAAAGTTATTGCACTTTTTTATGAAAAAAAGGAAATAAGATTTCATTTAATTGTGAACATTTTTTTGCATAAATTACTAGGAAATAGTCAAAATATTAATATTATAGTTTATTAATTATGTTAATATTATAGTGCTAAAGACTTTTGACTGAAAAAAATGGGTTGCACAATACATTTTATGAATCCACATAAACTAAGTTAACGAAAGATTTGGTTTATTGTCTAAAATGATATTATTTAACCTTCCTCATTTAAATTGGATTTAAAACTGAAAATTTTACAGAAATTCTTAATCTTTGATTTATTTAACTAGTATATTCCTGATGAGTTGAAGGATTGGATGTTTTTTCTAAACCTCTAGCCTCAACTTCAGCTTTTAGTTCAGAGAGCTTTAGGCGGGTTAGATCTAGTTCTCTTTTAACCTAGACATTTATTAATTAGTTCTAGGGTCACCACTTTTGTATCTTTAATCATTTTAGAAAGAACTAAGGTAGTTAGGTGAGTTAATTTTATTTTTTAAATCTGCGTATTAAAATTTTGAACAAATAAATTTCTGTTATTTTTTCATCCGATGCGATACACGCATTTTTTGGTTTTCCTTTTTAGCACGCATACGCATACTTTTGCTTTAATTGTTCAGAAGTTGGTCCGGTACTTTAAATGGACCGAAGTTTACATTGCATTATAAAATTGAAAATGTTAGAAAAAGACGTCTTGACTCTTGCTCGATCCTTAACTTTGTTTGTTTAAGAACTACTTGATTTTCTCGTAAAATCTCTATTCGCGGATTTCCTTGTTATAACTTACCAAAGGAATTGAGTCTTTGAAACAAAATCAAATATTTAAACCTGAATATCTTTAGAACTCAATGTTGTAAACCTTTGATATTTCAAACTCTGATTATTTGATCTAACAGAATTCATAGTTTGAAATATCTAAGGTCTGCAACATTTGGTTCCAAAGATAGAGTGATTAGAAAATCAGAGTTTGTGGCAAAGAGTCAATTCCTTTCCAGTTTTAGATTTTATAAGAGAACTTCTGTTTAGAAAGTAATTGATTGAAAAGTTTTCTAAATACTTAAAGAATAAAGGGTTACATGTATATTTTTGTAATTACTCTCTTGGTTTGATTTTTTTCAGATATGGAGTAAAAAATTAATGAAAAAAGGACATTGGCCAACGTGATAATAAATCCTAAAAGTTTCTTCACGTCCTGGGGGCTGATATTATTTTTATAAAGAGGGGGGGGGACTAAGAAAGTGGTTTACTGAGATCCCCCACATCTACTGTTCCCACAGAGTAATCTAGTTTGAAGACCCTAGAGACCTATTTCTATATATTCCGAGTGTAAAGCTAGTGGACACAATCCAATCTCTGGTCAGACTACTCTCCAGGGGGGGGGGGGGTCCCAATAAACACTCTTTCATTTCAACACCATTTTTCTTGAACCCACTAGAATTTTATCAAAATTCCATGTATTTAGATTCTCAAACTGTCGTCTCACATTTTTGTACCTCCAAAATTGAAAAATAAAGAATCGAAACTCCCGCGATCTAAAATTTCCTAAATCTAATTTGAATATTTTTGCAACCTGATGGTGCGAAACTAGATATTTCAATCTAGTGACTAACTAATCTAACAGAGTTTAATGTTTGTTATATCGGGATGCAAAATATAAGAATTATAATATCAGACTTTGAGGCAAGTGTTAAAAATTCCTTTATTAAGACTTCAGAGATGGAATTTAAAGAATTTGAGCCGCGGTTTAAATCTTCCAAAACCTGATTTAAATTAAGCGCCGGCTTAAATCTTGAAACATTTGATACAATTTTAAGTGGAACCAACCATATTTAAGCCGCGGCTTAAATTTAAACCGCCGCTCAAATTCTTTAAATTCGGCCACAGGGTGCACAAATATCAGAAATATAAAATCAGAATTTTCGTGTTTACTAAAAGCACCCTGTATATAGAAATGATGGAGTCGGAGGGGAAAAAAGCATTTTTTAGAGGAATTCTTAACATTTTTTAAAAGGTGACAATCGATAAAAAGCTACCAAAATACAGCGGTCATTGATTATATAATGAAAATTTTTTATTAATAATGCTTTGATTGAAATAAAAAGTCGTCTTTATTATATTGATATATACTACGACTACTGTATGTAAAAACAAACTCATTTAAAACAGGACTTTTCTAGATTGTTTTTTAATTAACACGTTTGAAAATTAATGTGAAATGCCTCTCCTTAGTTCTATATTTACCCTTCTTTGTACTATATTTACCTCTCCTTAGTTCTATATTTACCCTTCTTTGTACTATATTTACCTCTCCTTAGTTCTATATCTACCCTTCTTTGTACTATATTTATCTCTCCTTAGTTCTAAATTTACCTCTCCTTAGTTCTATCTTTACCTCTCCTTAGTTATATCTTTACCACTCCTTAGTTATATCTTTACCTCTCCTTAGTTATATATTTACCCCTCCTTAGTTATATCTTTACCACTCCTTAGTTATATTTTTACCTCTCCTTAGTTATATCTTTACCTCTCCTTAGTTATATCTTTACCTCTCCTTAGTTATATCTTTACCCCTCCTTAGTTATATCTTTACCTCTCCTTAGTTATATCTTTAACTCTCCTTAGTTATATCTTTACTTCTCCTTAGTGATATCTTTACCCCTCCTTAGTTCTATCTTTACCTCTCCTTAGTTCTATCTTTACCTCTCCTTAATTATATCTTTACCACTCCTTAGTTATATCTTTACCACTCCTTAGTTATATCTTTACCTCTCCTTATAGTTATATCTTTACCTCTCCTTAGTTATATCTTTACCTCTCCTTAGTTATATCTTTACCCCTCCTTAGTTATATCTTTACCGCTCCTCAGTTATATCTTTACTTCTCCTTAGTGATATCTTTACCCCTCCTTAGTTATATCTTTACTTCTCCTTAGTGATATCTTTACTTCTCCTTAATGATATCTTTACCTCTCCTTAGTTATATCTTTACTTCTCCTTAGTTATATCTTGACCTCTCCATGGTTATATCTTTACCTCTCTCTAGTTATATCTTTACCTCTCCTTAGTCATATCTTTACTTCTCCTTAGTTAAATCTTTACGTCTCCGCAGTTATATCTTTACCTCTCCTTAGTTATATCTTTACTTCTCCTTAGTTATATCTTTACTTTTCCTTAGTTATATCTTTACTTCTCCTTAGTTATATCTTTACTTTTCCTTAGTTATATCTTTACCTCTCCTTTGTTATATCTTCACTTCTCCTTAGTTATATCTTTAACTCTCCTTTGTTATATCTTTACCTCTCCTTAGTTATATCTTTACTTCTCCTTAGTTATATCTTTACCTCTCTCTAGTTATATCTTTACCTCTCCATAGTCATATCTTTACTTCTCCTTAGTTAAATCTTTACGTCTCCTCAGTTATATCTTTATCTCTCCTTAGTTATATCTTTACCCCTCATAAATTATATCTTTACTTCTCCTTAGTTATATCTTTACTTTTCCTTAGTTATATCTTTACCTCTCCTTTGTTATATCTTAACTTCTCCTTAGTTATATCTTTAACTTTCCTTTGTCATATCTTTAACTCTCCTTAGTTTTATTTTGACCTCTCCTTAGTTTTATCTTTACTTCTCCTTATTTATATCTTTACCCTTCCTTAGTTTATCATTACCTCTCCTTAGTTATATATTTACCTCTTCTTAGTTTATCATTACCTCTCCTTAGTCCTATATTAACGTCTCGAGTGGACAAATTGAACCATAAAGCCAATATGGGAAGGAATGGTTTCACTTTGTTGTTTCCAGACTTATTTATCACTTGTCAACACAGTAATATACAGGACAGTGCAAGTAATGACTTTTCAGCCCATATATCATTTTAAAAACATTTTCTACTTTGTACTAATGCTGGGCTATACGATTCGAGTTAGTGGAAAAAACTGAATTCCTTTAATGTATTTTCTAAGACGTTTTACTTTTATATCTCACCTTCCAAAGGATAGTATCACAAGTAGGATCTGGACATTTATGTCTGCTCAGCATAGCACTAGCCTCAAGAACTGTCCCTTTCATCGTTAAAGATGCTCCCATACTCTACAATATATATTTTCTCTTTTTTTGTACTGTAAAAAGTTGCATAAGGTGGAGGGTTAGTTTGTCTTTTTATGGTGATTTTACTGTGCATTTCATTTCAAAAATTAAAAGAGCGCAAATTTTCTTGCTTTTATAAACGGATTTAAAAAAAAATTGTGATTTTTAAAAAAAATATATTGAATAATAAACTTATCATAAAGGTAAAGTCTATACGGCAAATAAGATTTTGTTCTAAATATATAATGTAGAACAAAGGAAAAGCTGTTCTGAACTGAGAGGAGTTTTACCAACCAAGTATAGGAATAAATAAAGTGGTCCATGAATTGTAAAATCTTTATGTGATATATATTGGTATCATATTTACACAATATGAAGTACATTTGGATCCATAGAAAATATATTTCAAGAAAGCTTGTGGGAGAATTTAAAGAAAAAATGAGAAGACGAATTGGAACATATCTAGGCCTTAATCCTATTCCTAAGGGGGGGGGGGGGGATTTGGACACAACTTAAAAAGTATTGGCTGTTAATACTTTTTTGAACTTATTAAAACTAGGATAAAACTGGGCTTTTATTCATACTTTGTGAATGCCTTTTTAATATACTTCAGAATAAATCTATATTTAGACATACTTACAATAATTGAATTTCAACATTTTAACAGATTTTGGAAATCAAATGGTAACAGAAAGCAGATTGCAAATAAGTTTTTGTTGTTGTAATTTCGAGTTACCCCTCCGTTAAAATACAGACAATTTCTGTTTACAATGCAAACTATTTAAACCTCTTGTCCCAGTTATCAAGAATAAATGAGTTTCTCTTTTTTTCTCTGAAAGTTCTTTGTAAAATTGATTTGCGGATATTTACACTGCAGAGACAAGGTAAAGAATGTTGAAAATTTAACATTTTTCAAAATAGAAAAACGATGATATCCTCCTCATTGTTACTCACGGAGTCAGGTAGAGGTTTAAAGGGTCTAAATCGTAAACTCATAAAATATTGAGGATCACTTGAAACTGACTTCCTTAAAATCTGCCAACATTTACTGTAAATATATAAACATTTCGTTCAAAAGTTCTTGAAAAGGAACAATCGGGAAGTGTTTGTTTCTGATTTTCTGATTCAGAAAAAATCCTGGAAATATAATTAAAAATACCTGACTGATAAGAGAGCAGCATCCAGGTGTATCACGTCGAGCTATTTTTGATCTAAAACATTTTAGTTTTTTCATCATACACTCACTTACTTCTCTGCACAGCCATGCTGTTTAGTTTTAACTTAAACAGTTGGGATTCTACAACATGTTCTTACCTTTGAAACCGAGCATTAAGGGGTAATGGTTGGTTTCTGCCTTATAGAAACCGAGCATTAGGGTTAATGCTTGGTTTCTGCCTTATAGAAACCGAGCATTAGGATTAATGGTTGGTTTCTGCCTTATAGAAACCGAGCATTAGGGTTAATGGTTGGTTTCTGCCTTATAGAAACCGAGCATTAGGGGTAATGGTTGGTTTCTGCCTTATAGAAACCGAACATTAGGGTTAATGGTTGGTTTCTGCCCTATAGAAACCGAACATTAGGGTTAATGGTTGGGTTCTGCCTTATAGAAACCGAGCATTAGGGTTAATGGTTGGTTTCTGCCTTATAGAAACCGAGCATTAGGGTTAATGGTTGGTTTCTGCCTTATAGAAACCGAGCATTAGGATTAATGGTTGGGTTCTGCCTTATAGAAACCGAGCATTAGGATTAATGGTTGGGTTCTGCCTTATAGAAACCGAGCATTAGGGTTATTGGTTGGTTTCTGCCTTATAGAAACCGAACATTAGGGGCCTGATGGTTGGTTTCTGCCTTATAGAAGCCGAGCATTAGGGGAACTTTTCATTGGAGACCCCCAGATTATCATTGGAGACCCCCAGCTTTTCATTGAGACCCCAGATTTTCGTTGCAGACCCCATGATTTTCATTGGAGACCCAAATAAATTCATTGGAGACTACAGATTTTCTTTGAAACCAACAGATTTTCTTAGGAGACCCCCAGATTTTCATTTGAGACCCCGATATTTTCATTGGAGACCCCATTTTTTCGTTGGAGACCCCAATATTTTTATTGGAGACCCAAAACTTTTTATTGGAGACCCCCAGATTATCACTGGAGACCCCCAGCTTTTTTATCGAAATCCGCGGTTTTCCTTGGAGACCCCCAGATTTTTTTTGGAGACCCCACGATTTTCATTGGAGACCCCAGGTTTTTCGTTAGAGGCACCCCAGATTTCATTGGAGACCCCTATCTTTTAATTGAAGTCCCCAAGAATTGAAGACCCCAGATTTGCATTGGACACCCCCAGAATTTTAAGGGCCCCCTCAGAATTTTATGGTTTATGGGAGAACCTCAAATCTTTATTGGAGACCTCAAGATTTTCATTGGAGCCCCCCAGATTTTAATTGAAGACCCCAATCTTTTCATTGAAGACACCAGATTTTCGTTGGAGACCCCAAAATTTTCATTGGAGACCTAAATTTTTCTCCAAAGAAAACCTGTCGGTCTAAAAAGAAAATCTAGGGTCTCCTAGATCATGTAATGGACGGTTTCTGCCTTCATTACCCCTAATATTCGGTTTCTATTAGGCAGAAGCCGCCCATTCCCCCCTTATTTTCGGTTTTATGGGCGAGAAAGTGTTAAGAGTTCCCCAACTGTTAAATCCTAACAACTAATTATTCAGTGGTCAACCTTACCTTAGCCCCTCCCTAGCATATATGGTTACTCACACAAGGTGAGACTGTAAAGACGACTTGAAACTCTTAAAATGTGACAGTTGCATAGATCATACAAGTAAAAAAAACAAAAGTAAGAACAAAAGTTCAATATAGTGGTCTCTGAAGTCCCACTGTAGATTATATCGATGTTATATTTACCTGATGTAATGACAGTACAGATATTCAAAGCTACACAGACCTTGCAAATTAAAACTTTTATTTCAGTCTTTTGGACAGTGCACGACTAATAAAACAGTGGAGTAGAAAGACACATTTGTATTTTAAATAGTCCAATGAACATAAAACACATCAATTTTGCGGTGTATAGTCTACACAGACCCATTTCACTTAACAAATAAAACAATTTAACCCTTAGGCTGTATCTTTGAGCAACATAATTAGAAGGCCAAATTTGTCATATTTTGTATATTATTGTCAAACATTTGATTCTACAAAGATATGGGTCTGATCCTTGTAATTATTACTTAATTCAGTTTGAAAATTAAATTCTCAAATTCACTAACTTTCAATAGCTAATGTAAAGTTTGAAGTTGATTTTGATTAAACTCTGATTGATTAATTAGGAGATATATAAAGATTAGATTTTGAGAATTTTAAAGTACCCTTCTATATTCTGATTAGTGAAAGAACTTGCTTTCTCTGTTTTTTAAATTAAGGCATTTTCCGACCTAAAAATTTATTATATTCTTAAAAAGCTATTGTTGACCTTAAATACAACTTCTAAAATACCCCCCCCCCCCCAGTAAATTGTCTTTACCAAAACCTTCCTCGGAGAAAAACCAAACCAAAGCAAATTTCCGTTCAGATTTATCTGTACTCTTCGACACAGAAACAACAAACAAACAAAGAAAGCTATATATAACGCCACGTTGTAAACTCACATGACCAGCTCTATTAAAAGAAAGCTATATATAACGCCACATTGTAAACTCAAATGACCAGCTCTATTAAAAGAAAGCTATATATAATGCCACATTGTAAACTCAAATGACCAGCTCTATTAAAAGAAAGCTATATAGAACGCCACATAGTAAACTCAAATGACCGGCTCTATTAAAAGAAAGCTATATATAACGCCACATTGTAAACTCAAATGACTGGCTCTATTAAAAGAAAGCTATATATAACGCCACATTGTAAACTCAAATGACCAGCTCTATTAAAAGAAAGCTATATAGAACGCCACGTTGTAAACTTAAATGATCAGCTATATTAAAAGAAAGCTATATATAACGCCACGTTGTAAACTCAAATGACCCGCTCTATTAAAAGAAAGCTATATATTACTCTACGTTGTGAACCCAAATGACCAGCTCTATTAAAAGAAAGCTATAATAAACAAAGAGAATAGAATATATATAATAGAGTGGAAATTACTAGAAAAAAGAGTAAAACGGCAATTTTGTTGTACTGTTTCCATACTGCAGGTGTACTTCACATATTTGTGCTATATAAACTTTTTGGCCCCTGGAACATCATTTTATAGAAAATCTAAAATTAATATTAAAAGAAACCAAATTATGAAATAGGCTGGTTTCATAATTGACTAATGATCAAATTACAAAGACTCTATGCCTTCCACTTTACAAAGGATGATTTTTCAATATAAATATAAATCAATTGATGTTTTTCATTCCCCTTATTCATTTTTTTACAGCTTAAAAAATTCGAAATTGAAATGCATAGTCTAGCATAGCATAGTGAACATTTACATGATTTGAACACTTTGAACTCCCTTTCAGACTGAAAGGGACTGACAAAATTCATATTCTAATATAATATATATTGTATTCTCTTTGGCTATTACATTATGTTGTAAACTTCAATGATCCTCTTTAAAAAAAGGCGTGTTCACAGTTCAATAAACAATGTTGCACTTTAAAAAATATATCGTTGACTATTCTAGCATGAAAAGTGTTTAATTTTTTTTTCTGTAGCAGAAATCCGCGAGTCACTTTTACAGAGAAACCACAATTATCCTTTTTCAAAGTTCACTAATCATTATTATCTTATTCATTCTTGAATATGAAAAGGTTTAAAGGGTACCACTGGGAATCAGATATGCCACTCTATAAAAGGAGGGTCACTTAGGTTTTCAGTTTAAAATCCGGTAAAATGCGCGGCAAGATTAAACTTCTCAATATTTTCATAAAAACTAATCGATACATATAATAGGAAACCGATCATTCCTGTCGGTTTTTTATAAATTCACTTTCAAGAACAGAAATATTAAAGTTGTTTTCCTGCAGCTAAACAAACCCCCAGGAGTAGAAGGAAGAAGGCTGAAAGGAACTGTTCAGGAGCCAGAGGTTCACTAGACCGCTTCTCCTGATCAATAAATCAATCAATCAATAAATCAATTAAGCAATCAATCAATAAATCAATCAATCAATAAATCAATCAATCAATAAATCAATTAAGCAATCAATCAATAAATCAATCAATCAATAAATCAATAAATCAATCAATCAATAAATCAATTAAGCAATCAATCAATAAATCAATCAATCAATAAATCAATAAATCAATAAATCAATAAATCAATAGATCAAGAAATCAATAAATCAATCAATCAATCAATCAATCAATAACTCAATCAATTAATAAATCAATAAATCAATAAATCAATAATAAATCAATCAATAAATAAATAAATCAACAAATCAACGAATCAATAAATCAATAAATCAATAAATCAATAAATCAATATATTAATAAATCATTAAATCAATAAAACAATAAATCAATAAATCAATAAATCAATAAAGCAATAAATCAATAAATCAATAAATCAATTAACTTTTCTAACAATAAATCATCAAATCACTGAATCAATTTATACAGAAAGAAGGAAGGCGCTTCGCGCCCTTCTTTCTAGGCTTTTAGGGCGCTTCGCGCCCATCTTCTAAATTAATTGTGAACATGTTCTCTTTGTGTACATCGTAAAACAAAACAAAAATAATTCGCGGATTTTCACAAAAAACTTCACGGATTTTCAAAATTTTTAAAAATTTAATGACGATTGAATTTTGATGGAGACAAATATTTGAAATTTTGATTTTTCATAAAACCTTCCCTGGGGTCCTTAGATGTCCCACAAAAAATTTGGGTCCGATCGGTTCAGCCGTTTTGACGTTTATTGGATACAAACAAACAAACAAACAAACAGACAAACAGACAGACAGACAAGCCAAATTTATATATATACATAAATGAATAAATTAGTAAAAAACCTGTTTTCTGGGTCTACAAGTACCAGTTAACCAGAATCTGCGTAGACGCTCTAAATCTCCTAAACATAAAATATCAACAATCTAGATCTGTGCACTGCAAGAATCCGCAAAATATTTTTTGGACAAGTTTTTCTTTTTTTCTCTGCACTGCACAGGTCCGATATGGCAGGAGAGACAATACAAGAGCTTAATATAATAGTGCTCACAGTGGAAATGCCGAACATATTCGATTTGATTCCGACCTAAATTTATTCTGGAGTTTTGAATAAAATGGGTTTATTACAGGTTAAACTTTTTTTAATGTAAGCATTATTTCATTTGACCCTCCATACAAAGTTCACAATGCACAATTAATTCACAACGGAACCCTTGAATCCGTTATCTGATCAAAAAAGGTGGACGATATTGTCGTTTTTTATCTTGAAAAGTCTTTTATTCTAATAATAAAAGTAATAGTTTTTAAAATTAATAGCCTTAGAGGGCGCTTCGCGCCCATCTTCTAAATTATATATTATTACGGGATAAATAATATTATTACGGGATAAATAGATTTAACATTTAAAAAGTTAAGTTTTTTTTTAAATTCGTGCCAAATGTTCTTTTAAAACTTTAAGTTTTTAGTACCTGATAATCAACTTGAAAGTTCTGGTTTTAATTAGTTATAATAATTTGGGATACAAACTTTTAATGTAGAAAATCCATACAAAAATATATATATCTCTGTCATGGTGCCTAGAAAATATGTTAGAATTTTGTTAACGTTTCCTTGACTCTAACCAAAGCTCTTGTAATTGAAAGATATTCATCAATGCCAACAAAAAAGTATATGCGAAGAAAAATTTATCTGTGAAGAAATATTGCAAAAATATTGAAATTTACACATCGTAAAGGTTTTGCAAGTTTACATGTCCTTCATGTTAGGTTGGCAAAATTCACATAAACTAATCTTGTATGGCATAAAAGGACGCACTGAAATTGGTACGCACACTGAAGTGGCTCTATTTTAAACACACAAGTCTCACCATTTGGACCCAAAAATGTTAAAACTAACACACAAGTCTCACCATTTGGATCCAAAAGTGTTAAAACTAACACACAAGTCTCACCATTTGGACCCAAAAGTGTTAAAACTAACACACAAGTCTCACCATTGTTAAAACTAACACACAAGTCTCACCATTTGGATCCAAAAGTGTTAAAACTAATGTCCATAAAACCCATAAACAATACTGATATGTGATATTGCATGAAAGGATAGAATGTCATAGAAATGCATATTCTGGTTCTGCACACCTAGAGGATAAAGTTTTAATTAAATGTCTGAAAATGGACAGAAAAGTATTTTTAAAAGTTTAATTTGGGTTTTCCATGAAATTGAGAATTAAAACTTTGGCGCTAAATAACCATTAACAAATATTAAATAACGAAGTTTCTAAAAAAAAGTTTAATTATATCAGCCGGCACAGCCAGCTAAACTATTTTACTATTTTAACAAGATTATTTTGCCAACAAACAGGGAAAAACTCCATAAAAAATTTTGTACAAAAACGCAAAAAATGTATCTAATAATAGTCGTTTATTGGATACAAACAAACAAACAAACAAACAGACNACACAGTCAAGAAGGAAGAAAGTCAATGTTACAGATTTGTAAAATCTGTTTTGTAATAATTTTGATAATTTTGTCAATATTACAGACACTGAGCTGATATTGCTGAGCTGAGCGTATGCAAAATCCCAAACAGCCGGGAAATTTTAAATTTTGCGCGCCATTTAAGAAGAGAACTCTAATTGGTCAGAATATTGTGGGGATATTTAAAAAGACAGAAAAAGATATTCAGATCAGCTCTGTTAATTTTGTGAATTTTTCCGATGTTGCAGTTTGATAATTTTAGTTATGGCAGTCCTTAAAAGTACTGTAGAGTTGAACCATGTGAGTTCCCAGCTAACCAAAGTACTGTAGAGTTGAACCATGTGAGTTCCCAGCTAACCAAAGTACTGTAGAGTTGAACCATGTGAGTTCCCAGCTAACCAAAGTACGTGCAAATAACAATTTCTTTACGTTGAGAGAGCATCTTAATTTTAGGTCACCACAACGTTGAAACAGCGTACATTATTCTGTCTATGTAATCTGTGACTGCATATATTTAAAATGGAGAGGAGTACTGAATTCTAATGGGGTTTAAACAACTCAGCTCATTGTTCAGTATATATATATATACTACACAGATCGGTGGTAAAAGATATTTTTTGCTGCAATAGTGAAGTGGAAAGGCGAAAAAGGCTTTTTATTCATTTTTTTGTTTGCCAATGTACTAAGTTGGAAAATTTGAGGAAAATTTAAAAACATCATTACTTAGAACTTTAGAATTTTTGACAATCTAAATATTTTTTTAGCCTCTAAATAGACTTTGATATATAATCAAATAAAAAATAGAATGAAAATCAGAATGATAGAATTAGCTAAAACAGTTTTAGACTAGCTTACAATTTTTGTTATGAAAACTGAAAGAGGTTTTCCACAACAAGAAAATACCCTTTATTGCATTTTGAATCCCCCCTTTTTCACAAATTCTATTTTAACATGATGACTACATGACAGTGAAGTATTCTGGTCTAGATTTCTAGATGTAGATAAATATTCTCTAGATATAAATCAAATTCTGGATCATTAAGAAAAACTTTTTTCTCTTTCCTAAATAACTATTAAACCTGCACACATTCCATTAGACTATAGAATTAATGATTCTCTCTCCTCTCCCCCCTTGAACCTCACATAAAAATATTTGACACAAATAAATTGATAAATTTGATCTCCTCTACACAATTTGCCAAGATCCTACTTCAGTACGCTTCAAACTAGATAAATATAAATCCTATATCTACAGGACAATCAAGGCAGATAAAATGTGGTACATTTAATGAATTATTGAAATAAAGCCACTCATTGAATAGATCTAATCTATAGTACAAGTACAACAATCTTCGAACAAGTAGGACAAACTCCTGATGCTACCAACGTTTTATGGATATATATTGAGAGGAAAATGACGTAATTCTATAGTAGGGTTGGGAGAGAGTTGGGTTGGAATTTGTTTACAAAAGATCTAATGATTACGATGATAGGGGCGAGAATTTAGTAGAAGATTCCAAATCCCTGAGTGTCCTAGATATATGGGAGCGAGTTATAGCAAACCTACCAAAATTGACCGAAAACCGCTGGACATTAAAAACTTGAAACATTTTGGTGTTCACTAAATATAGTACAATAATATTTTATTAAACTTTACCAGCAGCTCAAAAAACTTTATTATAATCTGATGGATGGTTTAAGAACAGCTAAAATAAAGTTATCACAATGTCTATGTTTGAGGGGAAATGTTTAAAAATTGAAAATAAGATTTATCTCTCCTGGGACCGCTCTATTCCGAAGGTGTGTGGAAGGATAAATGAATTATTACCGTTTTCAGAGTAATCCATCACTTTCTTATTAAAGTTCGGGAAATGCTTTGAGTGTCGAGGGAAAGCAACTCCATATCCGGTCATAGCATACCAGTTTCCTAAATACAGATTGCTTAACTTCATATCCGGTCATAGCATACCAGTTTCCTAAATACAGATTGCTTAACTCCATATCCGGTCATAGCATACCAGTTTCCTAAATACAGATTGCTTAACTCCATATCCGGTCATAGCATACCAGTTTCCTAAATACAGATTGCTTAACTCCATATCCGGTCATAGCATACCAGTTTCCTAAATACAGATTGCTTAACTCCATATCCGGTCATAGCATACCAGTTTCCTAAATACAGATTGCTTAACTCCATATCCGGTCATAGCATACCAGTTTCCTAAATACAGATTGCTTAACTCCATATCCGGTCATAGCATACCAGTTTCCTAAATACAGATTNAAGTTTATCAATCCTTTAATATTGTTTAATTAGGATCCTTGGCTTCAAGTTTATCAATCCTTTAATATTGTTTAATTAGGATCCTTGGCTTCAAGTTTATCAATCCTTAAATATTGTTTATTAGGATCCTTGGCTTCAAATTTATCAATCCTTTAATATATTGTTTATTAGGATCCTAAGCTTCAAATTTATCAATCCTTTAATATTGTTTAATTAGGATCCTTGGCTTCAAGTTTATCAATCCTTTAATATTGTTTAATTTATAATTCACCAAAACCATACTGCAGTCCTTCAATTATCATACAGGGAAATTTTCATCTTTCTAAACATCCCAACGAATGATTTGACAGGTTCTTTAACAATTCTTCTTCTTAAACACTTTATTAATAAAACGGTTTGAAAAATATTTCTTAGGTGATATCTGTCAGAGGTAGAAAATTGTAATAAAAATAAATAAACTGGAATAGAGTAAAGAAAAAGAAAAAAACGGAACAACAAAATTATGAAAAATTATGCATAAAAACCTAAAACTATATTCACCCAGCCATGTCAAGGTTGTTACGGCACAAAACTTTGAGCTCTAGTTGGAAAGGAACTTGAAAATTCAAGTACTGGTATGACTCACATAAATGAGATTGGATTGCTGTAGATAAGCTGATTTGTAATATTCAAATCTTAGTTATACAGATTTCAGAAAACTCCAATTGAACAAAAATCAATCAATAATTACTTTCTTTGATGTTTTAATATAGGGTGAGTCAAAAAAAGTTGGATTAGCGGCGTCTGGTGCAAAATTGTACCTTTTTGTGAAACTCTCCTGCATGGTATTTTTTCAATTTTTTTTCGGAAATTCGCAATTTTCAGCTTTGTTAACCCTATTCCCGCTGGGGGGGGGGGGTCAATTTGACCCCCCCCTGTAGTTTTTTTTACATAACTCAAAAAGTATTGGTCTGAGGCTGTTGAAATTTTCTGACTTTTCTTACATACCCAAAGCCCTCTCTTTAGGCCTAAAACCGGGCTTTAATACTATCTGCCTGAGTCCTCAGGCACACTGCCTGAATGACTGATTTTGCCTGCAACAAACTAAATCTTTGTTTTGACCCACTTTCACTTATCAGATTTTGATAAAATTTAGCTTTTTGGAAAGCCTATGACATAAGGAAACGGATTGCACAAGTTTTGCGAAAAAAAATTGCAAATTTTTTGCAAACAACCTGTCAAAGGAAGGTTGCACATTTTTAGTTTTTCTTGATTAAAAATCAGGTTATTTAAAATTTTGCAAAAATTTTTGTATATTTGAAATGGCATGGTCAAGGGCTTTTCAAAAATGTATAATTTGTCATTTTTTGGACAAATTTTTTTTTGCAAACATTTTTACTATAAAACTGGATTTTGCGATAAAAAATTCAATTTTCGCAAATTTGCAAATTTTTTTGCAGATTCTAAAAGTAGAGCACAAGAGCTTTCTAATGAGGTATCATTTGTCATATTTGGACATAAAACATGGGATTTAGAGGGGGGGGGGGTCAAATTGACCCCCCCCCAGCGTATCCTGGTTTTCAAGTACCCCAGCAGGGATAGGGTTAAATTTTGAATGAAAAGTTCTTTAAATCCTATAGTTCCTTTAATCTTGGTTTATTCTAAAGTTATAAATAAACGCCCTTCAGTTGAAAACTAAGGAGCAATTCAAAAAAAATTTTCCTTAAAAATAAATTAGACCAGAACTGAAAATTGCGAATTTTCTTATTACAATTTTGCCTATTTTCTGTGATTCTGTAATTCAATCCTTATAAAATTTTAGAAATTGATAGAAATAATATACATACACATTTTTGTTTTTCTGAAATTCTGATTTTGAGAAAAAAAAGTTTCACGAATTCTTTTTGGGCCATTGGAGTACCAAAAAAACATTCTAAAAGTATTGAAAAAATACTATACAGGAGAGTTGCACAAAAAGGTACAATTTTGCACTAGACCCCGCTAATCCCACTTTTTTTACACACCCTGTATTTTCTTGAATTTGTGATTTTCTTACCTACAGTTAAAAGTCTACATTCGTCATCTTGGCCGACGATATACTCAAGAACAGTCCCATCATATATAAATGCATCCAGCTCCCTATAATATATTCAAGAACAGTTCCAACATATATAAATGCATCCAGCTCCCTATAATATATTCAAGAACAGTTCCAACATATATAAATGCCTCCAGCTCCCTTTAATATATTCAAGAACAGTTCCAATATATATAAATGCATCCAGCTCCCTATAATATATTCAAGAACAATTCCAACATATATAAATGCATCCAGCTCCCTTTAATATATTCAAGAACAGTTCCAACATATATAAATGCCTCCAGCTCCCTATAATAGATTCAAGAACAGATCCAACATATATAAATGTATATTCTTTTTGTGAAATCTAAAATTTCTATTGAAAATAGGGTCAATTTACCCCATTAGACTTTTAAATTTAAAAATGAAAAGTGAAGAGTTTAATTTTATCTCATAAACCCCTTAGGTGTTCACAATTAATAACAGNGTCATTGTATTTATACTAATTTCTTGTAAATAGGGATGTACACAATTAACCACCCCAGGGCCCAGTGGGACAGGGTTGAGCCAAAAGGAAAAATAAACTTAAAAAATAAATTAAATTTTCATTTTAAAGATTACATCCTAACTAACAAGAAAATATTATTTTTAAGTCCCCAATAATGTTTTATCTAATACAAATTAAAATGTCTTGCAAATAACCCCTTTTTCAAATCAGTTCATGACTATATTAACCCTCCTTAATATTTTTCTCAATTTTTGGCAATTCTAAAGTATGAACATTCGGAAACTTTAAACATGGCATCGTAATTAAACATTTTTGGAAATACATATAATTATATTTTGTTTTGATTATCATATTTCTTAAATCAAAAATGACACAGATGTTTAGACCTAAAAGAGGAAAGTTTGGCTCAAAGAAACTCCTTTAAAATTCCGGCTCAGGAATTCTGCTGGGTTTGTTTATTGAGTACATCTGAGGGGATTATGAGATAAGCGTTAACTCTTTGTTTTTCATTTCTCAATGACTTACCCTTTCTTGACAGCTTCTACTCCTTCCATCACGTTCTCCTTGTTGAAGGCCTTCATGTACATATGCATGTTGGGGAAATGTCTCCTGGACCATTCAATTCAAATATTTTAAGAAAAAAAGATCATCTATAAACATCTGGTGTTGGAAAACAAAATTTAAACAATTTTATTTGTATTTGATAGTATCATACCGTAAATAGTTTTATATTCTTGGGTAGAAAATCATTTAGTTAAGTCTAAAATTCGTCATCCTATTTCACAGTCTTTGGGTCTCGCTGTATTTTTATGCTTTTATTATTGCAACCTGTTGTATATTTGTAGTATATAACCTTTGTCAGGTCAAATCAGATCATATCAGATCAGAATCTAATCCTACTGACTACATATCAGATCAGAATCTAATCCTACTGACTACATCTCAGATCAGAATCTAATCCTACTGATTACATATCAGATCAGAATCTAATCCTACTGACTACATCTCAGATCAGAATCTAATCCTACTGACTACATCTCAGATCAGAATCTAATCCTCAGATCAGAATCTAATCCTACTGACTACATCTCAGATTCCATGGTTTTACAGCTGATGGTTTAGGGGCTCAATATGTTAATTTTAATACCCAGTAAACTTCAAGGACTTCAAAGCTACCAAAATTACCTTGTTTCAGAACGATTTTCATACTTTTTTGTTTTCCTTATTTAAAAAATTTGGCCATTATGTTAATTATGCGTTTTAGGACTATTAAAAGTCAAACATTTTTTACAAGTTTAAGTTTTGATTAATCTAGAAAATCAGATTTAAAAAACGCCTTAACTAAAATTAATACATAAATAGTGAAAAGAATTGAAATGAGGATTTGAATTAATGTTCCCTGATAGCATTCTCTGTATAGGTCCAGGGGACTGTTCCAAATCTCAGGGGTGGTTTCATGCTCTGAGGGTTTGTCAGCTGAAAAATATAGAAAATAAAGGGACTGTACGCGTAAATTCAAGTGATTCTCTTTGCAAAAATGGGAATGCCAGATTCACAACGGCACACGCTTTGTTTGATCAAGTATGAATTAGTTCATCATTTTGAAAACTAATTATTTTTAATTGTGATTTTTTACAAAAATGACTTGCGCATTTTTATTGCAAGACAGCAGTTAGGAATTAACAGCATTAAATACTTTTAAACCTAAGAAAACGACAATATCTTCCACATAATTGATAAGATAAAGGTTTCAAAGATAATGTTGTGAATGGGACATTGTCCTTTCTGCATTAAGGTTCACTTGAAATAACGCTTACAGTCCCTTTAAAAGAAAACCTCTGTGCGGAGGTCGGAATTACTGAATGGCCAGATTTAGTTTAAACTGATTTAGCAAAAGGTCAGATTATATAAAGAGATGCAAGAAGTTGAACTTTAAATTACGTTAAAAGTGCACTCTCGGCCATTCTGTGCAAGAAGCTTATCTATCTTTGCCTAGTTCAGCTACTTCTCTTTGATTTCGACCTTAGTTCAAAGGTTATTCTAGATCAGCATGACACAGAGAGATATTTAATTTCTTTCTGTTTAAAAGGTTCCAACTCTACCTCTTTTTGTTTTCAATTAATCATCGTACAGGGTTATCCACAAAGGATTAAAGTTCAGAAAAGACTGTATTGAATTTATTAAATTTTTCATGCATAAATGGAATGCTTTGTTAACCATTTTTTTCAAATATTTTTTTTTTTACAAAATTAATAATATTTAAGGCCCGGGAATCAGATGTGAAATTAAGATCGCCATATTTAAAGAGTATCAGACCCTAATAAAAATCTTATCCTTTGTGGGTAACCCTGTACATTATAGTTCAACATTTTTTTTGCAGAACTCTTCCTTTAAAGATAGTAAGGAAGACATGTCCATATATTTATATAATTAATGGTTTAATGTTTTTTTTTATCTCACTCTATTCTTTTCTTTTTCTTTCTTGTGTAGATAGTTTTCATGGGGAATATATTAAGAAGGTTTCGTAACCCATTCAGGAAAAAAAAGCTTAGCTCCAAAATTAAAATCATTCATTAAAATTGTGGAAAAAAGAATATTTGAATGTCTTAAAGGGAGTGACGGGCAATGTATGGTAGTTGAACTGAGAATGAAGTTTTGTGGAGAATTTGAGACATATAAAACGTTTTGATGATGTATAATCACTGAGTTTGAGAGCAAAGTCGACGTTTAAAATCATCCATTTGGGTTGTTACGTTTTGAGAATCAACCTTTTTTAAATTATTAAATAACGATGACGAAAAATGTAACAAAAATTCTGCAGTTAACTTAACTAGTTGTTTAGAATCAGGTTGTGAACATAAAAATTAACTCTTAATATTGATCTGATACATTTTTCGTCATCGTTATTAAATAATTAAAACAATTTCTCCACAATACTACATTCCAAGTTTTACTACTATACATTGCTAGTCACTCCCTTTTAGGAGGAGTTTTCAATGGAAAATTAAGGATGCAAATTATTATTGAATTTGAATTGCAAACAGAAAAAGATGATAACTTTTTAATGGGCGGAATGATTTAATCCCATCTTTTACTATTCAAACTATTCAAAAGATCTTTGCTCTTAATTTTTTTTTGTTCAAGCACAAAAGAGAGAAAGAGAGACAATTTTTAACAATTTTTTTAACTAAAATTTATAAAAAAAAATGTTCACATGCTTTTTCTTCAGACATTTTCAACTCAGCGTTACATTAAAAAGATTAGGAAAGTTTATGCAATTTGTTGCAATTCAGGTTAATTTCCTTTTCTTAAATCTAATTTTCTTTAATCCTAATTTTCTTTAATTTAATTTTCTTTTATATAATTTTCTTTTATCTAATTTTCTTTAATCTTTATTTTCTTCAATTAAATCAACAATGTTAAAACTTGCACGAGGGTAGGCATTTAAGGCTTCTGTCTCCAACCATAGCTTAGGCGGCTAAAGGGGGAGGGGAATGAGGGATATCCCCCTTGAAAATGTGGGGCCCTCCCCCCCAGGTGAAAAGACGAAACCAGCTTTTTTAATTCGATATTTCAAAATGAATAAAAAATGGTATTGCAACAGTCCTCCTTTGACCAATAAGAAATTATCATTTATATTTTATTTATTATATGTTCTTTCTGATATAAATGAAGGGACCACAACATTTCAGATAAAGGTGAAGGGACCACACCATTTCAGATAAAGGTGAAGGGACCACAACATTTCAGATAAAGGTGAAGGGACCACAACATTTCAGATAAAGGTGAAGGGGCCACAACATTTCAGATAAAGGAGAAGGGGCCACAACATTTCAGGTAAAGTTCAGATAAAGGTGAAGGGGCCACAACATTTCAGATAAAAGAGAAGGGGCGACAACATTTCAGATAAAGGTGAAGGGACCACACCATTTCAGATAAAGGTGAAAGGACCACAACATTTTAGATAAAGGTGAAGGGGCCACCATTTAAGATAAAGGTGAAGGGACCACAACATTTCAGAAAAAGGTGAAGGGACCACAACATTTCAGATAAAGGTGAAGGGACCACAACATTTCAGATAAAGGTGAAGGGACCACAAAATTTCATATAAAGGTGAAGGGACCACAAAATTTCAGAAAAAGGTGAAGGAATCACAACATTTCAGATAAAGGTGAAGAGACTACAACATGTCAGATAAAGGTGAAGGGGCCACAACATTTCAGATAAAGGAGAAGGGGCCACAACATTTCTGATAAAGGTGAAGGGGCCACAACATTTCTGATAAAGGAGAAGGGACCACAACATTTCTGATAAAGGTGAAGGGGCCACAACATTTCAGACAAACGCCCGAAATCTATGTATATAAATATTTTGCTTGCTTGTCTGTCTGTCTGTCAGAATGTTTGTGTGTCCGATTATAACTAATGAACTCCTTGAACGGTTAGCCTCAAATATATATTGTTGAAATCGATTGAGCAATATTCTTAGCTTGATTCAACATTTCTAAGTTGAGTGACCTTATTTTAATAGTTTCCAGGCAAAGCTGGGTTTCCAGCAAACATATAATATATTCATATAAACAAGAGACCTCGTTATTCCGGTAAAACGAGACACTGCACTCTAAGAGATTAGGTTTCAAATCATTACTTTAAAGGGACAGTGTATCAAAGTTCAATTATACTTTATCATTAAACCGTGGGTAGAAATCATTTTAAAGGGACTGTAGAGAAAACGCAATTCTAAGAATTTATCGTCATTATTCTACCTTAAAACTGTTAAATTCTAACAATATTTTTGGCTGTACTGCAAAAAACCACAAGTCCCACAGTAAAAAATCATTTTTCAGCCAGAAATAAATGCATGTATTTTATCCTTGATCAGTACCATTGCGAGTCGAACATGCCAATCTATAAATGGAGGCAATAACTTGAAATTAATTCTACGGTTTTTCTAAAATTATGCTGACAGGTCCAGTAAAAATATAACCCCCAAAATTCCGCAATAAATCCCGAGACCATAGATAAATTAATAAAAACACATTTAAGGAGGGCTTTATGCAACATTGTTTGTTCCGTGTTCTTCCCATGTTCATTGTCTGTTCCTTATTCATGTTTGTTTTCTTAAAATCTTTCCTTTTCAAACACAGATTTTTATCATTTGTTTAAATCTTTAATCATTACTATTTATTTGAAAAAACCTCGCATTTTTAAAAATAAAATAATTAAAAACTGAGTTATTGGTCTGTTTCTAACATACTTTTTAAATGGCAGTAACTGTACAGTGCTCTGTGTTTGATATCGTTTTTATTTGTGAGTTTTGCGCAGATGCGCTGTTTTTCCTTGAAAGTTGGTCCAACTCGTGCCCAGGTGCGTTGTCTATAGTATAGTTTGTCTGTGAAAGTTGGAACCATGTGCTTTGTCTTCTATATAGGTTGTTTTTAAAAATTGGGTCCAGTTGTTCTCTATTTAGCATAGTTATCTGTGAAAGTTGGGCCCAGGTGCTGTGTCTTTGATATAGTTTGTCTATGAAATATGGGTCACGGGTGCTCTGTCTTCGATATAGTTTGTCTGTGAAATTTGGACCCCAAGTGCTCTGTCTCCTGTATAGTTTGTCTGTGGGAATTTTGCTCAGATGCTCTGCCTTTGGTTTAGTTTGACTGTGAAAGTATAGTCCCGTTGGTCTGTCTATAGTATAGAATGTCTGTGGAAGTTTGGCCCAGGTGCCCATTCTTTGTCATAATTTGTCTGTAAAAGTTTGGCCCGGATGCTCTGTCTATGATATAGTTTGTCTATAAAAGTTAGGCCCAGGTGCTCTGTCTATGATATAGTTTGTCTATAAAAGTTTGGCCCAGATGCTCTGTCTATGATATAGTTTGTCTATAAAAGTTAGGCCCAGGTGTTACAATTTTCAGACTCATGCTCAATCGACCGAGAAAATAGCTTAACAAACACTTTGCAATCTCTATAGTAGAAAGTTAAGACGAAAACTTCAAATTGATAACTATATAATATATTTGAAACCTTAAAATTACAAAGAGCTAGGGAACTTTTTGCAAAGTTCATATGAGGGCTCCTCAGCAATTTTTTGCTTGAAATTGAAAAATCGCAAATATGAAAATTGAGACATTATGTTTATTACTATTTATTACTTTAAAGCTTTCTAAATATTTGCTTACGGTCCTGTTTTTATCCATCTTAAAACAATATATTTCATGCTCATAAACGTTAACCCGGTTTATCAGGTTACAATAAGCGGTAAAGGAATTAAGTCTTTGTCACAAACTCTGATTTTTTTTAAACCTACATCTTTGCAAGAATTACACCATTAGGTTGCAAATTTTCGCAGTTTAAAAAAGTGATTAAACCATATACGGTGTTTCGAGTAACCCTGCATTTATGGAGTGGCATGTCCGATTCAAAATGTTACCCTTAAAAGATTTATCTGATCAAGTATAAATATAATATCCATTTAGATGATCAAGAATGAATATAATATCCATTTAGCTGATCAAATATAAATAAAATATCCATTTATCTGATCAAGAATGAATATAATATGCATTTTTCTGATTAAGAATGAATATAATATCCATTTATCTGATCAAGAATGAATATAATATCATCAGATCAAGAATGAATATAATATCCATTTATCTGATCAAGAATGAATATAATATCCATTTATCAGATCAAGAATGAATATAATATCCATTTATCTGATCAAGAATGAATATAATATCCATTTATCAGATCAAGAATGAATATAATATCTATTTATCAGATCAAGAATGAATATAATATCCATTTATCTGATCATGAATGAATATATTATCCATTTATCAGATCAAGAATGAATATCATATCCATTTATCTGATCAAGAATGAATATAATATCCATTTATCAGATCAAGCATAAATATAAATAAAATCCATTTATTAGATCAAGAATGAATATAATATTCATTCATCAGATCAAGAATGAATATAATATCCATTTATCTGATGAAGAATGAATATAATATTTATTTATCTGATCAAGAATGAATATAATATCCATTTATCTGATCAAAAATGAATATAATATCCATTTATCAGATCAAGAATGAATATAATATCCATGTTTATCTGATCAAGAATGAATATAATATCCATTTACCTGATCAAGAATGTATATAATATCCATTTATCTGATCAAGAATGAATATAATATCCATTTATCTGATCAAGAATGAATATAATATCCATTTATCAGATCAAGAATGAATGTAATATCCATTTATCTGATCAAGCATGCATAAAATATTCATTTATCTGATCAAGAATGAAAATAATATCCATTTATCTGATCAAGAATGAATAAAATATCCATTTATCTGATCAAGAAAGAAAATAATATCCATTTATCTGATCAAGAATGAATATATTATCCGTTTATCTGATCAAGAATGAATATAATATCCATTTATCTGATCAAGAATGAATATAGTAGCAATGTTTTTGTTTTTGATTTTCTCTTTTTAAAGTAACTTGGGCATTTTTTGCTTAAGAAACAATGCAAAAGTTACCAGAATTAAACACTTTCCAAGCCAGAAAAATGATGAAATATTCCACGTTATTGACTAAATCAAACTTAAATGGTACCGTTTTGAATCGAGCAAGCTCTTTTTTTTACAATGGAGGGTCACTTGAAGCTGCAACTAAACTCCATTTAAGTAAATGTTATCTTAAACTGAAAATTAAAAAAGAAAATGCTTGAACTGGACTAAAATAATTTAAAGTTTGGATGAACGTTAATCTGGATGATTTTGAAAAGTTTAAAACTTCTTATCTCTGTTATTAAACTTCGTAATATAAACTTATGTTCTTATATTTTCAATTGTTTAAAGGGACTGTAGACGTATACTCAATGGACCTTCCATGTACGTACAGCCTAATATAGTACTGACCTGAGAACGGACTTGTACTTCCATGTACGTACAGCCTAATATAGGACTGACCTGAGAACGGACTTGTACTTCCATGTACGTACAGCCTAATATAGGTCTGACCTGAGAACGGACTTGTACTTCCATGTACGTACAGCCTAATATAGGTCTGACCTGATAATGGACTTGTACTTATTAATCCCGGGTCTCTGATATAGAAATTCACGATGTGATTTTATAGAGAACCGCCATTGAAAAACACACCCATTTTCATCAAGAATAACTCCATTATTTTTGCTTTAAAATGATAAAAAAGGGTACTATTGTGAATCAGATATGTATGCTTTCTTAAGATTGAGGATCACTTAAAAATTAGGTCGTCAGTTACTTTAAATATATAGTAAGTCATCCTTTGTTTTCGATTAAATTCTTCACATTTACTTGATTTATATTTTCTTGATGTTGTAAGCCAGATGATTTTCAATAACAAAAAGATTACAATTGTTTTCTTTGATGTAAAGCCCTTGAAATATAATTTCAACATTTTATGCTTTTAACTTAACGGATATTTAAAAAAATACTTTAAAAATAAATGGTAGAAAAAAACATTTGATTTCTCAAAAATATTCTAGCGTTGTCCTTACATACAATAAGATCAATTAGTTTTATAAAGGGACAGAATGCACCTTAGCATCTCTCTACACTAGATTGATCAATAGTGATTGCTTACCAAGACTTATCATGAACATAAACACGTATTAAAGTATTTTATCTATGAACTTATCTTTAGTACTTATAAATACTTTCCAAAATCAATCAGGTTCATTACTCTAGTATTATATAGGTCATGATTACTTACCTAAGCATCATCTGTATTATATTCATGATCATGATCACTTACCCTAGTGTAATCAAGATCATCGGTTACTTACCTAAGCATCATCTGTATTATATTCATAATCATGATCACTTACCCAAGTATTATCTAGATCATGATTACTGGATTATATTTATGATCATGATCACTTACCCTAGTATCATCTATTCCCTGGAATTGATCCCACTCCTCCCTCGTGATCATGAATGCCGCAAGGTTAGCTGTATAAATAGCAAGGAAGACGACAGCAAACAAAGCCCAGACAGAGGCCATGAACCTGAACAAAAAACACGGTAATCAAGATTGAGTAAAAAATTGAGTAACCCTTACTTTTAGATTTCATGTTTCAACCCAGTAATTGTATATTTTTGGTATTTTATATATTACTTCTACAGTAGCCATACTCGTTTAGTATTTAAAACGCGTTTCACAATATTTGAGTTAGATTTCGGAAGAAAGATTAAATTTGAATTTATTTAAGCAGGACGAACATATCTCATGAAAGTCTCGCGTGAACAAAAAATATTATTTCTTTTAGAATTCTCTTCAATGATTTCAGATTTATATTCCTTCCTGGTTTCCGCTTAACTATCTCTATGTCCCCCCCCCTTCTCGCCCCCTCCTTCATCGATCCTCCCTTTTCAACCCCTTTCCTTTCCTACATCATCCTTTTTCAACCCCTTTCCTTTCACGGGCTCCTTCTACCCCTTCCCTCTACCCTTCCTTCCTCACCTCGTTTTACACCCTCCCTTCCCCTTCCATCTACCCCTTTATTCCTCACCTCTTTTTACCCCCTCCGTTCTCCTTCCCTCTATTATCTCCTTACCTCTTCCCTCTATATATCCCCCTTTCATATTCATCAAAACGTACACACTACACTGCAGTACATGGTACCCAACAAAAGTTAAGACGACTGTACAGACTTAATGCATCCGTGTACAGCAGTCGTAGCCCGTAGGTATCTTTTAAAACTGTAAAAAAGAAAATTTATTATATCTGAACTTAAACAAAATTATGATCATTGAGCTTCGGAATACAAATTTTGCAAAGCCATATAACTTTCCAAATTCTGGATTTTTTTATTTTTAACCTCGAACCGGGAATCTACTTTTAAATACATATTTTTTGTTTGACCAGAATCACAAATGTATGTTGGGAAGATTTTTGAAAGTAGTGCGCATCACGAGGATTTAAGGGTTCTGTCTATCCTGTAGAACTGGGACTTTTTCCTTTTTTACTTTTTTGTCGGCATAAGCGTAAAAATAAGTTTAAATGACAAAATCGTAAGTTTCAAGACTGTTCATTTCATATTTTCATATTTGTATTCAACTACTAAGCACGAGATAATAGAAATAAAAAATCACAATTTACTATGTAGGCGGGTCCAAACTACATAGTAAATTGTGATTTTTTATTTTAATTATCTCGTGCTTAGTAGTTGAATAAAAATATGAAAATATGAACAATCTTGAAACTTACGATTTTTTCATTTAAAACTATTTCGTTTTAAATGCTTATGCTGAAAAAAAGTAAAAAGATTGAAATCAAGTAGAAGAAACCGAATGAATCTCGCCCTGGTTAGTTTGGGGTGATGCAAACCCAAAGTTTATTTGAAATATTGTATTTAATAAGCTTTCATACGATAATAGACAAAACATTGCACAAGTCTAGGAAACGGACAGGAAGACAAATTGCGCACAAAAAAATAAAGATTTTTATAAAGAACTGTAGTATTTAATTGACACATTTATTTTTTTTATTTTATAACTTTTTTTTATTTGAGTCTTTGCCACAAACTCAGATTTTCTAGCAACCCATAGCCGATGACTTTGGATTTTACAAACTACAAGTTCTGTTCAAATAATCTAAGTTTAAATATCAAAGGTTTACACTATCAGGTTGCAAAGATGGAGATTAGAAAATTTGAGTTTGCATGGCAAAGACTAGATTTCTTCGGTTGATTTGTTTTTCTGTTGGTTGGTTCAAAATACAAAAAAATAGTTTTTTGTAGACAACATTTTTTAACTTCTATTAGCTAAAACACTCTTCAGCCTTTCTGATGTCTATTTGATTCAAACCACAGACAATAAATTGATTAAAATAACAGATAGGACTCTAGATATCGTCTTTTTTTCAAGATTTAGAAGTATTTAATTTACAATAACCTTTTGAACAGAGAGAGACTGTTCTACGCCGACTTGTTATTGTGAAAGAAACATTTCTAAATCTTGAAAAGACGACATCTTGTGTTCTATCTGTTATTTTCATAAATCTATGCTACAGACAAACCAAATAAATATATGTAAAGATAACAGAGACAATATTATTAACAAATAACATGCATATTGGTTCGTTAAAGATTGAGACCGGAGAAAATTATAAAAAAATAGAACAGAATCCATTTATTTATTTTGAAAGACATGTTTCTAATAACATATGTGTCTTAATTGTGAAATGATCAAACAACTGCAGAGGCCGAACTTTTGCACTGCTAGTCTCTTAAGAAAACCACGCCCTCTGTAGTCAAGTTAAAGGAAAAAATTTGTTGCCAAACTTTTCGAAAAGTTTTTTTTTGCAACCCTATGGTGTATACCTTTTATATTCCAAACTATGAATTCTGTTAGATAAAAAGTTTCAGTTTTTGATATTAAAGATTTACATTATCAGGTTGCAAATAAACATGGATAAGAACATTTGAATTTGTGGCGATAACTCAGTTCCTTTCGAAGTATATTAAAATCTTACATGTTTTATTAAAATATAGTCATCCTTTAAACAGCTTTTGAGAAGAACAAAAAGTTCTAAACCCCATACTTTAATACTTTAAGCGATAATTTTTTAATCCTTGTAGCTTTGCACCGAATGTCGAAAGACCATTGGTATTTCAATCTCCGAACCATCAACACAGGGATTTGAAATTTAGAAGTGTCTTCGTTTTTATCTATACTTGTATAGTTTAAAATCCAAACTTTAAGAGCTACGAGGTCCCAAAGTTGATCCAGTAATTTGGAATAATGTCTAGATTGAATTTTTATTATGTTTTTGAAGAAAAACAATCCTTAAATGTAACATGGCAATCAAAAGCATAAAATCATTTAAAAACAAATATAACTATTCATTCTGAAACATTATGCAAAACAAATTTCAATGCATAAAAGAAGTGGGTTTAAAATGTTTTCAAAATTTAGGACTGTTTTGCATACTGCAGTTGCATTTATTTAATGCAGAACCTTGCATCTCATATTAGAAATAACAACAAATTGATATTCACTAAACTAAACGAAAACAGTTTTAATAAATCTACTTCTTTTAACTTTCAATTGAGATTTCACATTGATCCAAAAGTTGCAAGATCCCACGCTAAAGATAAGTGCGTTATAGTTCTTAAATGTAAATATCTAGGGTTACAAAAAAGTAAAAATGAGTTAGGGAGGAAAATTCAAAGGCCAATACGTTGCGTCACTTTAAATTCGACCAAGTCTCGAAAATTAAAAATACAAAATTTCCTAGCTGACGTTGTGATCTATACGATTTGGGAAATTAGATTTTAAAGCACTCGCCACTTCTTTGTTCACTGTACTGCAAATCCCTGCAGTACGCACCGAAAGACCAAAAGAGCATGAAAATCAAAAAAGCCTGAGTAGTGAGTATCAACTATTAATGATTATATTAAAATTTTATTGTATGAAATACTGTCAAGATTTTTCTCTTATCACGTTAGAATCAAATTTCTTTTTCAATAAACTAGTTTGAAGGAAATAAAACAAAAATAAACTTGATGTGTTTTTCACCTTCATTGCTGTTTTTACAATGTTCTGTAAAAAACAAGTCTTGGTGAGAGAAAATTTCAAAAATAACAAGATACAATATTGGATATATCTTTAGATATATGTAATATGTATACTTCTTCTCTTTCAAGTAATGATTTTAAATAACAAGATACAATATTGGATATATCTTTTAATATATGTAATATGTATACTTCTTCTCTTTCAAGTAATGATTTTAAATAACAAGATACAATATTGGATATATCTTAAAATATATGTAATATGTATACTTCTTCTCTTTCAAGTAATGATTTTAAATAACAAGATACAATATTGGATATATCTTTTAATATATGTAATATGTATATTTCTTCTCTTTCAAGTAATGATTTTATCTTATAAATGTTGATTTACATCTGACCATTTTCTGTTGCATATTTAAAATAAATTATTAGCAGATTTTTATTTCTATTCCAGATTTGTCAAAATAAAACAGATCAAACATTTTTAATTATGACTGACCATTTACCAACTGTGGGTCATGTTGGGTTCCATAATAAATCAGTTAAGCCCGGCACGTACACGCTAAAGTAAATTTGACTTCAGATTGAAATCTTTCATGTTTTTAATCATAACTCCACCTATCGAAGAGTTATTGAGAAGAATTTTTTTAAATGTCACCAAATAAATTTGTCCTTTTTAACCTTGAATCGTAAATCTAAAATTAGATATGCTACTATGTCACAAAGCCGTGCCAGTAATGTGGCAAAAATTTGACCTTTGGCCCAATCGGATCTTTATGATTTTTATTGGATACGCTATAAAAACAGACAAACCAACAAAAAACAAACGGTATATATATATATATATATCTTATTGTATTATTTTAAAAAACATTAATTTGATGCCCATCTTCTAAAGCTCTAAAGTACATATATATTTCTTATACAGAATACAATTAAGCCTTTTATTCTTTTTTTCAAAATTCTGTACTGAAGACCTTCTGAAAATTTTAAGAATTGATTTATCTTTTACGACGATTCAATTATAGTTGAAATTGATATTGATAATATTTAAAAATACCCAAAAAATCATGAACTTACCTAGCAGTGAAAGCTCTTGGACAGTCCATCTGTACTGGAGCTTGAAACAGAAGAGCCCAAACCATCCAGAAGGTTCGACATATAGAGAACTTGTGGTCTGGTTCAGAACTAGTCTAAATCAAGTTAACTCAGGTTCAGAACTAGTCTAAATCAAGTTAACTCTGGTTCAGAACTAGTCTAAATCAAGTTATCTCAGGTTCAGAACTAGTCTAAACCAAGTTAACTTAGGTTCAGAACTAGTCTAAATCAAGTTAACTCAGGTTCAGAACTAGTATAAATCATGTTAACTCAGGTTCAGAACTAGTCTAAATCAAGTTAACTCAGGTTCAGAACTAGTCTAAATCAAGTTATACTTAGGTTCAGAACTAATCCAAATCAAGTTAACTCAGGTTCAGAACTGGTCTAAATCAAAGTAACTCAGGTTCAGAACTAGTCTAATTTAAGTTAACACAGGTTCAGAACTAGTCTAAATCAAGTTAACTCAGGTTCAGAACTAGTCTAAATCAAGTTAACTCAGGTTCAGAACTATTACCTAAATCAAAATAATTCAGGTTAAGAACTGGTTTAAATCAAGTTGATTCTAGTACAAAAGGTGGCAACGTAGAATTTGTAACAATCTCAGTACAGCTGTATTCTGACGCCAAATTGTGTCCAACAAATTTATTAATAATAGTGATAATTTTAGACTAAAGTGCTTTTCTTACAGTTAAAAAAATGCAATTTTTTGTGTTCTTTATTTTCTGTTTTTACACTTTTTTATTTAATCTTGGAAAACATGTCAACTTTTGTACTTGATAATCTATTTGGTCTACATCAAGTTAATTCAAGTATAAAACTAGTCTAAATCAAGTCAAGTCAAGCTAATAACAAGTCTAAATCAAGTTAATTCTGGTTAAGAACAAATCTTAAAGTTAGTTCAGGTTAAGAACAAATCTTAAAGTTAGTTCAGGTTAAGAACTAATCTAAATCAATTTAATTCAGGTTAAGGAAAAACCCTAATTAAGCTAGTTCAAGTCAAGATCTAATCTAAATCAAGTTAATTAAAGTTCAGAACTAGCCTAAATAGATTTAATTCAGATTAAGTCTTTACCAAGTTAGTTTAGGTTCAGAACAAGTTTTTATCAAGTTAGCTTCTGTTCAGAACAGGTCTTTATCATGTTAGTTCAGGTTTCGAACAAGTCTTTATGAAGTTAGTTTAGGTTCAGAACAAGCCTTTATCAAGTTTGTTCAGGTTCAGAACAAGCCATTATCAAGTTAGTTCAGGTTCAGAACTTGTCTGAATCAAGTCAAGCCAGGTTCAGAACAAGTCCTAATCAAGTTATTTCAGGTTCAGAACAAATCTTAATTTAGTTAGTTCAGGTTAAGAATTAATCTAAATCAAGTTAATTAAAGTTCAGAACTAGTCTAAATTAATTCAATTTAGATTCAGAACAAGTCTAAATCAAGTTAGTTCAGAGCAAGCCTAAGTCAAGTTAGATCCGGTTCAGAACAAGTCTTAAACAAGTTCATTTAGGTTCAGAACAAGTCTAAATCAAGTTAAATTAGTATAAATTAAGTTAATTTAGACTCAACACTAATCTAAATCAAGTAAATTATAAAGTTCAAAACTATTTTAAATAAGTTTCTTGTCCAATTGTTCCCACTTTTGTAATTTTAATGCCTTATTTCGGACACATTCTTCCTAAATTTTAAAATGCAATTGCTTTTTTTATAGCGCATTCTCTATTTCTGCAGAGATTTTTTCTTCTAATCCTAATGTTAGATAAGAACAATGCCGATAATTGCAAAACACAATGTTTTTTCAAAACTTTTTCCAAACTCAATTAAATTCTCGGTTGGCCTCGACACATCAGGAGGGGCAGACTCGCCGCTATGAGCCTCCAGATTTGCCATTCAGTAATGAGCCTCTGCTATTAATTCTATACAAAAACTTCAAAAGTTTCTTAATTACATAGGAAGAATAATAGAAAGAATCAATTCTGGGGTGAATTCAGTTGATTTTGTTGTACTCTTTGATTTTTATAAACAATAATTTAGCATATCAAGATCTATCTTATTCTGTGCATCTAAGATTATTACAGATCAAATAAAACTGACTTTAGAATATGTTCTTGTGATAGAATACTTCTTGCATAATACACTTTTAAAGTGTTAGTTAAAATTCTTCACTAAATAGCGGAGGCTCGGCACTGCATGACACATCTTGAAGGCTCACGGCAGCCGGGGTGTCCATCCCTCGCCATAGAAGTAAAACACTACATTATTTGTTGAGAAAACCTGGACATGGCAGGCAGATGGCATGGCAAGAGGAGAGAGAGGATATAATTGAAATAAAGTTAGACACAGAACAAATTAATTAAAAAAGGAAGTAATGACGTATTTTAAAGTAAACCTATATTTAAAACAATGCATGAAAAATTTAAATCGTCTTTATATGAAATATATAGCCTCTTATCCTTTTCTAATTTTTGAAAGATTTTTATAGATAATCTTCGAACACAGCAATAGTACTTTTTCGGCAAAGAAAGAAGCAGTAAAACTATTTCGTTCAAATACATCTCCGACGTCGCTTTTTATCTGAACTTAACATATTATATATAAAAAAAACAGTTTTTAAATTTTGTTGGTCAAACCCACACTATAGTAAATAAATTAGATGCCATTTCCACAATTATAGACGTCTGGATGACTTGTTCCGTTTTTAACATGAAATAGATATACATGATTTCCTACCTTCATATTATATCCTGCAGGACTCAACCATTCAAAGAAGAAGATCGTCAGAGCGGAGATCTGAACGGCAGCAAAGGCAATCAGCAGCCAGGAAGCAGCGTCAAAAGGTTCTAAAATAAAAAGTTTAAATTTTTAATTTAGTTGCAACAAAGGGAAATTAGAAGCTGTAATCGTTATTTACAACTACAGGGTGTCCCACGAAACATGACAGTTGGTAAATAAATAAATAAAAGATCAACCATCATTCTGTGTCAATCAAGGCTATGCTCTTTTCAAAAATAAACGCCAAAGGACGGAAATTAATTTAACATCAGTCGATAAATGACACTAGTTTAGTGTGAATCAACATGTCAAGGCCGAAGCCACCCAAAGTGATTAAATTTGGAAGCCACCTCCCCACTGTACGCTTACAGTCCAGTATGGTCTGATTCAATATATTTCTTATATTATTCTTTAATTGATTAATTAATATAATGAATATTATAAGCAGAATACAATTTTTGGTTTAAAAATGTATGTTGTGTGCAAAATTAAAATTTGTATTTGGTTTGCAAAGACTGTATTTAACTTAGACTAGTATTATCTTGTTTTATTGGATTGAGAACATTCATTAATACTTTTAGAGTCGGAAATAAAATGATAAAATGGTTTAGAAGGTTGTTATGTGGGGGGAGGTTAAAGAGTTTATATATTGCACAATGGAATGTGGTGTATTGGAGGTCATTTTACCATAAGACAACCTGAACATACTTAATTATACTTAATACTTAATCAGCAAAAGCTTTTTTTTCTGTATAAAAGTGAGATTCAGATTTGTGCGACAGAGGCAAAGAAGGAACTGTCAGAAAATACCTCTTTAACAACAACAAGTAACAATATTTTCTTCATAGAAGTTCTCAGGGTACTGTTGTGAATTCAACAAGTCAATTGAAATTATGTCGACAGTCCATTTTCTTACTGAATTAGACAGAAGAAGTAGTTAAAATTTATGCACAAGTTTATTGACCATAAATACAACTTCCCCCCCTTCCTCCCGTAAGTCGTTTTTACCAAAACCTACCTTGGAGAAAACCCAAACCAAAGCAAGTCTCTGTTCAAATCTATCTATACACTCCGAAAAAGAAACAACAAACAGGGAAATGTTTTGCTAAGTGAAAGATCAAATCCATAAATAACTTTGCAATTAATAGTTAATTCCACTTAAAAAATCGGGTTTATATTTTCAGAAGTATTTACAAATGTTTTAAACTATTCCATCAAACCCTAATCACTCCTTTAACTGTGTCACGAATAACTAGATATTTTAAATATTCAACCAAATTCATATATTGTCATTTTTACTTTTACTATACATGTAATTTATAACAGGTTTGAAATATATCTATTTACTGATTATTGAAGACTACAGTGTCCGAGTTGAGGAGCCAAACCAATGAACCAACCTAACCAAGGAACCGTAACCAACGAACCAATTAGCCAATTAACCAACCAGACTTTTAGTCTGTTAAACACGGACGCCTGCCTATTGTTTTACAAACTTAGTGTCCTCGTCCTAAAAATATTTTCCCTTCCCAATTCCCCAATAGCTTTTTAATAAGAGAAATTATAATTGAAAACATTAAAGATTTGAATCTTACGTGCAATCTACTTTATTTTGACATGTTTTATATGGAATTTAATTTTATCCACGTGGACAGACAATGTTCAGCATGTGGGGTAATTCACATTCTTTATTTCTTCGTAAAAGTTGACATTGCTTCAATAAACTTTAGAATTTTCCATTTGCTGGAATTCTTTGCAGAAATATCGGAGGGGGGAGGAGGTATATGTTTCACTTGATTCTAAATACAATGCCATGGCAAATTATATACAGAAAAAGGAATTGAGTCTTTGTCACACATAAATCTGCTTACTTTTTTAATCATTAAAACTTGATGGTCTATACCTTTTTATTATTCAAAACTTTAAAGTTTGAAATACCTAAGGTCTGCGACACTGGGCGAAAAACTGAGAGAAAAGGCGAAAGTTTTCGTTTGCATTTTGTAAACTTTTTCGCTTAATTTCGAATTTTTTCGCGAAAATGAATGAAGTGAAAAATTCCGAATTGTTTCACGAAATTTTCGCATTTGTTGCGAAAATTTCGCATTTTTTGCGTAATTTTCGCATTTCTTGTTTCGCTAAAAATTTTCTTTTTTGCTGCAAACCCTAGGAAAACTAATGTCTTTTAAAAGAAAATTTTAAAATATTCTGTTAGTACGGTACAAATGCAAGGAAAGACAAAAAGAAGAAGAAGAAGAAGAAGAAGAAGATGAAGAAGAAGAAGAAGAAGAAGAAGAAGAAGAAGAAGAAGAAGAAGAAGAAGAAGAAGAAGAAGAAGAAGAAGAAGAAGAAGAAGAAGAAGAAGAAGAAGAAGAAGAAGAAGAAGAAGAAGAAGAAGAAGCAGAAGAAGAAGAAGAAGAAGGAGAAGGAAAGGAAGAAAGTAAAAGAAGAAGAAAGAAGACAGAAGAAAGTTAGAAACTAAAGGATTAATGAGAAAAGTTGAGAGTGCACTATGTACAATGTACATTGTACATTTATAAACACTTTGAACACTTTTAACATAGATGAAAGAATACCTATAGATTGAAAAATTATATAAATACGTCATCATTGTGATTCTACTGATTACGTCCTGGACTACTGAAAAAATTCGTCCTACAATTATTAACAAATCTAGGTTGAGTTTATTTTTACAGTACTAATTTCCTCCAGATGTATATATATATATATACTTTGTCTGGGTGTCACAACGGCTGAACCGATCGGGCCCAACTTTTTTTTTTGTGGGACCTCACGACCACGTGACCACAAGGAAGGTTTATGGATGATCGAATTTTCAAAAATTTACCTCTCACAAAATTCGATCTTTTTTACAATGTTTTACAATGTTAAAAAGAAGATGGGCGCGAAGCGCCCTAAAAGTAATCCACTTGATTGATTTTTTGTACTTTTGTTCTGGTACCCATGATATAAAAATATTTCTTTATCTATGACAATAAGTTTATGAACACCATAGACTGGAAAATATTACAGATATTTGTTTTATGTTTGGTTGAGTTGTTATAGGAAGGAAACCTTATATTGGAACATTGATCGTTCTAGTAGTTTTTGTAATATTTAGGTTTCTACGCTATAATATGTAATAATATTATCAATTATATCTATTAAAAATGCAAAATGCAAATTGAAAAATTATAATGGAAGCAAACCTGAGATTCTCAGGCTCCTGTAGGATATAATCGTTTTTAGATTGCTTGCGTTTTGCTGAATATGATCTGTTTAAACCTACTACTTTTATACAAAATTGTATATAAATAAATTTTCGTATAGTTTGGACACCGTTTTATATTAATTTCTCGAGACAGGAACATCAGATAGATGTCTTATATGTATCGTTCAATGCCTTGGATTCTCAGGTTTAATCCTATACCCCCTTTTTTATTTTTCCTTTACAGTCCCTTTAGAAACCAATCTGAAGTCTGTGCTTTTTCCCCAAACTATTTGCATGTCTTCCATAGTTTTACTTTTTTTTGGCTATACGCCTTTTTTAAAAGTAATTTTAAGTGACCCTTCATATACAGAGTGTCATGTCCAATTCACAACTCTTTAAACCGAAGGATGTTTGGTCACCATTTTTTTATACCCAAGGTGGATGAAAGAAATTGTGTTTTGAATTCTCAAAAAAATCAGTGTAAATAACGTAGACAGTCCCTTTACAGTGAAAACTCATGCTTACCCAGGAATGCTGTTGGAGAGATAATTCCAGTTCTTTTTGCAACCAGGATTGCAGTCCCAGACTCTATATAATTAATTTATTGGTTTAAACCTCATTTCAGGGGCGTTTACAGTTTATCTATGGAGTGGGATAGCCAATACCTCCCCCACCCGGGCACACCCTCCTTAGTAGTTCCATGGAGGGGCAAAATTGGCATATGAGTTTTGATGATTTCTAGTTTTAAAAGGGTAGTGTAATTTCCTGGGGAAAGGGGATTAATGCTTCTCACCCCCCCCCCCCCTCCTTTCTACAGCCTTTATGATTTTTTAACAAGGATGTTGTTTATTGCACAAGTTTAGAACAGTGTTGCTCACATGACTTACAGAATCTGAGATGGAAATACCATGTTCAACAATTTTGAAACAAAAGAAACTTTCTTCTCATTACCATAATTCAAGTCAGGTTCTAGTATTGTCAGTTTCGATGTAAAGTTTGATTAACATCCGGAAATAAAGATGGACAAACTATGAGATTTTTCACATTTTGTAATTTTTTTCAAAGAAAAAAGGTGATACTTTTGTTTCCTCGAATAACAACGCAAAGGACATGGGAAAAAAAATCCGTGATAAACATTTATCTTTTTTATCTTTTATATTTACAGTGAGATTCTTTAAAGAAACTGATTATTCTCTTCGAATGTAAAAAGATAATACATTTGCAACACGAAATTTATAATATCTCCAGAATTCTGATTAATAGTCAAGTTTGAAATAGAAAAGATTTTTACCGTCCGGTTGAAAATATATGGTTGAGAAAATCAGAGAGTTTGAGATGAGTAATTAAAATTTATATATACTTAGTATATATTAGTAAAAATATGCATAAAAGAATTATGCCCGAACCTGGGTGAAAAGTTTGATTAAGATTCTGTATTTGGTTTATTGTAAAACAAGTTACAGTGTTACTCTGGTTTATTGTAAAACAAGCTGCAGTGTTACTCTGGTTCATTGTAAAACAAGCTACAGGGTTACTCAGGTTCATTGTACACAAGCTACAGGGTTACTCAGGTTCATTGTAAACAAGCTACAGGGTTACTCAGGTTTATTGTAAACAAGCTACAAGGTTACTTAGGTTCATTGTAAACAAGCTACAGGGTTACTCAGGTTCATTGTAAAACAAGCTACAGGGTTACTCAGGTTTATTGTAAAACAAGCTACAAGGTTACTCAGGTTCATTGTAAAACAAGCTCCAAGTTTACTCAGGTTAATTGTAAAACAAGCTACAGTGTTACTCAGGTTAATTGTAAAACAAGCTACAGTGTTACTCAGGTTCATTGTAAAACAAGCTACAGTGTTACTCTGGTTGATTGTAAAACAAGCTACAGGGTTACTCAGGTTCATTGTAAAACAAGTTACAGTGTTACTCAGGTTCATTGTAAAACAAGTTACAGTGTTACTCAGGTTCATTGTAAAACAAGTTACAGTGTTACTCAGGTTCATTGTAAAACAAGTTACAGGGTTACTCAGGTTAATTGTAAAACAAGCTACGGTGTTACTCAGAAAAGACGAGATATTAAAAACGATCTAAAACTCTTAAAATATTTATATCTGAAATCAAATTTGGTTTGGTCTATTTCAGATGGATTTTAACAAATAAACTGACCAATTTGACAATGAAAAATACAGAACTAATTCTGTGAATGTAACAAAAATATTCTTTTAAAGTCTCATTATTTTTGAGTACCCCTGTATGTACCTAGGAAAGGAGCAGTGAAGTCTACAACAGATTCTCTTTCAGCATTTATCTTCAGAGAGGTTAAAACCATGTCAAACTTTTTAGAGACAAGTTCTAACATCAACCCGTTCCATTTTCCATTCTAAATATAGTTCCAACATCAACCCGTTCCATTTTCCATTCTAAATATAGTTCCAACATCAACCTAAGTTCTTATTGTATATTTAAAGTTCTTATTGTATATTTAAAGTTCTTATTGTATATTTAAAGTTCTTATTGTATATTTTCAAATAGAGTAAAAAGTAGAAAATATTTATGTTAAAAATATATATTTTTTTACACAAATAAAGAAATAATTTTACCAGAAAAAAAAAAACACAACTAAACCAGAACCTTTCTTTCTAATCCGTTTCCCCATAACTCAAGAATTTATTCTTTGCTCCTTCTCCTGTTCTATACAATCCATCACGATGTATATTTTATCTCAATACTTACCTTTATACATTCTTTACATAAATATAAGTCTATCTATCTATCTATTTATCTATCTATCTATCTATCTATCTATCTATCTATCTATCTATCTATCTATCTATCTATCTATCTATCTATCTATCTATCTATCTATCTATCTATCTAAAGGTTACAAAGTTTCTTTCTTGGTCTCAGATTACTTGTTTACAAGTCTAAGAAAACACTGAGACATTAATATCTTCAGTGGTTAAAAGATCGCAAACATTTCAGAGGAAACGTAAAGATTCTAATTTTCGGATAAACGTCCGTGAGACGTTGGAATCCATTTTTGGCCGTTAAAGGAAGATTTTTCGTTGAACTGTATGATTTCACTTTTAAAGTTGATTAATTAAGGGTTAAACGTTACATTTAAGGGGTTTAGAATTAAAGATAAACATATATGACTGAAAATATGTCACTACAGAGTCAGACAAAACATGATTTACTTCGTTTTCTTTGTTTCACAAAAAACACGTTTTTATTAAAGAATAATTCTGCGTTTTTTTTTAATAAATATGGGTTGGATTCGTTTTCGTTTCTTTCTATTTGTTTTATTCAGTTTTGTAAATGCAGATTGCAGGTAAAAGGATTTATTTATATAATTATCCTGACCGTAATTGGGTTATATACTTTCTTTACGGGCGACAGAGGAAAGGGGGGGGGGGGAGGGTTGAAGGGCGTTGAAGGAGATATTTTGGTTTGCATATAAAAAATAGTAAAAGTATGAAATGAAGTATTAAAATAGATAAATAGATCAATATTTAGTTTAATAAATAATGTTTCACATAATTAAACAATTCTTTTGGCAACAACTTTATAATTGTTTTTGACTGAAAATATCAGGGAGATCTTCAAGTCATAATAGTAATAATAATAATATTAGGGAATTCTTCAATATTTCCGAAAAAAATTTAAAAATCCCTTTAGATAAATCGTGTGTTGTATTTGTTAATATATTTGCTAATCTGAAACGTTCTATAAACAGTTTATGCAAGGAAAGGTTTAATGTTTTTATAATATTTCATTTAGAATTCGTGTATTTACATAATCTTGTATATATGTTTGACGCCTTTAATGTTATTCTAAATACAGCATTTATCTTGAAGGATAGTTTTCATTTAAACATGTTATCTTTAAATCATCTAAAATGATAATCTATCACGTATTTTTTGTAACTCTATAAACTAAGATAAATTATGATGATCAGGATAAAGACAGAGAGATTTGGCAAGACGAGTTGAAACTAGAAAGAAATTGTTTAACCCTAAACAGGCTGGAGGGGGGGGGGGGCGTTTATTATTTTTAGAAACAATAGTTATTGATTATTTTTCGACGCATTCGTTTATAGTTAATATATTTCATAATATTTTTGATTTTGTTTTTTAAAATATAATTTCGCTGGCACTGTATTTTTGAATATTTCTGGAAATTATCAAAAATCCTTGAAACAGGAATAAATGTTTTCAAAAGTAACTATCTGATCATAAAAATGAAGAAAAAAATAATATAAAATATCAACTATATACGAATGCGTCGAAAAATTATCGATGATTAGTGGTTGTAATTTCTGAATGATTTGTTTGAAATTAAAAAGATAATTTTGTAACTTTCTGAATTTGTATGGACTCTCGTTCTTCAGCATTTTAAACAATTTTGATTTTGATAAAGTAAACCTTTACTTTTTTTAATTTAGACTTTTTGATCAAAGAGAAATCATAATTTGAAATATCAGAGGTCTACGACATCAAGTTGCAAAGATATAGAGATTTAAAATCAAGAGTTTGAGACAGGTTAACTAAGTTCCTTTCTTATTTAGGAACTTGTCAAGAACATTAAATTAACTCATCAAAAATATGTCATTTTATTTCGTATTTATTATTATTACTTATGAAATTATGCTCCTAAACTTCAAATTAGTTTATATAAGTACTGTTGTTACATTTTTCTTGAATAATTATTGTTATTGAATAATTTCAAAATATCAATTCTTGACAGCAAGCTTCCAGAATGTAATTTGCGCTCTTACTCAGCAATTACGTAAATACGTTTTAAAGGTATCTTCTCAATAACACTGCACTCTCAGTTCAATCACCATACTAGCCAGTCTCTCCCTTTAAAGCCTAGCTAGTTGATTTTACCAAAATTTAAAAAATAAAATGAATTTTTATATTTACCACTATTGATCCCCATTTCGGATCCTGAACTCTCACTAGATCAAACTCAAACTGTAAGTCCTCAGCAAACTGATCAAAAACAAACGATCCTTCAATGATAAACTATTGACGATCAAAGATCGCTAGTAAGTTCATTTAAACTAAATCAAATCTACAGCCGGTCATATTGCGAATATTGTTAACATTTTAACAAATATTTAAAAGAATAAGATTGTCGAAGATTAATTTAAAGGATCTAATGAATTGCTTTAAATAACTTTTAACTAATATTTTTTTCGATCTAACATCAAAAATTCCAGACAGACTCCATAATTATCCTCTTTAGATGGAATTGTAGAAAACTTCATGTGACATTTTATTTAATTCAAAATTTGAACATTTGTTTGATCAAAACTGCAGGATATATATCTGTTTATCTAGATTGAAAAATGTTTTTTTTCTAATGCTTTTCTGATAAGGCAAAGCTTTCAACTCAATAAAGGGGGACTTTAATATTTATGACCAGGGGGGGGGGCCTAGAAAACGGCCTAAGAGTAGAAGTATGAATTTGCGATACATGTTCATAGACAAAATTTTAAATGTCAGTCTATTAAACAATCAGATCACCAACCTAAATGAGAGAATGTTAAAATTACGTGTACTGTCTCTTTAAAAGAAAAAAATGCAGGTTTATATGTTAAAGAATCTGATATCAAATTTTCAATAAAATGTTGATAAGGTTGGATAAAACCAGTATTAAACCCTGGGGTTTAGAAAAGTTCAATAATCTTCAATATTAAACATAAAAATATACTAGAAATTCAAGAAGCTTCGCGCCACACATTATTTTAAATAAGAAAGAATTTCCAAGGAAAGAAAGATTTATTCAAATATAACGTGTGCAAATATTAATGTACAGAATTACCCGAATAGGATAAGACTGTAATGACGACCTAAACTCTAGGCGGAATATTATTTTCTGTTATGTTCATATTTAAAAAAAATGTACCTAAACATTTTGTAAAGAAAGAAAGAAGTTTACAGTTGCATGGGAAACAAGATCAATTCTGTCCAGTCGTTTGTGAAGTCTCATTCTTTGTGGGTAAACATAAAGTTTTTTTTCTTTTTTAAACATATTATTATAATCAGATTGTATATTTACTGAACTTTATTATACGTCATGTCGATTTGAATTCTAAAAGATTTAATATATTTGATCTGTATTATGTGCAACATGTCGATATAAATATTATTTTTACCAAATAAATATTGGTTTTTAACATTCATAGAAAATATATTTTATAAGGTTTACTCACGAAGTTTTAACACATATTAAAGATAAAACATAGATAGTATAATCATAAGTTCATTTTTCTTTAAAAACTAATGATATTTAGATACAATTTTTTTGTCTAAAATGATATTTTCATTCTGAACTTTTTTCTTGGTATTATTTTAATGATTCGTTGTTTTCCTTGGCAAGAAGGTCCACACAGAATCCAGAACAACATTGGAACTGTTCAGTTCCATTCTTTTTCTCAGCCTCAGTACTAGAATATGAACAGAATATTAATAAATGTACTCAACACTGAACATTGGAACTGTTCAGTTCCAGTCTTCTTCTCAGCCTCAGTACTAGAATATGAACAGAATATTAATAAATCTACTCAACACTGAACATTGGAACTGTTCAGTTCCATTCTTTTTCTCAGCCTCAGTACTAGAATATGAACAGAATATTAATAAACTAAACATTCTTCCACTTAATATTTAATTCTGAACAAATATTAAGTAGATCAACTGAATATATTTATTAAAACCAAATCGAATTATTTTCTTGTTACATAAAAACCATCAGTATGTGATAGAAAGTTGGTGATATTTTTTTCATTATCACCTCTTTATTCATTTTGTCAAACTTTTTATATCAATTGATTGCTTACTTGCTAAAAGCTATAACATTTAGAGAATCTTGAGCATAATTACAATTAAAATTTTAAGATGTGAGGTCAGGTGGAAAAGGTTATGCTATATTTTACTATGACATATTGAGACTGCCCAGGAACTTCAGTCTATAATGTAAATAAACAAAGTTAGTAAATAAACTTGTGGCTTCCTACTCTGCCCATGAAATATCCAACATTTATTTACATATCAAACTAATTCCTTTGAGTCTGAAAACGTTTACACGGCTGAACCGATTGGGCCCCAAATTTTGTAAAGGGCCTCACATGACCCAAGAAAAGGTTTAGGGTAGATTAAAACTTTAAAAAATTTGCCTCCAAACATTACGATTTGCGTAAAAAAATTCTGGAAATCAACGAAAAAAAAAATCGCTCAATATCGTTTGTCTATTTAAATTCTTTTCGCTCATATATATATATATATCTATATATAAATTTGGCTTGTCTGTCTGGGTGTCTGTTTGTTTGTTTGTTTGTTTTTATCCAATAAACGTCAAGACGGCTGAACCGATCGGGTCCAAATTTTTTGTGGGACATCACGTGACCACGAGGAAGGTTTATGAATGATCAAAATTTCAAATATTTGTCTCCATCAAAATTCGATCTGGCCCAAATTTTTTGTGGGACATCACGTGACCACAGGGAAGGTTTATGAATGATAAGATTTTTTATAAAATGTGTTTTAAAGGATTTTAATTTTGTAAAAAAATTTAAATTCTTGAAAATCCGCGAATTTTTTTAAAAAATCCGCAAATTTTTTTTCTTCTTTGTCTTAAAATGTAAACAAAAAGAACATGTTCACAATTTAAATAGAAGATGGGCGCGAAGCGCCTTAAAAGCCTAGAAAAAAGGGCGCAAAGCGCCTTGAATTTCAAGTATATATATATATTTGTTTATTTGTATATATGTTAGCTATAGCTGTCCAAACGATTGGACTAAATTGGCTGAAATTTTTTTAGGGAACCCATGGGTAGTTGGGTACCCTGGTGGTAACATGGGCAACATTTTTTTGGAGCTTTTTTTTTCAAAATTCTGAAGTGTTTCTAAAATTCCCCAGGCAACGCCGGTCACTTCAGCTTTTTAAATGGCAAACATTTGGTGTTTTACAATTTATTCAGAACTGAAAACTTTAGAATTAAATATCCTTAATCCTGATCGGTTAATTGATCTGGAGATTAATAACAAGAGGACAACAAGCAATATTTAATCTGGAGATTTAGAAAAAGAGGAGATCAAGCATTAATCTCGATATCCACCATTCTAAAGTTTTCAGTTCCATTTCAACAGTTTCTTCTACAACTTGAATTCTACAAATTCTTCTCGATCCAAGAAAATTCAATTTGGAACTTTTTCTGATATTTATGCATAACTATTTGTTAAAGAATGTTCTCGAATGAATGAGACTGATGTCAAGGTTTTATCTACAACTATACATAAAGTTTAAAGCCGAATTTTACCGTTGATGATAGCTTGGAAACCCATCATATTGATTTCGCTTAAAAAGGTCAACCTAGAAACTTGTAACGTTCAAGCCAAGCTAAGAGTACATTCCTGTGGTTCTTCCAAGTATCCCGAACAAAATTTGAAACAAATTAGGCAGACATTTCCAGCGTCATGGCAGGACATTCAAAGAAATAGACAGACAAACAGAGATCACTCATTTATTTTTAAAGATACTGTCAAAGATACTGTAAGATCAATAATTAAACTAAACCTACTATAACGGTACGATGAATATATTAAACTGATTCTACTCTAACTGTAAGATGAATATATTAAACTGAACCTACTATAACGGTACGATGAATATATTAAACTAAACCTGCTTTAACTGTAAGATGAATATATTGAACTAAACCTACTCTAACTGTAAGGAATATATTAAACTGAACCTACTATAACGGTACGATGAATATATTAAACTAAACCTACTCTAACTGTAAGATGAATATATTAAACTGATTCTACTCTAACTGTAAGATGAATATATTAAACTGAACCTCTCTAACTGTAAGATGAATATATTAAATTAAACCTGCTTTAACTGTAAGATGAATATATTGAACTAAACCTACTCTAACTGTAAGATGAATATATTAAACTAAACCTACTATAACTGTAAGATGAATATATTAAACTGAACCTACTTTAACTGTAAGATGATTATATATTAAACTAAACCTACTCTAACTGTAAGATGAATATATTAAACTAAACCTACTCTAACTGTAAGATGAAAGCTGAATAGTAAATAGGGAGAAACATTTAACATTCTCCACACAATCTTTATATTTGAACTACAATCTTTAAGGGACTTGGCACACAAATGCAAACAGTTTTCTGGTTTCTATTTAATTTCAGTTTGATCAAATATTTGAAAATGTTTTTAAAAATTACAATTGTACTTTTAACAATGTTAAACTGCACTATTTTGCGTAAGTTTTCCTTTTTGTTAAACTTACACATTTTTCTCAGAGCATATTTGTAAATAACCCGCATTGTCCCTTTACTGTTTAAATCTTAAATTTTCAAACAATTTACATTCTTCTCCTCTCAAGATTAAATCTTTTTCATACAAAGTATGAAATATTTTAGTTTATAAGGAAAATTGATTGAAGAATGATACCAACGGTTTTATAGAGAGGGATACACTTTACTTTGAACATACCATGCAATTGAACATTGCAAACATTTTTCAATTCCTTGCAACATTAGTTTTACTTTTTTGTAAAAAAGGGGTACCTTAATTTGATTAACATCTTCTTATATCAAATCTAAACAATTTCTTTACAAATATGGTGGTGTAGATCTATTTGTTTTCTTAAAGAAAATATATCTTTCTATATAACAATAAAGTAAATCTTTTAAGAATCCATATAACAAATTAGTAAATATAGTTTTATATACAGAGCCCGCGATTTAAAAGCTTCGGCTCGAGTCTTAATTCCTTAAATGCAGCTTTAAGACCCAATCTTAGACCCAACTCTTAGACCCAGCTTGTGTCACGTGATTGACAGCTGCGAGATCTTAGGCTTGACTTAAGGAGTTAGGCCCAATAAAAATAAAACCGACCTTGGTTGGTTTTAGTGAAGAATAAGGCTCAATGTTGGGACTTATTCTCATCAAAACCCTGAATGCACCAATTCCTACAATGAAAATCCGCCAAATACAACATTAAACCGGTTTTATGAACTAAATTCTGCTTAAAGATAGATGCAACTTAAATTCGAAAACCCGAGCCGTAAATAAGGCTCAACAACAGCGTAGACCCGAGTCGTATTTTCTTGAATTTTTTAAATCGCCGGCTCTGGATACATGAAAATAAATTTAATTGTACTTTCATTGAAATTCCAAATAAAATCTGAGGCCGAATTTAAAGAATTACAACCGCGTCGCTGAACCGCCAAAAACCGGTTCCAAATGAGCGCCGGCTATGTAAAATATAGTTAAAATGAGTATGCAATGTTGTGGACAAATTCTTTAGGAATCAATTGAGACATATAAAACGTTTCCACGATGTATAATTTCTGAGTTTGAGTGCATATTTGACGTTCAAAATCATGAATCTGGTTGGGTACGTTTTCAAAATCGGATTTGTTAAATCATTAAATAACGACGACGCAACATAAAGTAAAATTATAAAGTAAACTAATGGTATGTTTAGGAACATATGTCTCAATTTGTCAATAAATGAATGATAGAATCAATTATTTTGTTTTCATCATTATATTGAATTTCTTATTTTCTATGAATTTATTCGCAGATTTCTACAAATTCTTTAAATGTCGCGTTTTCATATAAAAATTCCATAAAATCTTTGTTAATAATGAGAGATATAGAAACTAAGAAAGTGTATATATTTAGTTTTTGAGACTTTATTGGCACAATTATTGGTACTTTTGCTTGCGAGCTTGAAAATCTTTAGATCAATGTGCGCTAGAGATGTGCATTGTGCACTGTACAGTGTACAATGTACATTAAGTAATAATAAACAAATTTTCCACCTAAGAAGTTGATTAATAGTAATCTTTGTATTACTTCATAAAGATATATCATACTTATTTATCTACAATAATCTATTTGTTAGGATAAAAAATAAAAATAAAACATTTTCTGAATGTATTGTAGCAAAACAATAATGTAAAGAGAACTGAACACATCACAATTTCCTCCTCCCCCCCCCCCTAGCGCCCTGGGGAGTAATTTGTTGAGGATGTTTTCGGGGGGGGGGGGTGAGGAGTCGAGGGGGAAACCCCACTTTTTATCAGTATGCATTAACAACAGCCTTGTCTTGGAAAGCATTTGTCAAACAAATATTTCACGTCAAACTAAAGTAAATTCTCACAGCTTTCTACAGACACAGTGACCTCAACGGCGGAATATTTGATGAAATGCATTCAGAGAAAAGAGGTTAAAGTATAAGCTTAGTTACAATCTTTCTACCAGAGTTCCATACAGGGGTTCATTTCATGAAGATTTGTATTAGAATATTGTAGACAGGATAGAATAGAATAAAAAGAATAATCACATAAATTATTTTTTTTTGCGATAAATTAAAAAGTATTTGAGCGAGGAAGCTTAGATTTTCTGGCTTTTTTTAACTAACACATGCCCCTAACTTGAGGCTAAATGCTTTTGTACCTACTGCCTGAGGCATACTACCTACATGCCTTATTTTACCTATACCAGACTAAAACTATATTTAGACCTACTCACGGTCATTGGATTTCAACATTTTATAGCTCTTTGGAAAGCTATAACAGAAGCAAGCAGATTGCACATTTTTGCAAACAAATTTTGCACAAATTTTTGCACAGTCGCCTTTATAGGGAATTTGAACATTTTCAGTTTTGCAAATGTTTTTGCCCATTTGCATTTATACTGGGTCAAGGGCTTTTCAAAGTTGTATAATTTGTTGCAATAATTGCGCAATTTTTTTGTGCACATTTTTTGCTTAATAACTAGATTTCGCAATAAATATATGGATCTTTGCAAATTTGCCATTTTTTACAGATTAAAAAGAAGAGCCCAAGGGTTTTCGTACAACTTATCAAATGTTATAAATTTGTATAAACACAAAGAAAATAGCGACAGCCAGTCGGTAAACCAGACGTCAGGATAAATAGGGTTAAAGTTCTGGTAACAATTATAAATATCCTCACCCCCCCCCCCTCTCGTAGAATTTTATTTTAACCCGGGAAAGGAATTAACGCAATGAAAAAGGATATTTTTTAAAATTTTTCTTCACATTTACGAAGAATAAACTATGCAAGGAATGAAATATTTTTAACATCTTAACAGCTAAATTGTCTTTTATGGTCCCGGTGGGGGTAAAAATTGGAGGGGGCTGGCGCATGGATTCTCCCCTTTATATTTGAAATTTGTTTGATGGAAGCTATAATCAAGAGTTTGAAGTGTAAAGAAAGGTATTCTATTAATGTAGATTGGGTGCTTAATAACAACTCTTCTTACATCATATCCTGTCAGTGTACAATGTACATGTTATTTTTTAAACCTAGACTTTTAACATCAAGATAATTCTCATTTTTCCAGGCCAGCTCATTTGTTACCATTTTTCTCATTGTTTGTCTTGTAAGTTTCTGTTTTGGAAATCCTTCNTCCCCCCCCCCCCCTGGTCAAGACATAGTGTAAATGTAAGGCAGCCAACTACCCCACCCCACAAAAAAAATTTAATTTCAACATTTAGGCCATGCAAATTTTCGTTCTTACTTTCCCATGATCCAGGTAGAGTATGCCAGCCAGCTGACCCGGCCTACCCCAACAGTTAACTCCGGTTCATTTCAAGAACAGGGCCGACTTTTGATCAGCAAGAGCTAGACTGTATAAGGCACAGCTAGACAGTACGCCAAAGAAATAATCTTCTTCTTATGAGATATCTGTGCCCGCCCCCCATTAAAAAAATCTAATGTATTTTTATTAATTACGTTATTTTCTTAAATTTGTTTACAGTCTTATGATTTGGGACCCCTTCTCCCCTTCCCTCCACACCNCCCCCAAAAAAAAAAACAATCTTTAAAATCAGAGCGATCCAATATTAGTCTAATTAACAAACTATGATTTTAATGGTTTTTTATGTAAAGCAGAAACGGATGATAATTGAGGAAACTGATCGATTAGGTAAGATTTCTAAAAAATAAAAATAAAAAACAGATACAATTATGATATGAGAAGGGCCGGGAACCTTATCATCAATAATATAAAGGAAATGTACATAAAAAATATTGAGAAATCTTTCAAGTATTTAATTATTAACTTAATTTTGAGGAATACTGGGAATTGCTAAAGAACAGGAAATTTCTTAAATGTTATTTTTGTTCCAGTTTCGTACAGATAGTATTTTATTATTATTGTTGTTATCATTATTAGAAATTGACAAATAAATGAAACCCAGATATACCGGCTATAGGAGGGTATAAATAGCTGTTAATTCTAATTCTTGCGAGCCACATAATTTTTAGATCTACAACCAAAATGACAAAGTTATGAAGGTTAAAAAAATGACATTGTCGTGAAATCAGTGGAATATAATGAAGCATAATTCGAGGAATTCCTGTTTTGGGTCAGCAAAGTTGAGATATTAATGATTAAATGGAATTCAATCGTTTCCTCCCCGAACAGAGACATTAAGCGGCTTTTCTTAGAAGTTTTAATTGGGTTTCGAACTATCTTGGGGACATCAGATAGTAACTATCGGCTATCATAGGCAGAAAGGGGGTGGGGGTGGACGATAGAGCCCTTCAATCCCAAAGGGAGGGGTTCCAGCTAGCCCAGGCAGGAAATGGGGAGAAGAGATGGAGTGGAGAGATGGAGTTTTGCCAAACTTTAGCTATGCAACCTGTTTAATTTTGATATTTCAAGCTGAGGCTATTTGATCTAACATGTTCATTGTTTGTTCATTGTCTTGTTACAAAGATATAGGGATTGGGAAATCTGAGTTTGTTGCGTCGAATTTTTTTTTACCTGTTTTCCATCCTGCAACGAATCCCTCGATCCACATTACACTTGCCAGAAACCGGATCAGGGGGAGCTATGTTGATAAAGGGTGGTTCCTCAAGGAATCCAACTGTTAAATGAAACTTCTCAGGAACACCCTGGAGACAAAGATAAAAAAAATTAGATTTCTTGTGTTATTTTATGACACGCGACAAATAGGGGCGCAGGTAAGGACAATATTTCTACCAAGCTACTGAAGGAAATAATTGAAAGTATTGTCTATCCTATAGCGCATTTGTTTAACCTTTCTTTTAAAACAGGATATATCNTTAAAAGAAAAGTCGCCAAGATCTATTTAGATAGTTATGCAAATTATATCTGTAAAAAAAAAACTGTGTATCATGTGGATAAACTTAGTCTTTACTATCTTCTTCACCCTCTAGTTCATAAACATGATTCTAATAACTTATGTTACCCTCTGTTCCAACCCTTACACTGAGTATCCTCCCTTTTCTTTATACTCCCTCACCTCCTCCTTACCTTTTACCTGATTTATTATCATTTTTATGTTTAAAATGTACAATGTACATTGTTTTTATCTGCAATTCTCATTCGTTTATAGTGGGCCAACCAATTAAAACAACCTACTCTGGTTAGGCGGGTCCAAACTACATAGTAAATTGTGATTTTTTATTTGTATTATCTCGTGCTTTATAGTTGAATAAAAATATGAAATATGAAATGAAATGTCAAATGTCCACTTGCTGTTTTCAAGATTTTTTATTGTTCTGAAAGATTGCTTTTTCAATATTGTGCAAGAGGTTTGTTCTGAATTGAGAAATAAAGCCAAAAACGTAAAAGAAAATCCATTGAAAAAAATCGTGTTGAGAAATCGTTTTTATAAATCCTGTTGTGCATCATTTCAATATCAACAAAATATGATAAACAAATCAGATTTTTGTAGAACCTTAAATGTTTAAAAGCGAACCAAACAAAACAAAGTTGCTAAAACAAAAATAGTTTCCTCGTGTGTTAGAGTACTATTCATGGTTATCTTTTCCCTCTGTACATACGTAAATACTTATATATTTCTATTCATGTAAAAATTTAAGTATTGCAGATTAATACATAGAAATGAAGTAAGGTAGATAGATAGAAAGATAGATGGATAGATATAAAGATAGATCTCTTTTCATGCAAATCATGTGCATAGGTAATTATAAATAGATAAATAGATTCATTTTAAGTCTGTATAGCAGGTTATAGGTAGATAAATGTCTATTTATGTAAATTATGTATATTAGATAGATAGACAGATGTCTATTCATGTACAGTATGTATATTAGATAGATTGACAGATGTCTATTCATGTACAGTATCTATAGAAGGAGCACGATCATCCAAACATTTGCTATCAAACTCATTTACTATCAACTCAGTTGCAATCACATTCATTTGCTATCAAGCCTCATTTGCCATCCGGCCTCAACTGCTTTCAACACATTTGCTATCAAGCTATGCACTTGCTATCAGGCCAATTTGCTATTAATCCTCAGTTGCAATCAACAATTTTGCTATCAATCATCATTTGCTACCAAATTTTGACTTCCTCTCAATCCTTATTTTTAACATTTTTTTGTCCCAAAAATCTGCAACAAATGGAAAAATTCACAACATTTGGAATTCTTCATTCTCTGACAAACTTTGTGTGGGCATGGAACCGGCTCATTTTGTTGCCTCAAGTAAAGGTATCAACCTTTCAAAAGATATTAATAAATACCTGTATTTCCACTACAAAGACAAGGCAAACAATACGATTATACAGTCCACCTACAGGTGCCAGAAATACAGACATGGATTCAAAGTGCGTAGTTGTTCTACAAAAAGAGTCCAACGAACAGGTTTTGATAGCAACTTATTAAGAAAACAAAAAGTTTTGATAGCAACTACGGAACTGGTTTTGATAGCAACTTATTGACAAGCAACAAGTTTATGATAGCAAATAAGAACTGGTTTTGATAGCCACTTATTGAGAAAGCAACAAGTTTATAATAGCAAATAAAAACTGGTTTTGATAGCAACTTATTGAGAAAGCAACAAGTTTTTGATAGGAAATAAGAACTTGTTTTAATAGCAACTTGTTTAAAAAGCAACAATTGTTTATAATAGCAACTAAGAACTGGTTCTGATTGCAACTTATTTAGGAAACATCTAATTTTGATAGCAAGGTATTCCGATAGCAGATGAGCATTGATAGTAGTTTAGACTCGAGAGCAAACGTTTTGATAGCAAGTGAGGCCTGATAGTAAATTGACCTAACAGCATAGTGAGGTTGGATACCAAGTGCGGCGAGAGCAAGTGAGGCCTGAGTACAATAAAGGCCGAGAGCAAGTGAAACATATAGCAAGTGAATTGATAGCAAATAAAGGGATTGCAAGTGAGGCCTGATAGGAAATTGACCTAATAGCAAGTGAGGCTGAATAGCAAGTGTGGCCAAAGCAAGTGAGGTTTGAGTGAAAGTGAGGCCGAGAGCAAGTGAAACAGATAGTAAGTGAATTGATAGCATATGAGGGGATAGCAAGTGAGGCTGGCGGTAAATGAGACTGATTGCAAATGAGTAAATAGCAAGTGAGATGATAGCAAATGATCGTGCATAGTTCTTAGGTATTTCAAAATATAAATTCTGTTTTATAAAATAATCTAGATCTAAATTATCAAAGGGCTACACCATCAGGTTGGAAAGATAAAGAGATTTGAACATTTGAGTTCGAGGCAAAGACTTCATTTTTTTATCTGAAATCTTTTTGATATTTTGAAAACTAAGAACAATTGCAAACTCTTTTAAATCAAAAATGTTTTTGTTTCGTTTTACGAGGAGCATTTTTTTGAGGTTTGGAAAATTTCCAAATTCATTAAATAGATTTCTAATTAAAGAGAATGTAAGCGTAATTTCAAATAACCCTGTATGGAGTAATGATAATGTCCGACTCACAACGGTATTATGCAAGAAAAACCGCATGGAATTAAAATAAATATTTTAAAGAAACTTAAAATTGGATTTCTAATTAATACTTGATCAAACAAAGCATAGTTTTAAAGGGCACCGAGTGTTATGAATCGGGAGTTGCCATTTTTGCATGAAGGGTCAATTGAAATAAACTAACAGTCCCTTTAAATCTACCTGTGGTGGAACATGACTATCCCCCGGCCAAATTATATCTTTAATCTCCAGACCGTGGGCTTCAGACTTCCAGGACTTCCACACTCCGATCTACGTACAACACGTACATATATATTTTTAAAGGGATTGTTCACGGTTCCACAACACATATATATATATTTAAAGGGATTTTTTACGGATCTACAACACATATATATATATATATATTTAAAGGGATTGTTTACGGATCTACAACACATATATATATATATTAAGGGATTGTTAAAGGATCTACCACACATAAATATATTTAAAGGGATTGTTCACGGATCTACAACACATACATATATTTAAAGGGATTGTTCACGGATCTACAACACATATATATATATTTAAAGGGATTGTTCACGGATCTACAACACATATATATATATTTAAAGGGTTTGTTCACGGATCTACAACACATATATATATTAAAGGGACGGATCTACAACACATATATATATTTAAAGGGATTATTCACGGATCAACAAAAAATATATTTTAGGGGATTTTATACCGATCCACAACTAACTTATTATAAGAAATTGTTCACAAATTTAAAATAAAGTCCTTTTGTTTTCGCTTTTTTTGTATTTTTGTATTTTTGTATTTTTATATTTTTGTAATTTTATTTTTTTATTTTTTTATTTTTTTACTGAGCATGTCTACAACATGAGGGGGGCTGATCTCACAGTTGTTGATCATGAAACTGATCTTGGAATTATTACCCAAAAAAACTTGCGACCTGGACTACAATGTAAAGAGGCAGCAAAAAAAGCCAGAATTGTTCTTGGCCAGATCACACGGGCTTTCACCTATAGAGACAGGCATATTTTTGTGAGACTATACAAACAATATATTAGGCCACATCTAGAATTTGCAGTTCCTGTCTGGACACCCTGGACTCAAGGTGATATAGAACTCTTAGAAAAGATACAGATAAGAATGGTAGGGATGGTTTCCGGTCTGAAAGGGAGGAACTATCAAGAAAAACTTAAGGAGCTAGGTCTGCAAACCCTTGAAACCAGACGGAGAAGATTTGATATGATCCAAACATTCAAGATTCTCAAGGGGTTTGACCGTGTGGATAGCAGTACATGGTTTGAAACTGTTGGGAAACTAGACAATCTGCGTATCATTTGAACCTAGTTAGGAGGCAAGCAAAGACTGAAATAAGGAGCAATTTCTTCTCAATCAGGGTTATTGAACCCTGGAATAGATTACCAACTGAACTGAAAGAGAGCAAGACTATAAAATCATTCAAGGATGGATTGGACACTATCATGTAAACCAAAGATGCCATATAGGACCACACTGTAGCTACTGTTATAATCCTACCTGGATTTCTAGGAGTCAACATAGAAGTATCGAAGTAAGTATTTTTATATTTTTGTATTTATGGGAAGGTTTCAATAATATCTTTTTGGTTGACAACTTGGCACTAAAAATGTTTTTGTATCCTTTGTTTTGGTTGACATTTTTCCACTCGGATTGGTAACCGTGGAGTTGGCATATTTTTTCCTGATCCTGATTCTACGCAATAATAATACTAGACATACATATTTACATTTAACAATGTTAACCCTAAACAATCAGTATACTCCATTGTAAGGTCGTCTTTGACCAAAATTTTCTCCGGCAGCCAAACCCAACATTACCTCCGATGAACAGTGTAAACAATTTTCACGTGCAGTACCCTCGCTTCAAAAAATAGATAAAAACCTTTAAAAATAGTGATTTACATATTTAAAATCATTTGCCATTTTTATTTCAGAAGACAAAACGTTGTTTTAGCACTGTTCAATAACCGTATTAAACCCCTAAATAGTAAGGATATTTCATTATAATAAAACATACTTTTGTACCCGGTAAACTATTGTTAATTCAATGTATTTTGTTAGGATCAAAATAAATTGCATACCAATTTATTATCGACTGGCGGATAAAATAGAGGATAAGAAGGATATTCTGTGATTGTTTGAATGTTGTGAATGTTCGAAAACTCTAGTTAACCGGGACTATTGGTTTGGGAAATATAAACCCCTTTGGTCCTGTCCCTGGGAGGTTCAACTACAGTAGTTCTCACCGCCCATTTCGAGATCATCCCCCTTTCAAACTCAACAAATATTTATTAAATAATATATACAAATATAAATGGATCATAAACAAATATATTTATTTATTCAATATATTTGCTTATCGAAGGTGTTAATGTATTGCATGGAGAATATCAGAAATAAAAAAATACATCAATTAGAATAGATCGATTAAAATAGATCAATCAGAATAGATCAATAAGAATAAATCTATCATAATATATCAGATGGAATTGATCTATATCATATTAGATCAAAAAGAATCAACCAGAAAAGAGAGATCAGAATATATCAATAAGAATAGATCAATAAAAATTGTTTAATCAGAAAAGATCAATCAGAATATTTAAATCAGAATAGATCAATTAGAATATATAAATCAGAATAGATCAATTAGAATATATAAATCAGAATAGATCAATTAGAATATATAAATCAGAATAGATCAATTAGACTATAGTTAAATTAGTTAAATCCTTGACGATATCTCATCTCTAACGATTAACAATCTAAACATTAACAAACGGTAAAGATCTTTCTTTTCTTATTTGTCTCGGTATTTCTATTTAAAATGAAATATGAGGAAAATGTAAAAATAAGGATTATGTAAACCTGAAAGTATGTAAAATGTAAATAAGTACAAACTCTGAATGTTAAAGGTTTAAAATTGAAATACCAAAATGACAAGTTACGTTTACAGCCTACAAATTAAATCTGGTAAAATATAGTTCTGAGTCTAAAACTAAAGAACGAAAAGTTTTGACTTAAATTTTAAGTTCATGGTTAAATGCCACTTTTGACTTAATTTAAACCTGAACTTTAACCGTGAGGTTAAATATTTAACCCTGTGGTTAAATATTTAAATCGCCGAAATCGACGAGTTAAAATTTAAACAGAGGTTTAAATTATCTTGAAATCCTGCATTTTCCCTATTTGTCTATTATTCAATCCTCATTCAGCTGCAGCTGAGAAAGTGGCATTCAACTTTACGGTATATTTAAAAGTGAAAACCTTGTTAAAGAAAATTCACGTTTAGATAAATTAATTTTTGGGTGTAAACCCAAAAAACGGTTGTATGTTTTGTTTTCGGTTACGTAAGAACAGCTGATTAGCGATGGTTATGTAATATTCTCCGTAAATCCTTTTCTCTGATTGGTTCAGATTTTTCCCGGGAAATTCCAATTTAAAATTGAGAAAGTTTAATATTTAAGTAGCTATTCATTATTTTACAGAACTTTTATCCACGAACTTAAAATTCGCGCATTCTTTAGTTTTAGACTCAGGTTTAAAATCTTATAATCATTAAATTTTCGGTGAATATTTCAGAACAAAGACATTACATACAGTGAGACCCATACACCTGGGTAATAGGAAGACGACGTAAAGACTTAAGTTATGAGTTTAAATATAGGTCAATGAACAGCTGTTGCACAGTGTTGATCTTTAGGATTTTGATAACAAATATTTGCTTTATAAAATTGCCAAACTGCTAAATAGTTAGAGATGGCACTTTTCTAGAAAAAACCAACTGATTGGTTCATTATCTATGTAGAAAAACGTAAAGATAATTTTTTTTCGAAATAAAAAAAAAAGCGAAAAAGTATTTTTTATTTTTAGGAAGTCAGCTGGCACAATAAAGTAGTCAGGGGTATAAACATGAAATCAGTTGGCATATAGAGTTTGTTGGTGCCGGTGTTAAGTTAAAAAAGAAAATAATATTCCCTACCTTCTCCCAAATATGTTGAACGCTGGAACCGGAAGTGGGTTTCCGGAGATTCATCACCATCAGCTCAACATTGGAGAGACTACCGTCGGCCAGGAACTTTACTTCCGGTTTGCCGGCACTTCCGGCCATACGGACAGATTTAATGTGCCTAGAGAAACAATAGTTTTGGCAACGTATTTGTTAAATAAGGCTTGATCTACAAGTGATCAATTTGCAGGGTGAGTAAAAAAACGGGATAAATAATGTCTTCCACAAAATTTTCAAAAAAGTTTGCTTCGGATTTTAGGTAAAAACATTGATAGTTGACAAAATATCCAAAAATGAAAAGGGGGAGGGAGAGGGATTATGAAAATGTTACTCTTCTTGACAAATTGATCTTGATAAGACTATTGTAGAGAATTATGTTTATTCTAGAGGTTTACAACAACTGTTGGTTAAACAATTGTTTAGTTTTAATTTATTCTGCCTTCATATACTACACAGTACACACAGCCACTGGGATCATAATTCTAATATAGATTATATTTAAAAATGCTTATTTTAAAATTAATCCACCAAGCGACGCAAAAACTCTAATCTTACTATCTAAATATCTTTGCAGTCTGCTTTTATATATTTCAAATATATTTCTGCTAGATGAACAAGTCTTTAAAACGTTCAAGATTTACACCATCAGGTTTCAAAGATAACGGATTAAGTAAATAAAAAATTGAGGTGAATAATTAATTGTTTGTATATCCAGACAAAGTTGGGTTTCCAAGCTAATTTTTATTTAACATTGTAATCTCATTTTCTCTGTCAAGTTTGTACGTCCAATCATAACTCATGAACCCCCTTGGACGATTTGCCTCAAATTATGATCAGGAACTCGGTAGAACTAGAAAATGTTAGTATCGAGTATCGACCGTTTACTTTAATAACCCTTTCAACTCTGATCATTTTACAAATTCATTTTTTTTTGAAGTTTTGCGTAACTTATAAGTCCAAAAACTATGTTCAAGCATACTTTTGCTTGTTTTTGTTTTCATTTAGTGTAGAATTTGATCATAGAGAACAGAATATATATTAGAGGGGAATTTACTAGAAAAAAGTGTAAAACAGCCATTTTGTTGTACTGTTTCCATACTGCAGGTGTACTTCACATATTTATGCTATATAACCTTTTGGGCCCTGGAATATCATTTTATAGGAAATCTAAAATTATTGTTAAAAGAAAACCAAATTATGAAATAGGCAGTTTTCATAATTGACCAATGATCATTTCACATAGACTCTATGCCTTCCACTTTACAAACGATGATTTTCCGTTATAACTATAAATCAAATGATGTTTTTTATTCACCTAATTCATTATAAAGTTTATTTAACAGTTTAAAAAATTTGAAATTGGAATGGATAGTCTAGGGAACATACTGTATTAATGTACTCTACTGCATATAATTTGTGAACATTTACATGATTTGTACACTTTGAACTCCCTTTCAGGCTGAAAGGGACTGAAAAAATTCATACCATTCTTTAAATTCCCCTCTAATATATATTCTATTCTCTATGAATTTGATAGATATTGAGAAGTTAATATTTCAGTGAAAAATGTCTGAAGTATTTACTTTTTATGTAATTTACATTTTAACTGATAAACTTAGTAAAATTTGGGTAGCTTTTTAGACCGCTTCGCATATGCGGGGGGACATATAACTATAATGTAAACTGCATTGTCCTTTATATTTACATTGATAAAATACTAATATTTCTAATCCCTCCCTTAGAAGACTGCAGAGTTATCTCACAAAGAATATGAGCCTTCAATGTGGATCACAAAAAATCTCTTAAATGAAGGTTTTGTAGGTACTACATTAGTAATCAAATTAAATAGGTCTGTTACACTACCAGTTGCTGTGTCTCATGTTCATTGGACTATTTAAACTCATAACTTGAGTCTAAAAGTCGATTTCCTATTCCAGAGTTTTTTGGTTCTCAAGGTATTAAAAATTATTACTTGTAAAATGTTTCTCCTAAATCCCAGCTTGCTTCTGTACTCTTAGTTCCTTCGGTGCAGGATAGATGAGGCATAAGGGTCCCATTCAGCGGTGTACTCAATAACCTATGAACAGTGTACAGTTATTGTACAAGTGTACTTGTAGGGATGTATCATGTACTTATAAACCTTTAAAAATGAATCCCAACAAATTGAACCAAGTAACCGTCAAAAAAATCTTTTTAAAAAGTTTTCAGATATAAAGTTCTAAAATTTGGCGCCAAAAAGTCCTGGTGAATAAAAGCAAATGAAATAAAAAGTATCTAGAAATAAAGTTTTATCATTTATTTTACTTCATTTTCTTCACTTATTTCTAGTTCTAGAATCATTTTTTACAAGAACGTCCTCGGAAAAAGACGCTGGTTGTACAAGGGAGAAAAGTGCTGGTTGTACAAGAGATAAAAGTGCTGGTTGTACAAGGGAGAAAAGTGCTGGTTGTACAAGGGAGAAAAGACATATTCTCTTACACATTTTTTTCTGCAGACTTAAATCACTGTGTTAGAATTTCCCCTGACTTGTTTTTTTCTTCAGGCTTATTTCATCAGCACTTTAATTCCAGTTATATTTTACTCTCAGCCTTAATTTTCAGTCCCAATACTGTTTCAGAGTGAAAAAAATCCCAGAAATCTAAAACACAGGACTTTTTTTCCATTTCCTTTTTTCTTGGAGGATCAACTTAAGAAAATTGAGACTTTTCCCAAGTTTTTATTTCAAGGTCTTTATTCCTGTGATTTTCTTACATACAAACATACAGTAACAATCACTGATAAAGCATTATTCGTATCAAGGAACTACACTAGGAAGACCCAATGCAAATGTATGCAATTTTGTACTGTAATGTAAAAAGTGAACAGTTATAGTACATGAGTACCTTTCATAATTTCGTTTTATACTTATTGTACGAAGGGTACAACTAATGTGCTTTCAGAGGTTTAGAACTTTTACAATCACATTAGGCATATTTATACACAAAAAACATTTATATAAAATTCATTAGGTATATTTATACACAATGTTCCTCCTTAAAGAGAATTATGAGAAGAGAGAGAACGGAGTGGGTTCTTAACATAGTTTTTCAGTCACCATTATTTGAAGTTCCCCTGTGTAAAGACTAAAATCAGTTTCTTACTAAAAGCACCATACAAGTGTTTAATGTAAAAACTTTCTAATCAACTAGATTTATATCCAAAGTTTCAAGTTTTGAAAATAGATTTATATAAAAAGTTTGTAAAAATATCACATTAGCATAGTGTTAGTGGAGATCATTGTTAGGAAAATCTTTTTTTAAAAGGAGGCATAATATTTGTTTAAATTAGTATAAAAATGAATCGATCTCTACAAAAACTATTTTACACTAACAATAAATGTATTTAAAAGATTATGATTAAATAAAGTAATAATTAAAATGATTACAAAATAATTTTGGGTGGAGCATTAAAAGTTATTCACAATGCTTTATGAAATACGGAATGTTTAAGATGATATTGTTTTTAGATTTAAAAAGTACATATTGCTACTGTCGAATTTGTTAAGTTATGCTGGTGGATTTTAAATCCGTTTGCAAGTTACCAAGATATTTCAGATTGATCGTTAAAAATATATTTATCCTGAATAAAATCTATTTATCACTAACTGCACCAAGTAATTGGGAGAATAAATAATTTCTTGAAAAACAACAACATTAGAAAATATCCTACCTTTCTACCCCTTCTGCATATACTGACAGTGCTACAGGAATCTGATCTATTAAAGCTTGAAATGAAGTTGGGAAGCTGACTCCTAAAAATATTTATGCATTAGCAAGCTAACTCCAAAAAATATAGCTAAACTTAATGGGATCAATTGTAAAGGAATAGGCTACATCTAAGAACTTCAGGAGTTGATCGAGAGTCGAGACCTATAAGAGTTCTATCTGATGTTCTTGTCTCGAGAAATTGATATAAAACTGTGTTAAATTATACCAAAACTTGTATATGTAAAATTTGGTATAAGATTATAAGTTTTAAACAGATCATATTTTGCAAATACTCAACCATTTTGAAAACGACTAGAACCCAGAAGAGCCTGAAAGAATTTATGGTTTTCTATCTAATATATTTATTTATTTTTCTAGCAAAACAAGATTCTATTTTGTTTGTTTTTTTGTTTATAACTATGAAAGTCATTCCTATAACATCCCTATCTTCCTAACTCTTCTTGGAATTTCTATTCATTACTTTTTCTGATTTCTACATTCTTCATATCTACAAAATACACTATATTTCTACACCAAAGAACTTTATACAGTTCAAATTTGAATATTTATGGTCTGATGTGCTCGATTGGCAAATTTTTGACAATTTTCGTATTGTAATTGCTGTACGTTTAAATCAATACAATGAAGATGACTTTCTATTACGAGATTTAGTTTATACAGCCTATCAAAGTTTTAGAAAATTCTAACAAAATCTTATACGGCCAATTCTCTTTAACTAACTTGAACTTATATAATTTATCTGCATTTTATAGCTTCATGGAATTTCTATGAAAAATTATTAATTGGATATACTTTGAGAGCTGTTCAATTTACAAAAGAAGTCGAATTGTTCTAATTTGATCCAACTCTTTCTAAACTTTCAAATCTAAGATTTCATAAAATCAAGAAAACAATTAAAACTACAATCTTAGAAGATGTCATATCACTGTGTTCAAACATTTAAAAAAAGAACATTTCGACTAATAGAAATTTTGATAGAATTTAAAGAACAGGTTTAATGAAACCCGTATATTGTGGAAAAGGAAGACGACATTTACGCAATATATTTGTACTTAATTTTGCTTTGAGGGAAATAGTTTTATCAGTAGCTTATAAAACAACTAAATATGTGAAATGGGTCTGTGTACACTGCACAATTGCATCAAATTTGATGTTCATCGACCTATTTAAAATCATAACTTTAAAGGTCTTTACTGAATGAAAGGTATTTCTTTAAAAGAAATTCCAAATCTTTAAGATGAAGTTTTAAAGAACCATAGAGAATAGAATATATATATTAGAGGGGAATTTAAAGAATCTCTCAGTATGATTTTTTTCAGTCCTTTTCAGCCTGAAAGGGTGTTCAAAGTGTTCACAAATTATATGCAGTAGAGTACATTAATACAGTATGTTCCCTAAACTATTCATTTCAATTTCGAATTTTTTAAAGCTGTTAAATAAACTTTATAATGAATTTGGTGGATAAAAAACATCATTTTATTTATAGTTATAACGGATAATCATCGTTTGTAAAGTGAAAGGCATTGAGTTTATATGAAATGATCATTGGTCAATTATGAAACCAGCCTATTTCATAATTTGGTTTTCTTTTAACATTAATTTTAGATTTTCTATAAAATGATATTCCAGGGCCCAAAAGGTTATATAGCATAAATATGTGAAGTACACCTGCAGTATGGAAACAGTACAACAAAATGGCCGTTTTACACTTTTTTCTAGTAAATTCCCCTCTAATATATATTCTATTCTCTTTGTAAAGAACACACATCAAAAATACACTTTTTTAGGGAAGTTTAAAATTAAATATAATTTAATGAACTACAAATGAAAACTTTTTTTATACATCTAACGTTTATTCTCCAGGAGTTTATCAATAACTATACATTTCCAATCCCTCTAATACACCCCCCCTCTATCCTTTTAGTTTTGTATTCAGTATTCATGCAAACACTTCATTTTCCATTACTATTCACCAATCCACAATAATTCATACTTTCAAACGTCCATCCTTTCATCCTTTCCACTCCACGCTTTTTTACTTCCTTTATCCTTTTTTCCTTTCATTCTTATCTTTTTAATATTTCCTTGAAGAAATATTTTACAAATTTCAACCAAGGCCATTACAATTAGAAATAATTTTTCGCTATTTTTTTTTAAAGCTTTTCGTCTGCATATACGTTTTTAATGAAAAAGTATTGCTGTTTAAAAATTGCTGAATTATTGACCGAAACTCTGTAGGTTTAAATGTTGTTAAATTATTGACCGAAACTCTGTATGTTTAAAGATTGTTGAATTATTGACCGAAACTCTGTAGGTTCAAAGATGGCTGAATTATTGACCGAAACTCTGTAGGTTCAAAGATGACTGAATTATTGACCGAAACTCTGTATGTTTAAAGATTGTTGAATTATTGACCGAAACTCTGTAGGTTCAAAGATGGCTGAATTATTGACCGAAACTCTGTAGGTTTAAAGGTTGTTGAATTATTGACCAAAACTCTGTAGGTTTAAAGGTTGTTGAATTATTGACCGAAACTCTGTAGGTTCAAAGATGGCAGAATTATTGCCCAAAACTCTGTAGGTTCAAAGATGGCTGAATTATTAACCGAAACTCTGTAGGTTAAAGGTTGTTGAATTATTGACCGAAACTCTGTAGGTTTAAAGGTTGTTGAATTATTGACCGAAACTCTATAGGTTTAAGGTTGTTGAATTATTGACCGAAACTCTATAGGTTTAAAGGTTGTTGAATTATTGACCGAAACTCTGTAGGTTCAAAGATGGCTGAATTATTGACCGAAACTCTGTAGGTTCAAAGATGGCAGAATTATTGCCCGAAACTCTGTAGGTTTAAAGATGGCTGAATTATTAACCGAAACTCTGTAGGTTAAAGTTTGTTGAATTATTGACCGAAACTCTGTAGGTTTAAAGGTTGTTGAATTATTGACCGAAACTCTGTAGGTTTAAGGTTGTTGAATTATTGACCGAAACTCTATAGGTTTAAAGGTTGTTGAATTATTGACCGAAACTCTATAGGTTTAAAGGTTGTTGAATTACTGACCGAAACATGATTAAATTCAAATAGTAAAAACCGAACTCATCTAGTCCTGGTTAGTTCCGAGTGCCCCTCAAGCACCTTTAAGGAACTGTAAGTGTAATTGTAAGTGACCATCCATGCAAAGAATTCAATGCTCGATTCACAATGGTACCCTTAAAAGGTTCGTCAGCTCAAGTATGAAATCAATATAAATGCTTTAGTTTCTTTAATTGTTATTTTATTTGCGGGTTTTCTGCGAAAGTGACCTGCGCATTATTTTATCCCAGCTTTAAGTTAAGCAATGAAAAAATCACAGAAATAAACATATTGTTAGGCAGAAAGACGATATCTTCCACATTTTGAACAGATTAAGATTTTTAAGATATCGTCGCAATCGGACAATCTTTGTATGCAGGGTTGCTTGAAATTACCCTTACAGTCGCTTTGATGAACGTCTATATATTTACTATTAGTCTACCCTTGTAAATCCTTTATCTCACCATAGTATATTATATACCTCAGTATAAAACATTTCATTAACTCAATTCAATAAAAATATGAAAAACTTTTCAGATTTTTAGTTTGAATATAGTTCATAATTTATCGTACTATCCATATCATTTTGTATTAAAAAACTAGAAAATGAAAGAATTTCTAAATTACTTAAACTGACTTAAATTCTCATCTCATTGGCTTATCAAAAGAAATAATAGGATAAAGAAATAAGAATAGCATTTTTAGTGACAAAATAGGAGACACTTATTCCGACAAACTGGTGAGGATGCAATTATTAAAAATATATATCCGATAATGAAAAATCATTTTTTAAGATAAATTCAATTGTACAAAACATCTAACCTTTCATAGTTCTCCCAGGTACCTTTGGTAACAGATTCATGAAGAGAATGAAATATTTTGTGTACAACCTAAAAAGATAATTGAGTATCTTGGTTTTGCCTTGTCTTCTTACATACTTTTTTTTGTCAATTGCTCATAAAAACACCATTAAAAGGGTCTAAACTGAAGAAATAAAACAAAGTGTCAGATTCTGCCGTAAAGCTAAAATGTTTTGCACTCTTGCAGTTTTGTTTAGCTTGACAAAACGTAAGAGAAAAACATGATTTTTGATTATTTTTATCGTTTTACGCTCAAGATAATATTTTTAATGCTTATTTCCCGTAATTTCCTACCATTTTTTTTAGCTTTGCAGAATTGCACTTTATGTCTGCCAATGACATATATAGATCTGACCGTATGTTTATTTTTTCAATTTATAATTTCAAATGGTGTTTTTAAGAGCAATTGTTAGAAAAATACGGAATTATTATATTAGAATTTATATAGTAATTCATGGACAAAACTAAGATACTCAATTATCTTTTTAGGCTGTACACCAAATATTTCGTTCTCTTCGTAAATGATTAACCTCAGGTACCTGGTAGAACGATGAAAGGTTAGATTTTTTGTACAATGAAATTTATCTTTAAACCCTACTTTTGACTAGTGACATGTGATGTAAAAAGACAAAGCTTTTTTATCAAACTTTATTTGTTGAACACACGTTTTATCTAAAATTCATTTTAAAACTATGTCAGCTATTTATCTTAAGTCTTTGCAAAATATTTTGAAGAATTTTCATATTGAATTTTTCATATTAGAAACTGCACACGCACTTCCGCCCTTTTAGTAAAAGTAAATTCAACCTATATGAAGCATAAAGCCTGACCGAGTCAACTTTGTTGCACCAGCTAGTTAATTGTATTCTTTATTAACCCAATATCCGTGCGGTGCAGTACAAACTGGGACCGGAAAGGTTGACCCGGATCGGAAATTCAAATGTACTACGGCTGGCCGTGTGCATAAAGGATTATGCCCAATGGTTAGATGGATACCAAAAATGTCTAATATCGCAAAAAAAGCCAAGATTAACAAAAATAAATGTCATAACTCAAACTCCAACAATTTTCTAATCCCTATTACTTCGCAACCTGAAGTTTCAAACTTAAACTTCATTAAACTAAATATGGATAAGAAATTCAGAGTTTTTGACAAAACCATCGATAATTGACATCATTAAATAAAAATGTGAACAGTCCCTTATAACATTTTTACCTAGCAATTCAACAGGAAACTTTACCTAGCATTCCAATAGGAAACTTTACCTAGCATTCCAATAGGAAACTTTACCTAGCATCCAATAGGAAACTTTACCTAGCATTCCAATAGGAAACTTTACCTAGCATCCAATAGGAAACTTTACCTAGCATTCCAATAGGAAACTTTACCTAGCATCCAATAGGAAACTTTACCTAGCATTCCAATAGGAAACTTTACCTAGCATCCCAATAGGAAACTTTACCTAGCATTCCAATAGGAAACTTTACCTAGCATTCCAATAGGAAACTTTACCTAGCATCCAATAGGAAACTTTACCTAGCATTCCAATAGGAAACTTTACCTAGCATTCCAATAGGAAACTTTACCTAGCATTCCAATAGGAAACTTTACCTAGCATTCCAATAGGAATCCAATAGGAAACTTTACCTAGCATTCCAATAGGAAACTTTACCTAGCATCCAATAGGAAACTTTACCTAGCATTCCAATAGGAAACTTTACCTAGCATTCCAATAGGAAACTTTACCTAGCATTCCAATAGGAAACTTTACCTAGCATTCCAATAGGAAACTGTGTTAATGCCTCGGCAGATCCTCCTTCACTTTCACCTTCATCATTTCATTTTTAATTAATTTTAATTAAAAATAATCGTAAACGATCTGTATATTTTAGTAAATTAGTTGACCAGTAAATTCTTAAACATTTAATTTGCTAATAATAAGTTCAGGCGTTGAAGATTATCAATACTCTTTATTTTTTCATTTCTGCAAGAAAGGTTGGTTTATAGAATTATTAAATATATTATATTTGAAATGATTTCCTATGACACTTTGCGTTACAATCCAAACATAGTTTGTTCCGGTCAAACCAGCCTGATCGGCCCAACTCATTATATGCCGAGCTTCCTCCTGACACCAAACACAGGTCAACTTACAATGATTTAGGGTGTCTAAAAAGTATGAACCGATGAATTTGGAAAGTTTTTTGGTCTTTGCCATAAACTTTTATTTTGAATTCCAGGGGTGTGTATATTTTACTAAAAAATCATACCCCCTTTTTCTTTTGAACCCCCCCCCCCCCCTAGAAGTTTGGGATGTACTTATTTTCAAAATCTTTTTTTTGCTAACCAAACACGATTTCATTTCTCTTTCTGGTGGGAAAATACTTAAATTGGGTTGCAAAGCATAGTTTTCCAAATAGGTGCTGGCCGAGGAGAGGGGGGGGGAGATATAAGGGGGAGGGGAGAGGATGGAATTGGGCGCGCGAGCGAATTGATTTAACACTTTTTAAAATGTGTCTGACAAATTGATATGTATTTTTTCACAATAATAATATTTAAATTAGAAATAATTGATTTCTAAATAATTGTTTTAGTTCGAGAAGAAGCGTTAAAAAATTGGTTTAACAATGTTGACAGAAGAAAGTACTTTTATAATAAAAAATGTTTATAGAAACAAGTGGCATTCATTCATCTTTCTTAAATTACTAGCCTGAGAACTGGTAGCTTTGCACGAAAACTAATTTTTCCCTTTAAAAAGTTGAGCAACTCAATCTAGAGTTCTAAAACCAATCTAAAACATTTCAGTGGCTCCTTGTTATGACCATACATGCAAAAAAAAAACAATAAAACATAGAAGTTCGTTATTCCACTAAGACTAAAATGAACGTTTATAAATAAATTATCTTAAAAGATTTTACCCATTCTTAAGAGATGCAATAAAGCTGACATTAAATGCATCTAGATGCGATATATCGAAATATCCCCCCCTTAAACTTCCACAAGAATTGTCTATTTAGCGGAATCCTGATTTCTGATGAAAGATCAAAAAGCCCTGATTCATCATTCATCATCCTTCGGCATCAGGACATTTATTGTTTGTTTTTTTATACTTTTTCAAAAATATTAAATGCATTGTCAATTTGAAGTGATTCCTTAATTTTCTTTCTAATTGATCATTACTTGCGGGATTATCAGGAATATTCTGGCATAGTAAATAATATATAATTCTAAATGGACTAACCGTGTTTATATTATATTTTTTGTTTGATATTTTCGTAGAAATATTTTACGCTAAACAAATAAGTAAACGAACATTTACAAACTTTCCCCTCCCATTATTTTTTACTGAAAATTGATATTTTTTAGAACCTGAAGGATAAAACCTGAAGGATAAAACCTGAAGAATAAAATATGAAGGATAACACCAGAAGAAAAAGATATGAAGGATAAAACCTGAAGAAAAAAATATGAAGGATAAAACCGGAAGGATAAAAACGGAAGGATAAACCGGAAGGATAAAACCGGAAGGATAAAACCTGAAGAATAAAACTTCAAGGATAAAACCTGAGGATAAAACCTGAAGGATAACACCTGAAGAATAAAACCTGAAGGATAAAACTTGAAGGATAAAACCTGAAGGATAAAACCTGAAGAATAAAATATGAAGGATAAAACCTGAAGGATAACACCTGAAGGAAAAAACCTGAAGGATAAAACCTGAAGGATAAAACCTGAGAGATAAAACCTGAAGGATAAAACCTGAAGGATAAAACCTGAAGGATAAAACCTGAAGGATAAATCCTGAAGGATAAAACCTGAAGAATAAAACCTGAAGGATATAACCTGAGGGATATAACTTGAAGGATAAAACCTGAAGGATAAAATCTGAAGGATAAAACATGAAGAATAAAACCAAAAGGATAAAACTTGAAGGATAAAACTTGAAGGATAAAACCTGAAGGATAAAGCCTGAAAGGATAACACCTGAAGGATAAAACCTGAGGGATACAACTTGAAGGTTAAAACCTGAAGGATAAAATCTGAAGGATAAAACATGAAGGATAAAACCAAAAGGATAAAACTTGAAGGATAAATCTGAAGGATAAAACTTGAAGGATAAAACTTGAAGGATAAAACCTGAAGGATAAAACCTGAAAGGATAACACCTGAAGGATAAAACCTGAAGGATAAAACATGAAGGATAAAACCAAAAGGATAAAACTTGAAGGATAAATCCTGTATGATAAAACTTGAAGGATAAACTTGAGGGTAAAACCTGAAGGATAAAACCTTAAGGATAACACCTGAAGGATAAAACCTGAAGGATAAAACCTGAAGAATAAAACCTGAGGGATAAAACCTGAAGAATACAATATGAAGGATAAAACCTGAAGGATTATATATATATATATATATATATATATTAGTAGGCCAGAGTAAAATTTTTAATCAGAAACAATCTCATTACTATGAAATTAAAGGCAAGAAAGGGTCATATAAATTATGTACACTACAAACCGCATTTTAACAAATATGTACACGACAAACCGTATTTTAACATATATGTATACTACAAACTGTATTTTAACATATATGTTCACTACAAACCGTATTTTAACAGATACGAACACCCCAAATATTCTAAAGATCCCATTCTATTTTAATTTAGGGTTTTTATATGCATATATATTATAATATATTTATAGTCTTACTAGAAGAGGTTTATTTATTCGATATCCAGGTATTTTTGAAATTATGTTTTTTTAGTTTCATGAGTTCGCTTCCTCCTCCGTGTTCCATGTCTTTAATTTATATCTATCTATTTTAAGAATAATATTTACACTTCGTGAACACTTTTTTAATAAAGTTTGTTTAGCAACAGTCTACATTGAGTCGTCTATATATATCTTTTTAGGCGAACCAATGATCCTAATTAGGACAATTGTGAGTTTAAATAGTTTTATCCCATTAATGAACCCTGAGATGGAATTTAAAGAATTTGAGCCGCGGTTTAAATCCGCCAAAACCCAGTTTAAATTAAGCGCCGGCTTAAATCTTGAGACATTTGATACAATTTGATAAGTGGAACCAACCATATTTAAACCGCGGCTTAAATTTAAACCGCCGCTCAAATTCTTTAAATTCGGCCACTGGATACATATACCTGTAACGGTGTGTAACCATATGCATAACATACATAAATCTGTAAAAGTGTGTAACCATATGCATAACATACATATATCTGTAACGGTGTGTAATCAATGTAATCTAGTTTTTAAATGTTTAATCTATAATTGACATTGTTTTCTTTTATCACCTTTTATATAAAAAACTGTTCTGTTTTCTATTTGGATTTTTATATATATATGATGAATACTTGGTTAATGATGTGTGTAGATCAGTACGTTAAGCAAACAATTACCTAGGCTTATATAAGAATGAGAAGCATATAATATTAATAATAATAATATAAGAGGAACACAAATCTACATTAACAAATATATTATTCTATGCCCTTTAGCGTTTATATATCCTGAAGAATGAATAGCATGAACTTGAACATACTGTTGATACAATAAAACTTCAAATCATGTTTTGAATACTAATTATGTATAAATATCGACGGGGTAACAAGGTGCTGTTTAATTTAAGAAAACTGTTGTATATTTATTTTGACCCAAAATTAAACCAAATTTACAGAAAATCATAGGGTTAATATCCCCCCCACATGTCATATATTTGTAAAAAATAAATTCAATAAATAAATCTACAATGGTACCATTTAAACCTTTGACTGGTCATCAAGTACAGAGACCTCCGTGTGAAAATTTCTCGATTAGTGGTTAAATAACATTAAAAACTCATGTTCTCTGCGTAAAGTGTAAATTCAAAACAGCTGATCCGTTACGTTGAAAATATCAATCATTTTATGTTAAAAACGGATTTAAAAAATTCTAAAGTAATCTCGGAAATCATTTGCTAAGGGTTTTGATGGTACTCATGTGAATCTGACACGTCACTCTACAAATGGAGGGTTACTTACATTTAAGCCAACAAGTCCATTTGAAGTTAAATGTATATACACGTTACACTGAACGATTGTTATGTTTCATGTTTATTGGAAAATTTAAAATAAAAAAATAACTGTTGTCCCTATTCCACAGTTCTATGGGTTTCACTGTATATCTATCTATAGAATGCTCAAGTATATATTTTTAGCATAAAACCACAGAGAACAGAAAATAATAAAAGTGTTTTTACTGGAAGGAATTGAATAAAAAGTTAAATAATCTTTCTCTCTTGTTTTGACACTTAACAGTTTCTTTTGACAGAGTTCTAATATTTTAATTTCTTGAATATTTTAAAATAATATGAAACACATAATCTTCTAAGTAATTCATTGAACATAAAAACACAGGAATTTTGTAGCGTACACAGACTCATTAATATAAATAAGTTAGGTTTTAAGATACATACTGGTACACATATCTATATGATAATTATATATAAAGTAGTAATCTATGTTTGTTTGTACGATCACAACTCATAAACCCCTTGAATGAGGAACTCAGGAGAACCACGGAAATGTTCTTAGCTTGGTTGTAATACTCTAAGGGATCGACTTCAATATGTAAAATAACCACATGACAAAACTTGGTTCCCAAGCTTGTTACCATACGATTAATAAATTGACATCTCCTATTCCACGGTGTAGTTAGTCTTACAGCGGGAGAAAAATGAATTATTTTTACCAAAATTTTAAGATTTATACTTATCTTTAAGTGTCCATTAATTTTATACGATGTTTTGGTAGGTTAGTATTATTTTGTTTTTGTAAAACATTAAGAATAATGTTTATTGAGAGGTAATCATATTAGATTGTTTGATTTAACATTTTTTCTTAGACATTTCCTACACTTTCCTGTCTTAACTTTTCAAAAAATAAATAAGTTCAATTTATGTTCCAGTTGAAAACAAACCAACAAAAAAAATTTATTAAGCTAGCGAAGGAAACAGTAAATAATAGTTATTTTTGATTGGTAATAAACTAACCAATTAATTTGTTATTTATATTTTTCTTTATTTTGTTTTATGATTGGTTTTGATAAATGAGGTATTTAGTAGATTATTATCATTCTGCCATTAGCAGAGAATACAGTTTTGGATAATTGGGGGAATATTAAACATAAAGAAAAAATATTAGATAATCAAATATAATATTTGAAAGATAGATAGTTCACAACTAGACTTTGGAGAAGGTCAAATTTATGATACGCCTAGCTTTATCATTTCGTAGGTTCTCTAGTGTTGATTTTATATGCAACTATCCGTTTACATATTTCGTAGCTTCTCTAGTGTTGATTTTATATGCAATTATCCGTTGAAATATTAAAAATACAAAACAGTTCTGCTCAATATGTAGCTCTTCAAAAAGAGGAGTTATGATTGAAAACATACAAGATTTAAATCTTCCTTAATATCTTCTGTGATGTGACGTGACAAATTACGGATGATGAGAAGCAATACTGACTCCACTTTTATACACTGGCGTGGTCCGATTCACAGCTGCACCCATAAGAGCTTTTGATGGCCAAGCATGAATGGGACATATACGTTTGTTCTTCAAAAATAGATTTTTTTAATTTGGATTTCTGAGTTGATGATATTTGCTACAATTCTCACACCTTATTATTAATTTAAAATTGACATATATTGTTTTAATTTATAGTTTTAGCCATTTTTTATAAATGTATGGTGTAGTTATGTTCTTGGATTTAAAGTTATATACTCTTGAAAACAGATAATTTTGCAGATTTGGCCCATTTTTAACACTCAGTGTTAGATATGGACCAATTCAAGAGCTTTTGATGGCCAAGCATGAATGGGACATATACGTTTGTTCTTCAAAAATAGATTTTTTTACTGGATTTCTGAGTTGATGATATTTGCTACAGAAACAATGGAGGAAATTCTCCAAATTAAATACAAATCGCAATTAAAAACTATTAATTTTCCCTTAATTTTGCGGATACAAGGGTTTAAAGGGTAGGTTATCGTATTTTATTTTTAAATAATGTTGATATCTCATGTAAGAAACTGTAAACTACAATGTAGGTTTAAATAATGTTGATATCTCATGTAAGAAACTGTAAACGGATGTAGGTTCCCCTCCCAAATGATTTTTAAAAAAAAATATTTTGATATCTGTGTTCCTTTGTACTGTAGAGCAAGATGATTCTAGTTTCAGCATTAGTCAGCGTATTCATATCTTCCTGTGAGTTCACTTTCACTTCAGCTTGGACAAAAAACCTGTAAAAGAACAGTTATTTAATCTTTTTCCTTAAGAAAAACAAGGATGATTGTGATTTTTTATAAATGTTATTATACAAGTATGATTCTTCAAACAATATCCGTTAGGTATGTAGAAATTCCAAATTGTGGTCTGCTTTTTTTTGTGCTTTCAATATTAACTGAGATATTCTGAAATCCGTTTAGATTTCAAAATCTTTTATAAAAAACAAATTTTGAGAAAACAATAAAGGCAAGCTACAATTTGAAAATAACATTACTAGAGGTGCATTTTGATCTTTATATGTTCAAGAATTTTATTTATAAATTCGTTTTGCAAAGGATCAATGCCACAAATCATTTCAAAGATCGAAGGTGATCTTAAAACCTAGCCTCCTAGTTTACATACTTGAAGATAATCTTGTCCCTGAAGTGCAACCTTGTCCCTGACCTCATAGATAAAATTTCTTGAAGTTCATCTTGTCCCTGAAGTACACTACCTTGTCCCTGACCTCCTAGATGTACTTACTTGAAGATAATCTTGTCCCTGAAGTACACCACTTTGTCTCTGACCTCCTAGATGTACTTACTTGAAGATAATCTTGTCCCTGAAGTACACCACATTGTCCCTGACCTCCTAGATGTACTTACTTGAAGAAAATCTTGTCCCTGAAGTACACCACCTTGTCCCTTACCTCCTAGATGTACTTACTTGAAGTTTATCCTGTATCTAAAGTACACCACATTGTCTATGACTTCTTAGGTGTACTTACTTTGTCCTTAAAGTACACCACCTTGTCCATGAGTATGACCTCCTAGATGTACTTACTTGAAGTTCATCTTGTCCCTGAAGTACACTACCTTGTCCTTGACCTCCTAGATGTACTTACTTGAAGTTCATCTTGACCTTGAAGAACACCACATTGTCCCTGACCTCCTAGATGTACTTACTTGAAGTTCATCTTGTCCCTGAAGTACACCACCTTGTCCCTGACAGCTTGGATGAAATCATCATGACCAGCTATATCAGATGTGACTACTGAGAACTGTTGCCAATTATACCTGCAACATGTGATCATTAATCAATTAAACTGTGGGATTTCCACCATCAATATAAGTAAACAAGGACATGGACAACAATAGATATTTTCTTGTACCAGCTTCCATCCATAAAGAACGCATGTAACATAGTAGCATATCTGCTGAACTTTATACTGCAAAAACTCATAATCTCATCCACCATTAAATATCAGTACCAGTACATGATGCATACTATTCATTCATTCATTTATTCATATATTTATTCAACTACGAGAATATACAAATAAAAAACCACTATTTAATACGTAGTTTGGACCCGCCTAATCAGAGTTAGTTGTTTTGATTGGTTGGCCCATTATAAGCGAATAAGAATTGTAAATAAATAGATGGATGTACACTGTACAGTGTACATTTTAAACAAAACAATAATGATAAATCATGATAAAGGTAAGGAGGGGGTAAAAAAGTATTAGGGAAAGGGTGCAGGTGCTCAGCGGAAGAGTTGTAACAGAGGTTAACATATATTATTATAATCATGTTTATGAACTACAGGATGAAGAATCTTAGGGTAACATATATTATTATAATCATGTTTATGAACTACAGGATGAAGAATCTTAGGGTAACATATATTATTATAATCATGTTTATGAACTACAGGATGAAGAATCTTAAGGTAACATAAATTATCATAATCATGTTTATGAAATACAGGGTGAAGAATCTTAGGGCCTCGATCTAATTGATTCTGACATAGTGCTCTTTAACCAAACATGTAAACCAATCTGATTTTGGAAATATAACATCTTATCTTTGTGTACCAACAGAATGATTTTCAGCAAGCTTATCATGTTATCTAAGGATTTTATTACTAAGCTTTATCGGTTGGACAATGTTATATTTTTTAGGGTTGCATTTACTTTTAAATACTAGACAACTTGGCTTGTTCAGAAAACTTAGTAAAAACTGAAATACATCTTTATAATTAGAAAACAGGATTGCGGTTTAAACTGACCTAATTAGAAGTGCAAGCATGGCTTCGACTTGATGTTCAAGACTTGGTGCAAGCTGAACCCTGAGCCGGGATTGGGACTGAAATAAAGAAAAAATGCTAGAGCACATTCTTTTGTCTTTCTTACAACATTAATCACAAACTTAAATCATAAAAAAATTTGTGTTTAAAATTGCAGTGTTTTTTGTGCATGCATGCTACATTTATCGAAGGTCTACTAGATGGCATGCTGGAGGACGTGCATCTCTGGCATGCATTTACTCTGCATTCTATTTTCGAAATTTATTCTAAACAAAACCTTTTTGTTTACACCATTTAATCCCAGTCTTTGAGGTGAATTGGCATTTCTAATTCTTCTATTTATAATTCTTTTACAAAATAAACAGAACCAATTAGCTCGCAAACTCAACTTGATATTAAATATACAATACAAGACTTCCAGGGCGCTTCGCGCCCATCTTCTATTTGAATTGTGTACATTTTTTCTATAAATTCATTGTAAAACAGAAACAAAAAGTTTGCGAATTTTATGAAAAAAATGTCATTGATTTTCAAAATACACTGAAAATATAATTTTATTGATGTAAAATTGTTAAAGTTTAGAACATCTATAACCATCCATGGGGTCATGTGAGTCCCGTACTAAATTTTGGCCCGATCAGTTCAGCCGTTTTGACGTTTATTGGATACATACAGACAAAAACACAGACAAGTAAGGTATAGATTTAATATTTGCTAAAAAATGTGCATGCAGAAAGCAGATTGTGGATTTTGATTCTAAAGAACTTTTATATTTATTCAACCTGCTTCATTTCAACTTATACAAAGGTGATATGACTGAGCAGGACACAATTTACCTTCAAAACATGATTCAGAAACACAAAAATTCAAATAATTGAAAGAAAAAAATCATTTGTAATTATATCATTAGATTTAAAGAGTTAAACAATTATTACAAATAAGGCAAAGAAAATAGTGTTTAAGAAAATGAACATTTTGTTTTCCGATCTATTTTTACAAAGTTTTCAAAGAGAAAAGTTTGTAGGACTCCTACTGAAGCGGAGAAAAGTTCCTAATTGTTGAAAACACAATTGAGCGGTAATTCAATCGGAACATTGAACATGCTCGCTTTTTACAGATTGGAAGGGCAATATCTTTTTACAGATTGGAAGGGCAATATTTTTTTACAGATTGAAAGGGCAATATCTTTTTACAGATTGGAACGGCAATATCTTTTTAGAGATTGGAAGGGCAATATCTTTTTACAGATTGGAAGGGCAATATCTTTTTACAGATTGGAAGGGCAATATCTTTTTACAGATTGAAAGGGCAATCTCTTTTTACAGATTGAAAGGGCAATATCTTTTTACAGATTGGAAGGGCAATATCTCTTTACAGATTGGGAGGCCAACATCTTTTTACAGATTGGAAGGCCAGTATCTTTTTACAGATTGGAAGGCCAATATCTTTTTACAGATTAGAAGGGCAATATCTTTTTACAGATTGGAAGGCCAGTATCTTTTTACAGATTGGAAGGCCAGTATCTTTTTACAGATTGGGAGGGCAATATCTTTTTACAGATTGGAAGGCCAGTATCTTTTTACAGATTGGAAGGGCAATATCTTTTTCACAGATTGGAAGGGCAATATCTTTTTACAGATTGGAAGGGCAATATCTTTTCACGGATTGAAATCAATATCTTTTTACAGATCGGAAGGGTAATGTCTTTTTACAGATTGGGAGGGCAATATCTTTTTACAGATTGGAAGGGCAATATCTTTTTACAGATTGGGAGGCCAACATCTTTTTACAGATTGGAAGGCCAGTATGTTTTTACAGATTGGAAGGCCAATATCTTTTTACAGATTTGAAGGGCAATATCTTTTTACAGATTGGAAGGCCAGTATCTTTTTACAGATTGGAAGGCCAGTATCTTTTTTCAGATTGGAAGGCCAGTATCTTTTTAAAGATTGGAAGACCAGTATCTTTTTACAGATTGGAAGGCCAGTATCTTTTTACAGATTGGAAGGCCAGTATCTTTTTACAGATTGGGAGGCCAGTATCTTTTTACAGATTGGAAGGCCATTATCTTTTTACAGATTGGAAGGGTAATGTCTTTTTACAGATTGGGAGGGCAATATCTTTTTACAGATTGGAAGGGCAATATCTTTTTACAGATTGGAAGGGCAATATCTTTTTACAGATTGGAAGGGCAATATCTTTTTACAAATTGGGAGGCCAATATCTTTTTACAGCTTGGAAGGGTAATATCTTTTACAGATTGGAAGGCCAGTATCTTTTTACAGTTTGGAAGGCCAGTATCTTTTTACAGATTAGAAGGCCAATATCTGAGCATGAAACTTTTGAATTCTGTGACTTTAGCTCTCAAGCACTCAAGCAGTTTCTTTACTCCCAACAGTACTCTACATGTTCATAGGTCAAGTCACCTCAAATGTTCTATGTGGTTTGAGAAATTTCCCTGCTTTAAGGCAGAAACCCCCTCTGAACAATAATATTTCCTCATTTTATTCCAAGTTCTGTTACTTACTGAAACTAGGCGCTATTTCATAAAACTGTTTTATGTCATCTATTAAAGGACAGAAATCAAAGTAAGTTTACATCAGCGTCCATGGTTGGTTTAGGCCTTACTGAAGCTATACTCAGGATCCAGGCATACATATGTGCGTGCGCGTAGTAATTTGAAATGTACATATTCTATATAGTAAAATGGGAATAGATCAAATGCCTAATTTCAAAACACAAATGGTCAGTAGTAAGCTCCCAAAATAAATCCTTAAAGAATATTAATCGCTTTACTCCAGATACTAAAAGTAAGAGCAAAGATGCATTTCATAAAGTGTGCTGACTAATAGGCTATAGAGCCCCTTACATCTCCTCTCTAGAAGGCTGAGTACACATGTGTGCTGGGTTCTGATTGGCCATAGAGCCCCTTACATCTCCTCTCAAGTTGGCTGAGTACATATGTGTGCCGGGTTCTGATTGGCTATAGAGCCCCTTACATCTCCTCTCAAGTTGGCTGAGTACATATGTGTGCCGGGTTCTGATTGGCTATAGAGCCCCTTACATCTCCTCTCTAGTTGGCTGAGTACATATGTATGCTGGGTTCTGATTAGCTATAGAGCCCCTTACATCTCCTCTCAAGTTGGCTGAGTACATATGTTTGCCGGATCTGATTGGTTATAGAGCCCCTTACATCTCCTCTCAAGTTGGCTGAGTACATATGTATGCCGGGTTCTGATTGGCTATAGAGCCCCTTACATCTCCTCTCTAGTTGGCTGAGTACATATGTGTGCCGGATCTGATTGGTTATAGAGTATGTTTGTTATCGTAGCTGTCATTGCTTCAATTAAAAGGATCTGAATGATGATGATAAACAAGTAATAATTTAAATATCGAGATTAGATTTTATTTCTTTTTCTTTTTGTATATCAAAGAAAACATTTACCTAATAACCCTTATTTTCTACTCAAGATCCATCATTTTATTATTAAAAAGATAATTGGGTTGTTTAAGACAACATTTGAAACAAATTACCCAGAAAATGTCATGATAAACATTAGAAGGAAACCGTAAAGTTTGTTTACAGTAATTTGTCATCCAGACGTTGAAGCCTCTTGAAGGTATTGAGTCTTATTTACTCTAACACTACACATTTTTAACATTATAACCTTAATATTTTTATTGTTTAGACACAGTAATTAAAAAAATGTCATGTGTAACATGTAATTTTTTGTCAAAAACTTAAAATTTTTTAAACCTCTCTACACTGTAAATATTAAAACGTAATTCAAAAATAAGAATTTTTGGATAAGAGAACTACAGAACCTTTTTTTTATAAATTAGCCCTAATTTATTAATAATTTGAAAACTGAGGAAATAAAAAAAACTTATTTTATTATTTTATATAAGAAAAATTGAATGGAGAACAATGGTATATATACCAACCGAACCTTTAAAGTTGGCAGTATAATTCAATGAGCTGGCCTTGAAAAATTGGGCCTGCATGAGCATGCATTGCAATCCTATACCTTTACTAACTTTACTCTAAAGCCTATTTCTAGCCCTCAGTCTAAACAAAGATTTAGACCCCCCAGACTTGACAGAGCTAAACAACTTCCTGATTAATTCTTTTCATATAATTTTAGAAACTTCACAAAAGACGCACAAAGACACAAAAGACACACAAAGACACAAAAGTTGCACTTGTGTCACCTTGCGAAAATTAAGAAAGACTACAGTAGTACACACAAATGATTTATTGTATTATTGTACTATTGTACATGCGTTTGGTTGTACTTTTACAACACTGTACATTTGATAATCCTGGAGGTCAAGTACAATAATAATATAAAACATTTATAAAAAACAAGAACATAATTTTTCAAGATTTCAGAAAGATTGAAAAAAATCGAGAGTTTGAAGTTTACAGGAGCATTAGTTTCCTCCACACTGGAGCGGATGAAAATTATTTCCATCTAATGTTATCGATGCTAACTGGAGGGAAGGTAATTAACACGGAGAACACTAACTGCACATTCTGCTCCATATTTCAATCACTTGAAAAAAACCTATTTGTTTAGGTAATATAAAAAATTTAGCCAAACTTGGACCTGGACTCACGAAATATCTTTATTTCAAGCCAAGAATTGTTTTGTCATGAAACGTAAAAAATGTTCGCCATGATGTTTGATGAAATAAATTGGATATATTATTTATAAGATGATAAACAATCACAGAATTTTCACTTTTTCAATTTGAGACATCGGGATATTATAAAATGTAGTAAATCTGTGATCATTTATCCTCTTCGATCGGGGAGAGAACACAACATGTAGATATAAAAATACACAGTTCAAAAAGTCAGATTAAATTTCTCAAAGGTGGGAGAAGGGCAATATCTTTTTACAGATTGGAANCCCCCCTTTCCCCTTCTCCAGTACCTGTTCTGTTCATAAACAAATGGAAAAAATTCCAGAAGGTTTATTAAAAATAAGGGTACAAAGATTTATAATAACAAATTTTTTCGTCGCAAAAATTTAAGCAAGCATTTTTACATCAATACATTTTAGAAATTTTAATTTGGAAAGGAGTTCACACAAAGTAAATGTTTTTTATTTTGGTCTAAAAATGAATAGGAATTAATAAACTGGTTTCCAGTTTTCGAGAAACCACTATTTTGACTTCCATGAACTTAAAATTTTTTAAAAATGTTACAAAAAGTCCAAAAATATCCAATTACTTTTAGATTAAATATTATAAAGTTTAATTAAAATTTTTGCGAAAATAAGGTAAAAAGAGTTTCAATACTTTTGCAGATTTAGAATCACGCAAAGTTCGTTTGAAACCCTGGATTGAACAACATTTATGCCAGGTAAAGTCCTGTATTTTAAAATTGCCCCAGGGTATTTCTTGTTTAATTTACATAAACAGTTTTTTTCTGACTTTTTGGGACATCAATAGTATCGTCCTATACTCACTTGATCCTGTGTTTAGAGAGAAAAAAAATAAAAAAGTATAGTAAACTAAGTTCCAGTAAAAATCTTCAAACTTCCCTAGCTCTAAAATACTTAAATATTACGTTTTAAATATTTGAATCTCAACCCAATTTAAAGATTTAAAGAAAGATTTAAATAGCTTATCTTTTGAAAAAATTTAAGAAATGTAAAATTATTGTAATACACAAAAACGTTTTTGTTTGTTTTAATTTTGGATACTGATCATTATCTTTACATTTTACCCCACATATACAATCATTAAACCTAAAAGTATTTGTACAGTATTCACACTAAACATTCCTCCTACAGGGTTACCCACATAGGATTAAACTTTTATGAACACCTAAAGCTCTTCTAACAGAACAATCGTTACGATTGAATCCGATGTTCCGGCTTAAATGTAGTCATTTTATGGTGAATTTAGTCATGGTCTTCAACTACAGAAAACCATGAATTTAAGAAAAAAGGTTAAACAAATTCCCTATTTTCATCTCCTCAGTCTCAACCTTTATGAGTAATCCTGTAGAGCTTGAAGCTTGCATTTTTATATTTATAAAACCAAGCGTTATCTAACTATAATTCGGCAATCATTCAAGCAAAATTCAATTTCCACACAATTTTTTATTGCATTTAAAGAGATTGGTACACCTTTTTTATGTTAAAAATTATTTTTTTTAGCGTTATATTAATTTTGGTTGTTTCTAAAATAATATTTAAGCTGAAGAATCCAGCGTTGCCCATGGAAAAAAATTTGACTTTCATAAATATCAAAAAATGTCGAACATTTTTTTTCGGTTTTTCGGCCACCCATGAGCGTCCACAAAAAATTTCAGCCCGTTCGGTGCAGCGGTTTGGCCGGCTATAGGCAACATATATCCCAAGTAACAAAAGTGAGGAATTTCCCCAGATTCTCCAACCGTGGTGACTTTCTTTAAGGAATTTCCGAGGAATTTCTCGAGAATCATTTCCTGTAACTGATTCCTCGGAAATTCTCGAGAAATTCTGATTTTTGTGGGATCACAGTTTTGAGACTCAGTTTCGAGAAATTTCTGAGAAATTCTCCGGAATTTTTCCCCGAAAAATTCCTCAGAATTTCTCCAGAAATATTCTCTGGAAATTCCTGAGAAATTCTTAGGACTTTGTCACCATGTTTGCGGATTTTTCGGGGAATAAATTAAGAGAATTAGTTTCGAGAAATTCCTGGGAATTTCTCCGAAATTTCACCCCAAGAAATTCCTGAGAAATTCTCTGGAATGCTTCTCCGGAAATTCCTGAGAAATTCTTAAAACTTGGTCACCATATTTAAGGATTTTAAGAGGAATTTATTAAGAGAATTAATTTCGAGAAATTCCTGGGAATTTCTCCGGAATTTCACACCAAGAAATTTCTGAGAAATTCTCTGGAATGCTTCTCTGGAAATTCCTGAGAAATTCTTAAAACTTGGTCACCAAGTTTACGGATTTTTCGGGAATTAGATAAGAGAATAAGTTTCGAGAAATTCCTGAGAATTTCTCAGGAATTTTTCTCAAGAAATTCCTTAGAATTTTCAAGTTCCGTTTTTCACCAATAGGTGTCTCTGAGGTTCTCTTCTTTTATGCACTGCTCAAACTAAATCTTTTTTTTTCGCATCCTTATGGATAAAAAATGATAATTTACTTCAGAACCATCTTTTAAATAAATATTTAAAAATTTTAAAACATTTTTTTTGATTTTTTCTTCACAATTCATTTGTCTGAATAAAAAAATACACGAAAACTTCAGTAAGATGAAAAACGGCTATAACATTCTGACATAAGAAGATGGTTATACTTCTAAAAAGTTGGAAGGGCAATATAGTTGTTAAGTTATTCACTACTTTTGTTAGTGAATATTTCAAGATATTCCTGAGGAACTCTTGAGAAAATCTTGGGAATAGTTCCAGGGAAATTCCCAGGAATTGGTTCTGAAAGACCTTTTTGCTACAAATTGTCTCTGGTTTTTCTGAAGAATTGGTAACAAGAAATTCCCTAGAATTGGTTACAAGAAATTCCTTGGAATGGGTTACAAGAAATTCCTCGGACCTGGTTCCTGGGAATGGGTTACGAGAAATTCCTGGGAAAAGCTGTCGACATTTTGACCGGATTTTCCTGTGAAAGATTCATGGGAATTTCCGCGGATTCCCAGGAAAGATTCCTGGGAATTTCCGCGGCTTTTCCGCAAAATTGTTACTTGGGATGCATTTAAAATTTTCAAGTTAAATTTGTAATACACTCTCTCTTAAATTTTACACATATGGCATGTTTTTTAAGCCAAACTTATCAAAAGCTAACCTAAGTAATATTTTGTAAATAACAAAGCTGCGTTCCAATCTCTTTAATATACATGCAAATCAGGCAAATTTTATTATTTTTTTGATAATTTATAAATCTGATAAAAGTGATCTTGATTGTAAGACATTCTTTGAAATAGTTCAATAATGTTTATAACTCTTAGTTACGGAATCTGTAAAAACTTTTAAATTAATTTTTAAAATAATCTTTCAGAATTTCAGGAAAAATGTTTTACGACAGCCATTTTTCGATTTTCATCTTTTATTGGTGATCATAAAATTAAAGGTTATTTCTACAGGTTTTTAGCTGTACTTTTTCAAACTTCAACGAAACTATTTGATAAAAGATAAAATTAAATAAAAAACTTTTATAAAAATCTAAGAAGTCGGGGATCTTTGTTTAATTCAATAAGATGGAAACAAAAAAAAAGTTAAAAACAATTCTTTAGAAAATATTTATTTAAAATCAAATGTTTCTATAAAACTTTAAGAATTAGAAACATTTCTAAAATAGTTTCTTTTTGTTGTTCAAAAACAAATAATATCGTAGAATTTTGAAAATAATGAAATCAGACAAGAATAGAAATGATTTACAATAATATTATTTGTCATTGTATCTTCCAATGAGTTAAACATTCGAACCATCAAATCAATTAATAAATAAACACATATGTTTTAATTAGTATAACAAAATTAAGAAGATAATAGCTTTTAGTGAATGCATGGTAACATGGTATTCATAATATATAAATATAAGATTAGATAAATAAAGAATACTATTATTGATGACACAGGGTTACCCACAAAGGATTGAGCCTTAATCCCTTTTCTTAATTTCAGAGAGACCCACCCTGGCTCCTTTATCATTTATCATTTAGTAAACCACAAAAACACTTAATTAAAGGCAGACATTAAAAACCAAGCTTTTACTCTTCACATTTTAATAGTTTTAGCTTTTACTGTCTCATTCTTTGTGGGCAATCCTGTAGAAAAGAGAATTAAACTGATGGATAATAGCAGTAGTAAAGACTAGTAAATATAAATATTAAAGGGACTGTAATCGTAATTTCAAGTGACCCTCCATGCAAAGATAGCAATGCTCGATTTACAACGGTAGTATCAAAAGCTATGACTGGTCAAGTATGCATTAGATATCCATATTTTAGTTTCTTTAAACTATTTACTTTAATTCGTGAGTTCTCTAATAAAGTGACTTTCTTATTTCTTATAGTTTAACTTTCCGGGTACCGTTGTGCATGCAGGATCACTAGAAATTATGTTTATTATGTTTACAATCCCTTTAATTCTAAAAATAATAATAGCAATATCAGAATATAAATGTAGATGAATATAAAGATTTGAATACCTGAAGTCCTGAATTATCAGCGTTCCAAGCTATCACTGGAATTCCGAGATATCCTTTATCAAGTTTTAATTATTTAGAGAAATCTTCGTAGCAAGTATCAAAGATCATATAAGTTAAAGGGAGTGTTCGCGAAAAATGATCACTACTAATCTTACTTCTATTTGTTGCGTCTATAAGGAGAAAATTGTTAAAAACGACTTTTTCCAAAGAGCGTAGCGTCCATACAAATTCGGAAAGTTGCAAAATTCAACCCGGATCGTAATATTATCAATTTAATTCCAAACAAATCATTCAGATATTACAAACAATAGTCATCGATTATTTTTCGACGCATTCGTATATTGTTAATACTTTTTAAATTTTTTTTTAATAATATTTCAAACATTCCTGGAAAATATGAAAATGTCGTCTTCGTTATAAAATCCGCGAAACAGGAATAAATGTTTTTAAAAGTAACTCACAGATCATAAAAAATAAAATTTGTTGCAACTTTCTGCATTTGTATGGACGTGTTCTTCGATATGAGTCGTTTTTAACAACAGATAGAAGTAAGATTAGTAGCAATCAAAAGCGCTTATTTTTTCGCGAACACTTCCTTCAATGCAAAGCTATTTACAGACCTACAACTGCGATGAATTTATCAAATTACAGGACAAAAAAAAACTAATACTAAAACCCAACAGCTGACTCAAATAGTTTTAAACTGATGCTTTTACAATCCTTTGTCAATGAAATCACTTTTATTTACAAACAAATCTTTTTTAAATTACCACCCCTTCCTCAAACCTTACGCACACTTTCACCCTAAAATATTTTAAATTACCACCCCTTCCCCAAACCTTACGCACACTTTCACCCTAAAATATTTTAAATTAACCTTACGCACACTTTCACCCTAAAATATTTTAAATTACCACCCCTTCCCCAAACCTTACGCACACTTTCACCCTAAAATATTTTAAATTACCACCCCTTCCCCAAACCTTACGCACACTTTCACCCTAAAATATTTTAAATTATAAGGTAGTGCACATGAATTTCACCAGAACGGGATCATTCATTTGGCGTACCGTCCCGTTTGCCTTATATAGTCTGTATTTGTACTGTACTGCTTGCCCTGGTTAGTTGAAATTCGGGCCGGTACATGAAATGAACTGGAATGCAATGTGAGTGTGTCCTACAAAACATTATATTGAATATGCATCTAATGATTCAATCATATACCGTAATTAAAACTGCTTAGAACTGATCATAAAGATAATGAGTTTCTTTGCAACCCTATGGTGCATCATTTGATATTTTAAACTTGAACTATTTGATGTAACAAAATTCCAGTTTGCAATTTTAAAGGTTTATAATAGATTTGGTTGAAAAGTAATTGAGATTTAGGTTTGTTTAAAAAAGTTGAGTTCCTTTGTTTCCCCAAATAAAATTCAGTTAAATGTTAAGATAGGTGTGTTCAATTTCGTGTCTAAACAATTTTCATGTTTTGTGGGACACCCTGTATTTGAGAGAGAGCTCTAAGTACATGGATCAGAAAGTGATGGATTGAGGGAATTCAAAACTTACTTATTATTCAAATCTAACACAGATCTATTCCGATTCTAAAATGGAGGCTTGGGTCGGTTTTTGTTAAATTTTAGAAGAGGACTGTAAAAATATTCCATGTTTTTTCTTCAAAATAAAAAAAATAAAATATAAAACTGTCAATTTTTCGACTTTCTTAAAATTTAGACATATACTGTCTGAATGCCAACTATTTTCAAATACCAAACTAAATCTTTGCTTGACCAACTTGATGATTGAACTCTCCAACCCTAGTTTCACTCTAACTTATTTAAACAACGTCATTTTTGCCAAAATATATTTCGTTTAATACACCAACAACAACTTCAGATGGCTGATTGTAAGATTGGTCGTTTACAGTTTTTTGGAAAACATTTTCAAAAAGATTTGGCACTCACTCCATCAAAGTGAACTTTTAGAAAGGGAAAGAGAGCCATTATTAAAGTGTCTGTAGACGTATATTTGTGAGTGTCTGGTCCGATTTATAAAGTAACCTTTATACTTTTGTCCGTTTATATCCTCATTCTTATAGGTGAAAACTAAGTACTGAAAAACTTGAGGTTACGTGTATACTCGTGGATGCATGGCACTAAATCAGCTTTTTATTTGCATCATCATTCATCAGCCAAAGGTTAAATAAAGGTCGTTGAAAATCGGATTTAGAGTGACCCTCATCAAATGGAGGGTCACTCTAAATTTTCATCGACAATCCCTTTAAAACTATTTTCTGTATAGGTATCAAAAATCCATACTTTATGACTAATTTCTGTATATGTATGAAAAATTCATACTTTATGACTAATTTCTGTACATGTATGAAAAATTCACCTGCTAACTGCAAAAAATATTGACTGGCAGCGGTAGAACGACCGAACATTTCACTAAAAAGAAATGAAAATGTTTTTGTTTTTGCTTTGGTCAACTTTAGGTCGAAATTAGTTAATAGATGGACTATAAAAGATATAGAAGATATAGAAATATACTGCCTACTACACTTGAGAAGTAGTTTAACCATCATTACCTCGTTCAACTACTTCTAGCTATTCATTAATTTCCACCTCCGATCTTCAATAATCTAATTTTTGTTGCGTATTTTTTTGAAAATTTGCACATTAGTTATGCTATGAACCAAGACTGGTTTCAAAATTGTAATTTTGATTTTAATTGCTGAATTAATTGAATTGATTAGATATTTTCAAAACAATTTCTTTTACGTTTATTTTGCTGCAATCTTTCTATCATATATTATATCTTATTTAGCTTTTCTGTTTCGCTTGTCTTTATCCAATAAACGTGAAAACGACGAAAAACGATTTTTTTGTGACAACTGACATAACCAGAGGAAAGGTTTATGAAAGGTCAAATTTTGCCCTGAACAAATGTCGACGTTTTTATAAATTGCACCAAACAGAAATTTTTTGTGAACGTAGAAAAACTGGTCACATGAAACGCAATAATGTAAATCCAACCTGTTGGTCATATAGATGATGGCAGTCACATTATTCTCAAGAAAGGTTTCACACAAGTTCTCCAATATCACTGAAATAAGATTTTGTTATTTTTGACAGATTTTGAATGGTAGATAAAAGTATGTCTGAATATATTCCGATTCAAACATGAGACAGGATGTTACATTACTTTTTACGGATGTAAGGTGTGTAAGTTTTACGTGAGGTAGCCTTTTCTAAACATTTATAAGACAATTATTAAAGGATTAGATAAGCATAAGTTGAGGTAACTATTACAAAGAAGAGGCATCCGAATGTACGATTCACAATGGTACCATTTAAACCTGTATCTGAGGAACAACTTTTCTTAGCTTTTAATTCTGAAAATATTGTTTATTGTTAATCGGACGTGCCTCTCTGTAAATAAGGGTCACATTAAATTACGTCTCTGATCCATTTCAACAATTAAATTATCACATTGTATTCCCATACCCATAAAGCAGGGTTTAAGAAATATAGTAGAAATAGGGCTTCCACCTGAATTGAGCAATACAAAAAAATGTAACAAGTACAACACTCAGCAGTAATATGAATATTACATAAATATATTATATAAATACGAACTTATAAATTATGTATAAATATCTTTAATTTGAATAAATCCCACAACTTTTTAGAAAACTAAATTTTATGGCAACAATAGTACGTTTTAGAAGTGAGACAGATCTTTTAAATTTATAATCCCCCCCCCCCCTCTACCCACTGAAAAGGCTGAGTAAATACCAATACTATCTTTGCGAACCACTGCTGCTGCAAGCTCTCACGAAAAAAACGATAAACAAGTGCTCTTTACAGGTCTGACATGTACAATGTCCTCCTTTTCCAACTAAATTCTTTCTTTTTATGTTTTTTATATTCCTTTTATATTCATTGCTTACTTAGTTCCATCAATCTGACTTACTACAAAGACTCCATCAACTTATTAAATTTTAATTGAATTATCTATCTATCTATCTATCTTTCTATCTATCTATCTATCTATTTATGAATCCATCCAGAAAACCCAGCTTTGCTTGGAACTAATTCTTCCCTATTATTGTCAACTTGGGAACCCGTCTTTGCCTGGAGACTAAGTTTTTTCATGAGTATGATCGGATATCTAAACAAACAAACAAACACCAATGCACAGATTACTACTTTATATGAATAGATTCCTTTGCGAAAACCCAAATCATTTAATCTATATAATAAAACAAGACATTCGTGTATATATGCTGGACTGATTGGGCTGAATGTTTTTTTATGGACACTTATGGGTGGCCGTGGGAGTGTTATAGGCTTAAAAAATCGACATTTTTTTCGACATTTTTTTCATTTTTTTTATTCCATGGGCATCGCCGGGCCCTTCAGCTAGTCTTACATGAAGTGCTTTAATAGAATAAGGTGAACAGAAATATTGCTTAGAACTCACTTCAATTGAAGATGTTTGATCTTAGAACTATTTATACCCTCCAATAGTTCTAGAAATATTCATGTACTTTTCATCTTTAAGGGGACTGTAAGCGTAATTTCAAATTATCCTCCAATAAAAGATTGATAAGGGTAAGAAATATATAAACCAGGAATCGACATAGCTCATGCGTCAAATCTGTGTACTGGAGTGTGTGGAGATCAAAACAAAGAATTCAGGGGCAATGCATCACTTTTAAGGAAAAGGGCCCAAGGGTTGAAATAAGAATATATTGTTATTGTATTTTCCATATTGACCATAAAGACAAAAATTATAAGTATTCGCTCTAACTTGATTTTTTAACTTGTCTTTTGTTGGACTGTAATATCACATCAGAGCTTCAGTCCCCTTAAACTTCTGTGGGGACAATGGTATTGTTTACATTCCTCCCACAGTGTACAGTACATAATATTCGTATATCTAAGTTGGGGGTTCCTGTATATAGTTCCTTGAATTATGGTATCCCTCAAAACCTTTATCGGATTAAGAACGGGAAGATATTGTTGGCTTTAAAGGTTAAAAAGAGATAAATTCTGATAATTCTTATCTGTTTTTCTTCAGTCAAAATGCGCAAATCACTTTGAAGAGAAACCACAATTGAAAGCAATCAGTTTTTTTAATTATTAAAATGGATATCCAATACTGACATTATCAGACCAAGCTTTTAAATTGTGGTTAGCTTGACATTATGGTTACAGTCCCTCTTAATATTCATGCACATTCATTTCGAGCTCAGTAATCTTGTTTTTTAAATTACCTGTTGGACTTGGGTTAACACTCATCATTGAGAAATGTATTTGTCTATCATCTAGGTGGTAATCATTAAGAAACCTAGAACATGAAATGTATCTGTTTATCATCTAGGTGGTAATCATCAAGAAACCTAAAACATGAAATGTATCTGTCTATCATCTAGGTGGTAATCATTAAGAAACCTAGAACATGAAATGTATTTGTTTATCATCTAGGTGGTAATCATCAAGAAACCTAGAACATGAAATGTATTTTTTTATCATCTAGGTGGTATAATCATTAAGAAACCTAGAACATGAAATGTATCTGTCTATCATCTAGGTGGTAATCATTAAGAAACCGAGAACATGAAATGTATTTGTTTATCATCTAGGTGGTAATCATTAAGAAAACTAGAACATGAAATGTATTTGTTTATCATCTAAGTGGTAATCATTAAGAAACCTAAAACATGAAATGTATTTGTTTATCATCTAGGTGGTAATCATCAAGAAACCTAGAACATGAAATGTATTTGTTTATCATCAAAGTGGTAATCATTAAGAAACCTAAAACATGAAATGTATCTGTCTATCATCTAGGTGGTAATCATCAAGAAACCTAGAACATGAAATGTATCTGTCTATCATCTAGGTAGTAATCATCAAGAAAACTGAAACATGAAATGTATCTGTCTATCATCTAGGTGGTAATCATTAAGAAACCGAGAACATGAAATGTATTTGTTTATCATCTAGGTGGTAATCATTAAGAAACCTAGAACATGAAATGTATTTGTCTATCATCTAGGTGGTAATCATTAAGAAACCTACAACAGGAAATGTATCTGTCTATCCTCTAGTTGATAATCATCAAGAAACCTACAACATGTAATGTATTTGTCTATCTTCTAGGTGGTAATCATTAAGAAACCTACAACATGAAATGTATCTGTCTATCTTCTAGGTGATAATCATCAAAAAACCTACAACATGAAATGTATTTGTCTATCATCTAGGTGGTAATCATCAAGAAACCTAGAACATGAAACGTATTTGTCTATCATCTCAGTGGTAATCATCAAGAAACCTAGAACATGAAATGTATTTGCCTATCATCTAGGTGGTAATCATCAAGAAACCTAGAACATGAAATGTATTTGTCTATCTTCTAGGTGGTAATCATCAAGAAACCTACAACATGAAATGTATCTGTCTATCTTCTAGGTGATAATCATCAAGAAACCTACAACATGAAATGTATTTGTCTATCATCTAAGTGGTAATCATCAAGAAACCTAGAACATGAAATGTATTTGTCTATCATCTAAGTGGTAATCATTAAGAAACCAGAAACATGAAATGTATTTGTCTATTATCTAGGTGGTAGGTAATCATCAAGAAACCTAGAACATGAAATGTATTTGTCTATCATCTAAGTGGTAATCATCAAGAAACCTAGAACATGAAATGTATTTGTCTATTATCTAGGTGGTATAATCATCAAGAAACCCAGAACATGAAATTTATTTGGCTATCATCTAGATGGTAATCATTAAGAAATCTAGAACATGAAATGTATCACCAATTTACTAAGAGAACACAAATATAAGTCCCCCCTCTCCCACTTCCCTACTTTCCTCCTCCTTCCTATCCTTCCTCCCCCTCCCCTTAACCTCGCCCTGAGCCCAAAAACTATCCTTTTTTAATTTGTGGCTCTGAGTTATTAAATAGTATCGGATGAAACCAGGTTAAAATGATCCTTTGATATATGTTCAATAGGCTTGCAGACTTTTTATACAAAACCCCTTATAATAATTCTTGAGCCAATCGGTCAATGGGGAGTTATGATTGGTCATCATAAAAAAAACATAAATTACTACTTAACACAAATAAAAATAAATAGATTTTATTTTTATACAATGTTTCGTAAGAAAGATTCGACATGAAATATCTTGGCGGATTTAGTATTAGAAAAACAGGAAACACAGTAGTTTTACCTGAATGCAGGTCGTCTTTTATTCTTGACCAGGTCAACCGCTTCGATTACTGCAGCCCTGAAAATTAAAGTTAGTGCACTAAACTACTGAACTATACTAAACTTCTAAACTATTTACTTTACTCCAAATATAAAATAAACTACTAAATCACTAAACTATATAAACTTAACTAATGAAGATAAAATAAACTACTTATAACTACTAAACAAACTAAATTACTAAACTTGTAAACTATCAGAATACTAAATTACAACTAAACTACTAAACTACTAAACCACTAAACTACTAAACTGCCAAACTACTAAACTACTAAACTACTAAATTACTAAACTACTAAACTACTAAACTACTAACCTACTAACCTACTAACCTACTAACCTACTAACCTACTAAACTACTAAACCACTAAGTTACTCAACTACTAAAGATGCTACTTTAATCGACTATAAAAAGTACTTAAAGCTAATGAACTAGATAATCAACTTAAATACTTAAACTCTTAACTTTCAACTTCTTTTCTAAAAAATATATATATACATATATTGGCCAAATCTACAAGATTTATTGTTAAACTTCCTTCCCGCTCAATGAAGGACACAGAAATAAATCTAAGGGGGGTGGGGGCAATTTTTTTTGCCCCCTCACCCCTAGGAATTTGAACTGTAAATTCAAAACATTTGGCTTCTCGGATTCTTTAAAGGTACAGTCCAATTACCTTACAATTACTACTTTATCTCTCCTTTAAACAAAACTAGCAGTAAAAACAGCAAACTATTTTTTTTATGTTTTTTACTCTTCAGTTTCAGATTTTAAAAGTGTGATAGCTCTGATTTCTAAGAGGGGACCACTCCCCCCCCCTTTACAGGTCAAGGGGGGCACTTAGGTAAAGTTCAAAATATGCAAGTAACTAAAGCTTAGACATACAAAGCTACAGGTTGTCCAACGAAACATGATAGTATAGCAAGACAATTAGAAAGCCGTCTTTGATCATAGGATTTATTTAAGACATTCAGTCGTCAACCTTCTTTTACTTGAATAATTCTTGAAGACAATAACCATAAAATTCTCCGACTACTGGAATTTCCAAAATGTGGTCTGGTTTTTTTTGTGCTGTGAATATTACCGGAGTTATTGAGAATTTTGATCAGATTTCAATTTTATTAAATAAAACCAAAACTGTCGAAATCTGAAGAAAATTAATGATACAGGGTGTCCCACGAAACATGACATTTAATAAATAGTTATTTATAGTTAAACAAATCTTTTGCTTAATTATATTTTACTTTGAAATCAATTTTAATATAACATGACTCCCTTATAATATTTTTATTGATCTTAGGTATCAAACAACTGAACAAATAATGGAAAAAGACATTCTAAACTATTCACCAACTGTCATGTTTCGTGGGACACCCTGTATCTCCGGTAATATTGAGACTACAATAAAGGCAGATCAAGTTAATTTTGGAAATGCCAAGACTAAAGGTATTTTGGGACTTTTAACTCTAGAATTTTACTATAAAAATTTTGTTCTGGAATAAATGCCGTAAATTATTTAAAAGATCAAAAACTACATTCAGTCATCTTGCTATTGTCATGTTTCGTAGGACAACCTGTAGCTGGAAAAATATAAAATTATTTCTTAAAAAACGTATTTTTAAGTGACCCTCTATGCATGAAGATGACAATGCTCGATTTACTTGCCCATTTCTTGAATATCAGAAAGAATGGAGAAATTATCAGATTTAAACACTTTTTGTGTTTGAACAACGACGGTATCTATCACATTTTTGATTAGATTAAGGTTTCAGAGGCATCATTGTTAATCTCGCATTGTCATCTTTGCATGGATTTTCACTCAAAATTACGTTGCTTACAGTCCTTTAAGTAAAATGGGTCTTTGTGCACTGCACAATTACTTTTTAATGTTCATTTGACTTGTTAAAATCGTAACTTGAGTCTACGAGGAGTCGTTTTGTTTTCAGACTTTTATGGGTTTTAAATTAGATTCATAAATAATAACATATATTATCTACCTGTATTAGATTCATATATAATAACATATATTATCTACCTGTATTAGATTCATATATAATAAGATAAATTATCTACCTGTATTAGATTCATAAATAGTAAGATATATTATCTACCTGTATTAGATTCATATATAATAAGATATATTATCTACCTGTATTAGATTCATAAATAATAAGATATATTATCTACCTGTATTAGATTCATAAATAATAAGATATATTATCTACCTGTATTAGATTCATATATAATAAGATATATTATCTACCTGTATTAGATTCATATATAGTAAGATATATTATCTACCTGTATTAGATTCATATATAATACGATATATTATCTACCTGTATTAGATTCATATATAATAAGATATATTATCTACCTGTATTAGATTCATATATAATAAGATATATTATCTACCTGTATTGCTTCTCTTTGAAGACTGACTGTGGAAGAATAAGACCAAGGTTTAATGTCGGTTTGTTAATATTTCCGATTGTATTCCGCCCTTTTCCACGTCCAAAATTATCATTAGAACTACAGCAGAACAGAACAACATTATTAGTATTATGCGAAACTGAATTTGAATTACAAAAAAAGATGCGTGATTTCTTAAAAATTTGTGTAACATTTTTCAAATCGTATTAAAAAATAGCTGTTTTCGCATTCTTGCAATACAGTGCAGTTGGGAAATTGCTTTTGAAAAATGTCTTTGGGAACGGATTTCAAAGAAAAACAGTTTTTAAGACATTTTAAAAACAGTAATTTTATCAAATGTATCTTAGAGCTTAATAACAGTACACTGTACAGTTTTTTTTTATTTTAGAAGCATTTTTATAATCATTGCTTTATTATTATTTCTATTGTTTGCTTTCCTAATGTCAAGTCCACTAACAGGAAGGAGAATCAGACTAAATAAACTAAAAATCATAATTTCTGAAAAGAAAGTCATTAAAAAAACAAACATTAGATACTACGGTACCCATACAATCTCAATTCACAACGGTCCCCATACAATCTCAATTCACAACGGTACCCATACAATCTCAATTCCAATCAAACCGCAGTTGCAATCAAACTTCTATTGCGATCAAACTTGTTGTAATTTGTAATGAAACCATTTTAATCAAACCTTATGTACTTAAAACTTACTTACATTCAAAACTTACTTACAATCAAAACTTATTTACAATCAAAACTAGCTTTCAATCAAATCTAACTTTCAATCAAAACTTACTTACAATCAAAACTTACTTCCAATTAAGACTTACTTACAATCAAAGCTGACTTAAAATCAAAGCTTACTTACAATCAAAACTTACTTAAAATCAAAACTTACTTATTATCAAAACTTAGGTAAAGCCAAACTTACTTACTATGAAAATTTACTTAAAATTAAAACTTAATTACCATTAAGACTTACTCACAATGAAAACCTACTTACAATCAAAACTTACTTACATTCAAAACTTACTTACAATCAAAACTTACTTACAATCATAACTTACTTACAATCAAAACTTACTTTAGATTAAAACTTATTAACAATTAAAATTGACTTACCATCAAAACTTACCTACAATAAAAAGTTACTTACAATCAAAACTTACTTTAATCAAAACTTCTTTACAATTAAAACATACTCACAATCAAAACTTACTTACAATCAAAACTTACTTACAATCAAAACATACTCACAACCAAAACTCACTTACAATCAAAACTTACTTACAAGACAATCAAAACTTACTTACAATCAAAACTTACTTACAATCAAAACATACTCACAATATAACTTACTTACAATCAAAACTTGATCAAAACTTACTTAATATCAAAACTTACTTACAATTAAAACTTAATTTCAATCAACAAACTACAATTGCATTTAAACCTCAATTGAAACCAAGTTTCATTTAAGTGTAATCAACTCTCTTTTGCAAGCAAAGGCCCCCTTTTTTTGTAGAAAATGTAAAATTGAAATAAAATTCGATAAAGTTAAATAAAGTTCGATATATTTTAATAGAATCGATAATTCCAACCGATAAACTAGATCGGAATATATTTATTTCAGAATATATAAATTTTAAATCCAAAATGCATTTAAAAAGATTTAAGCAGAAAAGTTTCGCTTTAAAGTATTAGAATGTGCCTTGCATCTTCAATATGCCTTCAGCATAGTTCTTAAGTTTTTCAGATACATTTTTGGTAAATTACTTTTGTTATGGAACTGACTTGGGGAAAATCATTCTATTTTTAAATACTTAAAGGGACTTTCGGCAAAACGATTTTTCCATTTTGCTTGAAACCCCAAGATGCCACACATAATTTAGACCCGATTGGTTTCGCCATTTTGACGTTTATTTGACACAAACAGACAGTCTCAAACTTCAAATTTTTGGCAGTTTTTTTCAGATGTCTTTTGTAAGCATGTGTATATATTGAATAAGAATATGTTTATTCTTATTCTAATCCTTAATACAGGTTCTGAAATAAATGATGAAAAATAGCTTTGGTTTTCTTTATTTATCCCAAAGGATAAACATAGAAAAAATGTATTTCTGTATAATATTCACCTATATAAGATGGATTCATTCTAAATCTGTATGTGTGCTGTACTTAAGTATAAAATAACCTATTAACCTGAAAAATAACCTGTATTGTACCAGGTTTTTTACAAACCCTGTCAATCATAGACTGCGATATCCAGAGAAAAGAGTCTTAGTATTAAGAAAAATAACCTAATTACCATGAAAAATAACCTAATTACCATGAAAAATAACCTATTAACTTGAAAAATAACCTGGATTGCACCTGGTTTTTGGCAAACCCTGTCAATCATAAAATGCGATATCCAGAAAAAAAGAGTATTAGTATTAAGAAAAATAACCTAATTACAATGAAAAATAACTTATTAACTTGAAAAATAGCCTGTATTGCACCTGGTTTTTGGCAAACCCTGTCAATTATAAAATGCGATATCCAGAGAAAAGAGTATTAGTATTAAGAAAAATAACCTAATTACCATGAAAAGAACCTAATTACCTGTAAAAAATAACCTAATTACCATGAAAAAAAAACCTAATTACCATGAAAAATAGCCTAATTACCATGAAAAATAACCTATTAACCTGTAAAAAATAACCTATTAACATGAAAAATAACCTTCTAACCTGAAAAATAACCTATCAATCTGTAAAAAATAACCTATTAACCTGAAAAATACCTACTAACCTGAAAAATAACCTATTAACCTGTAAAAAATGACCTATTAACTTGAAAAATAACCTACTAACCTGAAAAATAACCTATTAACCTGTAAAAATAACCTATTATCCTGAAAAATAACCTATTAACTTGAAAAATAACCTACTAACCTGAAAAATAACCTATTAACCTGTAAAAATAACCTATTATCCTGAAAAATAGCCTATTAACCTGAAAAATAACCTATTAACCTGAAAAATAACCTATTAATCTTTTCTTTTATTTCTGCTATTCATCAAGGGTTGTAAACATCCTATATCTGCACCTGAGAGCCATCTAAAATCACATCCTGACCTTTATTTATCAGATATATTTGATGAAAGGAATAGTGATGTAATTTTATTATAATATTATAGCAAATACAATATAACAAGTGCGTTAATTAAGGCTACACCTAATTATGACTCTTCTAAGGAAATGTTCCATACAGGATTACCCGCAAAAGATGAGGCTTTAGAGACAACCTTAACTGCTAAATTTTTTCTATTCTTTTACAAACTTAAGTATACGTATCATTGAAAGATTTAAAAAAATTAAATTGACAGATTCTGAAGTTAAAATGTTTATATAGTACTTGAGTTTCTGGTTGTCATTAAAAGAAGTGTTCGCGAAAATGAAAGGGGGTATAGGCTTAATGCGATAAAAAAGCGCTTTTGATCGCTACTAATCTTACTTCTATCTGTTGCGTCTATAAGGAGAAAATTGTTAAAAACGACTAATACCGAAGAACGTACTATCCATACAAATTCAGAAAGATGCAACATACAACTGAGACCGTAAAAATATCTATTTAATTTCAAACAAATGATTCAGATATTACAACCTACAGTCATCGATTATCTTTCGCCACATTTGTATACAGTTGATTTTTCATAATATGTTTTGATTTTATTTTTTAAAATAATATTTAGCTTACAACTTGTTTTCGAACATTCCTGGAAAATATTAAAATTTCGTCTTCATTACCAAAAATCCTCGAAACAGGAATAAATGTTTTTTATCAGATCATAGCAATTAAAACATATTATGAAAAATCAACTATATACAAATGTGGCAAGAGATAATCGATGACTATAAGTTGTAATATCTGAATGATTTGTTTAAAATTAAATTGATTTTTTTACGGTACGTTCTTCGGCATTAGTCGTTTTTAACAATTTTCTCCTTATAGACGCAACAGATAGAAGTAAGATTAGTGTCCATCAAAAGCGGTTTTTTATCGCATTAAGCCTATACCCCCCTTCATTTTTCGCGAACACTCCCTTTAAAGTCTCTGTTTTTGTGGGTCACCCTGTACATTGTACAATATACATCCATTGAAATCATTATCGCACACATATTTAGAAATATATATTTATACAGGCTTGCATCAGTTAGAGGGTAAAATTAACTATTTCTTTAATGTGGCCTGTAGCTTAATGGGCTTATAGCTTAATGGGCATATCTAGTTCATTAATTTTCAAGTCATAATTTATCTACACAATTGTAAAGTTAAATTTTTCTGTTTAAAAAAATTGAGTCTTTGCAACAAACTCTGATTTTCTAATCTCAATATCTTTGCAACCCAATATCATAGTCTTTAGATATTTCAGATTATGATTTCTCTCACATAAAATCGCCAAAGTATGATATATCAAAGGTTTACACCATAAGGTTGAAAAGATATAGGGAATACAAAATCCGAGTTTGTGCTTTGTGCAATTTTGACCGTCAGTAAACCTTCCCGGGGGTCATATGAGTTACCACAAAAAATGTGGGCCTGATCGGTACAGACTGGCAGACAGGCAGAAAGACACACATACAGACAGACAGACAGACAGACAAGCCAAATCTAAATACAGATTTGGGAAAAATTGGGAAACGCTATGATGGGATACGTGCCGGGCTAGTTACTGTAAAGTGTACATCTTTGGGAAATTTCTTGACGGTTACCTACTAAAATAGTTGCAGCATTGTGGACGCACATATAAATTATCAATGAAAAACTATAGTTATGACACACTAATGAAGGACCCACTTTGAAGGACGCAAAAATTCGTGACAGACATACAAAATAAAGATATTCAGCTGTTTATATAAACAGAAGCATTCTCTGAGCTGAGTTCCTCTAGAGAGTTAAGAGTATAAAGAGTGAAGATCCTCATAAAACAGAAGATAAAGTCGAAGATATATAACAGAGGAAATATGTACATAAACTTACCTAGAGAAATTGAACAGAAAAACACAATTTTATCCCGGTGATGGGGGGGGGGGGTACACCACCAAATATGGTATTTTTTTCAAGAACTTAAAATCTTTTTGCGGTAGAAAGCTAAATTTTCTCTACTTTTCCAACCTTATTTAAAGCTAATAAACCAAGAAAATGCCAAATAGCCAAGACATTTGTATTACTTGAGCTTTGGCTATATTTTTTTGATCAAGCCTTTTAAGGTTGGAATTTTCTCAATTCTGACGGCAATATCATACCAAGAAGGAAACAGGAGAAAGAAAGCAGGGAAAATGAGGAAACATAGGGAACAGGAGGAAACAGGATAAATAATGTGGAAAACAGAAGGAAACAGGAAATTACTGATTTGAAAGTCAAAGATAAATAATGGTAATTCCCAAAAGAACATTAGAAGATAAAAAGAAACTATGCAGTTAGCAAAGAAAGTGCAAGGTAACA